AGACCTCAACGGCCCATACTTAAGGTTAGGAGTGGCTGTTGGTGGGCAATAGGTGTTATAGTTTTCTTGCCTGGCGTAATTTGGCCATGGCTGTGGTTCTTAGAACCAGACAGAAGACCTCAATGGCCCATACTTAAGGTTAGGAGTGGCTGTTGATGCAGATTAGATGTTAGCCTGGCATAATTTGGCCATGGCTGTGGTTCTTAGAACCAGACAGAAGACCTCAACGGCCCATACTTAAGGTTAGGAGTGGCTGTTGATGCAGATTAGATGTTATAGTTTTCTTGCCTGGCGTAATTTGGCCATGGCTGTGGTTCTTAGAACCAGAGAGAAGACCTCAACGGCCCATACTTAAGGTTAGGAGTGGCTGTTGATGCAGATTAGATGTTATAGTTTTCTTGCCTGGCATAATTTGGCCATGGCTGTGGTTCTTAGAACCAGACAGAAGACCTCAACGGCCCATACTTAAGGTTAGGAGTGGCTGTTGATGCAGATTAGATGTTATAGTTTTCTTGCCTGGCGTAATTTGGCCATGGCTGTGGTTCTTAGAACCAGACAGAAGACCTCAACAGCCCATTTTTAAGGCTAGGAGTGGCTGTTGATGGGCAATAGATGTTATAGTTTTCTTGCCTGGCGTAATTTGGCTATGGCTCTGGTTCTTGGAACCAGACAGAAGACCTCAACGGCCCATACTTAAGGTTAGGAGTGGCTGTTGATGCAGATTAGATGTTATAGTTTTCTTGCCTGGCGTAATTTGGCCATGGCTGTGGTTCTTAGAACCAGACAGAAGACCTCAACGGCACATATTTAAGGTTAGGAGTGGCTGTTGATGCAGATTAGATGTTATAGTTTTCTTGCCTGGCGTAATTTGGCCATGGCTGTGGTTCTTAGAACCAGACAGAAGACCTCAACGGCCCATTTTTAAGGCTAGGAGTGGCTGTTGATGGGCAATAGAGATGCCTGGCCCATTCTTTCAACGGCCTAGTTTTCTTGCCTGGCGTAATTTGGCCATGGCTGTGGTTCTTAGAACCAGACAGAAGACCTCAACGGCACATTTTTAAGGCTAGGAGTGGCTGTTGATGGGCAATAGATGTTATAGTTTTCTTGCCTGGCGTAATTTGGCCATGGCTGTGGTTCTTAGAACCAGACAGAAGACCTCAATGGCCCATACTTAAGGTTAGGAGTGGCTGTTGATGGGCAATAGATGTTATAGTTTTCTTGCCTGGCGTAATTTGGCCATGGCTGTGGTTCTTAGAACCAGACAGAAGACCTCAACGGCCCATACTTAAGGTTAGGAGTGGCTGTTGATGCAGATAGATGTTATAGTTTTCTTGCCTGGCGTAATTTGGCCATGGCTGTGGTTCTTAGAACCAGACAGAAGACCTCAACGGCCCATTTTTAAGGCTAGGAGTGGCTGTTGATGGGCAATAGATGTTATAGTTTTCTTGCCTGGCGTAATTTGGCCATGGCTGTGGTTCTTAGAACCAGACAGAAGACCTCAACGGCCCATTCTTAAGGCTAGGAGTGGCTGTTGATGGGCAATAGATGTTATAGTTTTCTTGCCTGGCGTAATTTGGCCAAGGCTGTGGTTCTTAGAACCAGACAGAAGACCTCAACGGCCCATACTTAAGGTTAGGAGTGGCTGTTGATGCAGATTAGATGTTATAGTTTTCTTGCCTGGTGTAATTTGGCCATGGCTGTGGTTCTTAGAACCAGACAGAAGACCTCAATGGCCCATACTTAAGGTTAGGAGTGGCTGTTGATGCAGATTAGATGGTAGCCTGGCATAATTTGGCCATGGCTGTGGTTCTTAGAACCAGACAGAAGACCTCAACGGCCCATACTTAAGGTTAGGAGTGGCTGTTGATGCAGATTAGATGTTATAGTTTTCTTGCCTGGCGTAATTTGGCCATGGCTGTGGTTCTTAGAACCAGACAGAAGACCTCAACGGCCCATTTTTAAGGCTAGGAGTGGCTGTTGATGGGCAATAGATGTTATAGTTTTCTTGCCTGGCGTAATTTGGCCATGGCTGTGGTTCTTAGAACCAGACAGAAGACCTCAACGGCCCATACTTAAGGTTAGGAGTGGCTGTTGATGCAGATTAGATGTTATAGTTTTCTTGCCTGGCGTAATTTGGCCATGGCTGTGGTTCTTAGAACCAGACAGAAGACCTCAACAGCCCATTTTTAAGGCTAGGAGTGGCTGTTGATGGGCAATAGATGTTATAGTTTTCTTGCCTGGCGTAATTTGGCCATGGCTGTGGTTCTTAGAACCAGACAGAAGACCTCAACGGCCCATACTTAAGGTTAGGAGTGGCTGTTGATGCAGATTAGATGTTATAGTTTTCTTGCCTGGCGTAATTTGGCCATGGCTATGGTTCTTAGAACCAGACAGAAGACCTCAACGGCACATATTTAAGGTTAGGAGTGGCTGTTGATGCAGATTAGATGTTATAGTTTTCTTGCCTGGCGTAATGGCCATGGCTGTGGTTCTTAGAACCAGACAGAAGACCTCAACGGCACATATTTAAGGCTAGGAGTGGCTGTTGATGGGCAATAGATGTTATAGTTTTCTTGCCTAGCGTAATTTGGCCATGGCTGTGGTTCTTAGAACCAGACAGAAGACCTCAATGGCCCATACTTAAGGCTAGGAGTGGCTGTTGATGGGCAATTAGATGTTATAGTTTTCTTGCCTGGCGTAATTTGGCCATGGCTGTGGTTCTTAGAACCAGACAGAAGACCTCAACAGCCCATTTTTAAGGCTAGGAGTGGCTGTTGATGGGCAATAGATGTTATAGTTTTCTTGCCTGGCGTAATTTGGCCATGGCTCTGGTTCTTGGAACCAGACAGAAGACCTCAACGGCCCATACTTAAGGTTAGGAGTGGCTGTTGATGCAGATTAGATGTTATAGTTTTCTTGCCTGGCGTAATTTGGCCATGGCTGTGGTTCTTAGAACCAGAGAGAAGACCTCAACGGCCCATACTTAAGGTTAGGAGTGGCTGTTGATGCAGATTAGATGTTATAGTTTTCTTGCCTGGCATAATTTGGCCATGGCTGTGGTTCTTAGAACCAGACAGAAGACCTCAACGGCACATATTTAAGGTTAGGAGTGGCTGTTGATGGGCAATAGATGTTATAGTTTTCTTGCCTGGCGTAATTTGGCCATGGCTGTGGTTCTTAGAACCAGACAGAAGACCTCAACGGCCCATTTTTAAGGCTAGGAGTGGCTGTTGATGAGCAATAGATGTTATAGTTTTCTTGCCTGGCGTAATATGGCCATGGCTGTGGTTCTTAGAACCAGACAGAAGACCTCAACGGCCCATTTTTAAGGCTAGGAGTGGCTGTTGATGCAGATTAAATGTTATAGTTTTCTTGCCTGGCGTAATTTGGCCATGGCTGTGGTTCTTAGAACCAAGAAGTATATCTCTAACTCCCATTTTTATCCAAGTGTATTGCTAAAGCACTTTTTAGATTTTTCCCCTTGTGTAGTTTTAGCCATAGCTGTGGTTCTTAGAGCTTGAGTGTGCTGCGCAAGGACAATTGTTTGCAGTAACCTTTTTTGCTTCCACATTAGCCCAGGCTAATTGAGCTCTGTTGGATGCCTCTCCTGCACTGGTCAGCTATCTTTCACCCCTGCCACGTGGTTACGGTCGATTCACCCAGTCTCACTTAATTTTGCCCGATTCCTGGTGCAGGACAATTAAATGCCAGTCAAGCCCTGTGTTGAGAGATGGTCTTCTGCCTTCTCGGTGGATGGCAGTGGCCTCGGTCACCGGGGAGACGGGAGACAGAGCGATGGGATCTGGAAAGCCCTGTGGGTGTCGGTCCAGCGTCACGCTTCTGCCACCACTGCACTGTACTTTGCATGAAGCCCAGATCTCCACTTCCCACGATACAGGCCCCCTTGCCCCCTCAAGGTCTCCTGTGCTCGGTTGGAGGCATTTGGGGGCTCATGCAAAAGGCAAGGCAGTGATGAGAGAAGTGTGGTGCCACCGCCCCCTGCAGGTCTGTCTAGATCCTACCGTTCTGTCCCCTGCCTCCCCGATGTCCAAGGCCTCTACCATCCATTGAGAAGGCAGAGGCCCACCCCTTAGCACAGGTATTGGCTGGCATTTAGTTATCCCACACTGTGAAACGGCCAAGATTTAAGTCTCCCCGAGTGAAAAGGCTGTGATCATGCGGCTGAGGGGGAGGGGGAGAAGGATGGGGGACCAGTGGCACATACACAAATCACCTGTAAAGGGAGATCCAAGGAGCTCCTCACCTACACCTCCCCATAGTTTGTGTATGAAAGCTATCTCTTATTAAATAACCAGACTATTAAAAAAGCTAGCCGCGAGTCAGCCCTGCGAGGTAAATCAGACAGGAAACACAACCAGGTGAACTACGCTAATTCTACTTTATTGTGAAGCTTGTTTAAGCTATTGTATGAGTACAGTCCTTATTTATTGACTGTCTCATTTAACAACTGTTCAAAGTTATATCAGTGGTAAAAAAAAAAGTGATCTTTGCCACCCCTCTTCGCACTGAGAATTTTCTCAGGTCTGTAATGCAAAGGAAACCTGAAGTCGGATCACAAGCACAGTTGTGCCTTCCCTTAGTGATCACTTTGCTTAACAAATTGCCAGTCCTAGCTGTGGCCAGTAACTGAGGCAACCTGATATATAGCGTTTCCACGAATTGCGAAATGGGTGGCATATAAAATTAAGAAACTAGCAAGCAGTCCCTGTTGCCATAGTTATAAAGATAAGTGCAAAATGAAATTTTAGATTGACTTTTAAGGTTAATGAAATTGGCTTTTCTTTGCATTTTGGAGAAAAACCTGCCAGACTGATCATTTCAAGGCTGGCCCAAACCTAAATCTGTCATGACATTATCTCGTGCACCAGACCATGATATCTCACAGCTGTTTCTCTATCTGTCTCCCTTGTTTTGGGTGCTTCTTTGCTATCTTTGCAGACAGACCTCAGAGGGTGTTTTGAGGACTCTGTTCAAAAGCCGAAGGAACCTTCTGAAGGGAGGAGGGAAGTAGGGAAGGTTTAGAGAGGGTGGACGCAGCCTGGGGGGAATGGGCAGGCGGTACCAATGGTTAATTGTATTTTGTATGAATAAATGGAAAATAAAAACTTTTTAATAATAAAAAGCCAAAGGAACCTTCTGCACCATTGAGAACATCTCTCAAACTCAACCCAAGACAGCCAAGCAACAGACTTCAGAAACCGGTGGCTACGTTGAGGAACATTATGGAGAAGAAGCATCCGTGGGTTTGTACAGTCTTCCTTGTGGTCTTCTGCATTCCAGGGATCTTGACCAACACAAGTAAGTCTTGATTCCATGGTAGAACCTTCACCTTCACTGAATTAAACCTGGAATCAACCATGGTTGTGTTGGAATGATGCTCTTTCTCTCTTCTTCAGATTTGGAAGGAAAGGGCTTTGTGTTCCCCAAGCCTTCTGCTGACTCCTACGTTCTCCTGAAGCCCAACCTCGATCAAGACTTGAGAGAGTTGACCCTTTGTCTCCGCTTCTTCACCGACTTGACCCGCAGCTTCTCCCTCTTCTCGGCCGCTTCCCGAGAACATGACAATGAGATCCTGCTCTTCCAAAAACCCCAGAGTTTTGATGTGTGTGTGGGTGTGGAGTGCGCCAATTTCCCCTTCCCCAGATTTCTAGAAAGATCACCCTTCCAGTGGGAATCGGTTTGTGCCACGTGGGATTCGGCTACCGGGATAGTCCAGCTCTGGCTGGACGGGAAGCGCCTCCCGAGGAAAGGGATAGCGAAGGGCTACGAGGTCAAGGCGGATCTGATGGTGATGCTGGGTCAGGACCAAGATTCCTACGGGGGCAAATTAGACGTGGCACAGTCCTTTGTGGGAGAAATGGCTGAGGTCTACCTCTGGGATAAAGTCCTACCTCTACAGGAGTTCGACAACTTCCAGACCCCGGTGACCCCAAACCCATTGGTGGACTGGACCTCGCTGAATTTTGAAATCCGAGGCTACGTGTTGACGGAGCCCCTGTGAAGCCTTCCGTCAAAGAGGAGACGGAGGAACCATCTTGAGAAGTTCTCACTGTCTTCAGCGTTCCTCCGTCTTGGCCATTTGAAGATGTGTTGACTTCAAGCCGCAGAAATCCCCACCGAGCATGGCTGGCTGGGGAATTCTGGGAATTGAACTCCACGCATCTTCAAGTGGTTGAACACCCCTGCTTTCAAAGCTTTTTAAACAACCAAATAGCTTTGCAGCATTGAAGGGGTCATCTATATAAGCCACCCTATATAAGCCGAAAAGAATTTGTTTGCAGTTTTAAAGTACTTATTTACAAGGATGCATGCTTGTTGAGTTCCTTATTGTTGAAAATAGATTAATCCTTGTAATCATTATAGTGGGGAAAATCCCTCGTTGTATCCCTTCATTTCCCTTCAGTGCAATGGAAAAAATGTTAACATTAATATTGTTAATGTTTGTAATCTGTGTTCTCCTGTGTTTGTAATCTTTATTGGAACTTTGAAGCTTCATACATTTTGTTGTGCTTGGATATGTGGGGTGCATTTATAGTAAGTTTTCAATTGCAGTATAGGAATTATTTTTCCATAGAGATTTGTAATCATTGTGATTTTTCACTCTCATAAAAACTTTATGAATTTTCTCTCTCTCTCCGTGTCTATGTGTGTGTTTTAAATCTCACTGAGTTTTCTTGGTAGCATTGTTATCCAGGTGAATATTTGTTGAAAGGACAGACAATCCTGCTTTTAACTATTTCTGCTTCCCCCCCCCCCAATTCTGTGCCAAATGGATCAGTCTCAATTCTTCCTGTTTATTGCGGAAATCTGCAAGAAATAAATTGTATATTTTTTCTGCCTTTGTTGTTGGGTGGATGGGCATCCAGACATATTTTATGTAACCCCGTCACTGCGCATTCTGAACCTATGTAAACAATGTACAATCTGTCCTATGAGATTTTCTGTAATAAAAAGGTCTGTGTTCTTATTTTGCTTGCATTAATGGTTTGAAAATTAATATATTGTTAGAAATATTCTCACGATGCCACAAAATGGGCCACCAGAATGAGATGAGTTTCTATCATTTCAATGCATCTTCTAATCCTCCCTCTGCTATACTTTTAATTTTTTGCAATTTGGTGGCTGATTCTTTATCAGAAGTGTAGCTAAATTCCACAGGATGTTTGTGCAGAATTTGATAGCTGATGCTCACATTACTAAGGGTTTCGTCAACCGCCCTTCATAAGCACGCTGGATTCATTTCTTTTATCCTTTTTATTAAATTTAGAGAGCAACTGACTCCAAATAGTTTTGGGCAGCTTAACAGTTTAAAAAGTAGTTTTAAAAAAAAAGTGTGCAAAACATACACACTTCATCACTTTAAAAAGGAAATCCTGTAGGCTTAATAACTTTGCTACCAGACTTGAGTAAGAAAGTTATGTCTCATTCACAACCAGTCTAGGAAAAAAAAAAAAACCAGTTGCATATCACCCTTGCAAGGTAGACCAAAGAAGAAACAGCTCGTGTATAATTTGACTTTATTGTGCTGCTCCATTAGAAGAATCTTGCAAACCTGGAAAGTGTTGATAGGTCTCACTACCCTTTTCTTACTGCCCAAGAAATTTAGAAGGGCTCCTTCTGAATCCCATTCGTGCTGTGGACTCGGTTGCCTCTTATTTGAGTGCATTAAATACGATGGCCACCTCGGAATAATACATAAAAATTATAGGGAATTATAATTTCCTAGAGATTTTCATTTTTATAGGCAGGTATTTTGCAAAAAACGTTTTTGTGTTTTTGTTCTTCGAAAGATAACTTTCAATCACACTTTTTTTCCTCTTTTATTAACAATTCTATCTGACGAAGAGTTCAGCGTAACATCGAAGTCTTGCAAATATTTTAAAAGACCCAGTAGAACATTTCCGGCCGCTCTAGGAACGAAAGCTCTCTCCCTGAGTCTCCCATTCGGCACAAACTTGGCCGTTCTAGGAACATAACCCCTTTCCCCGTGTCTCACTTTCAGGCTCGGCCGCCACGCCCACTCCGGCATGCACCCACTCACAAGCTGAAGCCGGAGTGGGCGTGGCGGCCGCCCACTTACTTTTTTCTGATTGGTAGTAGGAAGCGGGGCGGTGCCGTAAATAGCCGAATGGACGCGCGCGTTTTTGTTTCTCCGCCCCTTTTTTCTTTCGGGAGTTTTTTCTTGTAGTTGGCGCCAAAAGGAGGTGAAGATGGGGCTGGGGATTATGGATGCAGTAGTGGCCGATCTTAAGGTCTTCGGGCTGGATTTCGCGGAAGGGGAAGACCGGGACGCCATTGCCGAGAAATGTAAGGCTGAGCAAAGGAGAAGGTGGTGGGGGGGAAGGAGAGAAAGGGCCATGGGTAAAACCGGGCGCTAGTCCTCATGAAAAATTGGGGATGGGGCGTGGCTTAAGCCTATAAATTATCTTTTTACGGTAGTCTTCCATCACTTATAATAAGCAACAAAGAGAGTGAGACAGCCAGTCAATCCCTGAGAAACCAATTCCTGCTGTTAGTCTAAGGTAGACTGCCACTGAACGTGGAGATTCAGAAGCCAGTTTTGGGTGAGAATTAGGGGTCTGCCTTGATCGCTAAAGTTCACTTTATTCAATTCAGGGTTTGTTTTGAAGCGGGGCACACCAAAGCGCTCCCGCTGTCTTTGTGGGAACCCCAAATCCTATATTGGGTTTGTCCCAACACACTAAACTCCGAATTAACTCCCCCTTAACTGACTTGCATAAAAGATGGCATTGCAACTTAACCCACTGGCAAGGATGCTGAGATGAACCTGGTTAACCAATGGCTGGGATGACTGTATTTATTAGTGATTTAGTAGGCTTGCATACTATGCTGGTCTCCAAGGATGGGGGGGGGGGCTGATTAATAATACAAAGATAGGACATTGAAATTAAAACAGCTACAGGAAACTGTGAGCCCGAACGGAGAAAACAGCCCAAACTCCAGATACTACAATCCCATTATTATCCCGTTTTATGGATTTGTTTATATAGGGAATCAAGACACTTTATTAAGAAATTCAGGCAGGATTAGAACTTGGCTCTTTGAATCCAGCATCTTGAATCCCTACTGCACACACAATCTGTGTGTGTGTGTGTGTGTGTCTGTCTCTCTGTCTCTCTCTCTCCTGGAATTAAGCACAAAGGACGAAGGATGAAATGGAAGAGGGTCATCCAGGAAAAAAAATGGACAGGCAGGGAAACCAATTTGAATTCTGCCCTGCCAGTCAGGCTGCTTTTGGTGGCGATGGGATTTGGTCAGGACTGGCACCCTCTCTCTTTCTAATGCCCACTGGCTAAAAACAAAACAAAACAAAACACTGTTTCCTTGTTATTTACTTTCTTACAGTGGAAGAAATCTGCATGACGGGATGGGTATCGGAGTTGGAATTAGGAAACGAGCTGGTTGCTTTTGCTATGCGCAAGGGAGTCCTTCTTTTGACTCTGGAGAACTTATTGGCCTTCGAACACGAGGTAGAAGGAAGCGGTGATAAGCTTGACCTCATTTCTAGCAGTTACAGGTGGTCCTCGTCTTATGACCGCAGTTGAGCCCAACGTTTATGTGGTTAAGTGAGACACTTGTAAAGTGAGTCATTTGTAAAGTGAGTCATTGCCCCGTTTTGTGACCTTTCTTCCGCAATTAAATGAATCTCTGTAGCAGTTAGTAAGTTAGTCACATGGTCGCTAAGTGAATCTGGCTTCCCCCATTGACTTTGCTTGTCAGAAGGATGCAAAAGGGGATCACGTGACCCCGGGACGCTGCCACCGTCATAAATGTGAGCCAATTGCAAAGCATCTGAATTTTGATCACGTGACCAGGGCAAATAGCACAAGTGTGAAAAATGATTGTAAGTCACCTTTTCCGGTGCCGTTGGAACTTCAAACGGTCACTAAGTCGAGAATTACCTGTATTTGCCCTTCTGTTGTATTTCTGCCAATTTTATTTATTGGTTTTTCCTGTCTCTCTCTAGACAGGAAGTTTACAGTCTACTAAATTCTAGTCTGTAATTGTAAAAAAAAAATATGATATTGATAAAGTGGATCTTTTCCCAGGATAATAAACCGAGCAAGGCTAATGATAAAGAGAAGGACGGGGGGGGGGGGGAGGATAGCAGTCTTCCAATATTTGAGGGGCTGCCCCAAAGAAGAGGGAGTCAAGCTATTCTCCTGAAGGCAGTATAAGAAGCAACAAATGGAAACTAACCAAGGAGAGAAGCAACCTAGAACTAAGGAGAAACTTCCTGACTGAGAACAATTAACCAGTGGAACAACCTGCCTCCAGAAGCGGTGAATGCTCCAACACTGGAAGTTTTTAAGAAGAGACTGGACAGCTATTTGTCTGAAATGGTCCAGGGTTTCCTGCCTGAGCAGCGGGTTGGACTAGATGACCTCCAAGGTCCCTTCCAACTTTATTGTTGTTGGTATTATTATTATTATTATTATTATCATAACCAAATTGTCTAGATTGCAACACCCAGAACTTCCCAGCCAGGGTGTCTTATTGGAAGAAACAACTAGTCAACACAACCACAATTTTTTTGTTGTTTCTTCCTTTTCTCTTTTTAGATGCTGAGCAAGAAGGCCACAAAATCTTCCAGGAGAAAGGAAGAACGCTGGTCCGGCGTGGGGGACGTCAACGCCGTTCAAGAGTCGTATCCTCTCTAAAGGCGGGAGGAATGTGGCAGTAGGAAGGGACCTTGGAGGTCATCTAGTCCAGGGGCCTTCCAGCTTGGCCCCCTTTTATGACTTGTGGACTTCAACTCCCAGAATTCCTCAGCCAGGCACGCGTGCCTGGCTGAGGAATTCTGGGAGTTGAAGTCCACAAGTCATAGTTGGAAAACCCCTGATCTAGTCCAACTCCTTGCTGATTTAGTTTTGATCAAATGGAAGTGTCAATTTTTTTCTATCCACCCTGGCTTGATCAAAGCAGAGCTTGTAATTTTGTGCGATTTTAAGAGAGGCGCTTATATTTTACGGTTGAGTCTTAACTCTTTGCAGTCTGGATGTTGACGAGGAAGAAGAGGACTTGCTGGAGGCCTACACCTCGCCCTCAAAAGTAAGTGGGGGGGGCGTTTGGGGGGGTGTATCTCCTTCAGGGTGACTAGTAGAAGGAGAACCCTGTGGGGGCAAGTGGCCAAGAACGACACAACATCTGCTTTTGTGGCTCTGCAACGGAAACCTTGGGATAGACTGCTTCTCAAAATGGAGGTTCTACTCTGCTAACTGCAGCAAAGAGAAGCTCTTCGCGAAAAGACCTGGATGTAACAAAACTAAGCAGTGTCTCCCTTTTGCAGCCAGTTCCAGCAACTAAGATTCAGCGACATTTAAACTGGCATGGGGAAAGTGGGGTAGCTTCATCAGGGTGGCTGAAAGGCCAGGGTTTTGTTTGTTTTTTTGCTGTTCATTTATTTATATTTAGAATTTCTTAGGCATTGATAGGTGGGCCTCTTTCCCTCCCTCTTGTTTCCATCTTTCTTCCTTTTCCTTCCTCTCTCTCTCTTTTCTTTTCTCCAGCTTCCTTTTGTGTCGTGTGTATTATTTAGTGGTGAGCTAGGAAGGAAAAAATGTTGTGAGAAAGGGAGGGAAGGGAAAGGAAGGAAGGAATGGGAGGGAGGAAAGGAATGAATGAATGAATGGGAGGGAGAGAAGGAGGGAAGAGAGAATGGAAGGGAAGAAAGGAAGGAAGGAGAGAATGGGAGGGAGGGAAAGAGACGGAAGGAAAGGAAGGAAGGAGAGAATGGGAGGGAGGAAAGAATGGGAGGAAGGAAGGAAGGAGAGAGAATGGGAAGGAAGGAATGGGAGGGAGGAGAGAATGGAAGGGAAGGAAGGAAGGAGAATGGGAGGGAAGGGAAGGAAGGAAGGAGGGAGAGAATGGAAGGGAAGGAAAGGAAGGAAGAAAAAAGACGAGAAGGAAGGAAGGAGAGAATGGGAGGTAGGAAAGAATGGGAGGGAAGGGAAGGAAGGAAGAAAAAAGATGAGAAGGAAGGGAGGAGAGAATGGGAGGTAGGAAAGAATGGGAGGGAAGGGAAGGAAGGAAGAAAAAAGATGAGAAGGAAGGAAGGAGAGAATGGGAGGGAGGGAGGAAGGAAGGAAGGAAAATATAAAAGGAAGTAAAAGAAATAACAATTCCTTCCATCTTACAGTCTGCTCAGAAACGGCCCATCACCACCCCGGAGAACCCCCGTTCCAAGCGGACCCTCTCCGGCCGCAGCCCCCATCTGAACTTCTCTCCCAACAGCTTCTCACCCAGGTAGGCACGGCCGAGCCGGTTCAAAGGACCCTGACTCGTTTCCCAGCCCGTTTCTTTGAAGGAAGCAAGTTCACACAACCATTGGGTAACCTTTGGCTCATCCCAATTGGGAAGACTTTTAAAGTGGTTCCCCCCTCCTTCTCTTGAAGTGCAACCCCTTCTCAAAAATACGCATCCCGGAAGAACCGAGGCGAAGTCGTGGCCTCTTTTGGGTCGGCACCAGGTGGTGGACGTGCCATTTCTGCCCCTTTGGTCCAGGTGTACAACGCCCCCCATTCGCTCAGCAAACCGTACAAATTCATGTTCCAGGATCTGATGGAGAACCGTGATGGTGAGGGGGGTTTTCTGGACTGGGTGGGCAGTGGGTGGGGGAGAACCAGCATGTTTTCAAGCTTATTTGCACCACTTCTTGTTCAATTGAGCAGGAGACTCATATAACCCTGGTTGATCATCTGTACAGGCAATCCTCAATTTACAGCCGGCCATTTAGCAACTGGATGGATGGAGAGAGAGAGATAGATAGATAGATAGATAGATAGATAGATAGATAGATAGATAGATAGATAGATAGATAGATAGATAGACTTCAACTTACAGCCACTTAGCAACTGGATGGATGGAGATAGATAGATAGATAGATAGATAGATAGATAGATAGATAGATAGATAGTCTTCAACTTACAGCCACAGCAACTGGATGGATGGATGGATGGAAATAGGCAGAGAGATGGATGGATAGATAGACAGACAGTCTTCAACTTAACAGCCACTTAGCAACTGGATGGATGGATGGATGGATGGATAGATAGATAGATAGATAGATAGATAGATAGATAGATAGATAGATAGATAGATAGTTAGATAGATAGATAGTCTTCAGCTTACAGCCACAGCAACTGGATGGATGGATGGAGATAGGCAAAGATGATAGAGCGGGGAGGGATAGCTGGGTAGATGGATAAATACATGGAAAAATTGATGGATGGATAAATTTAGAGGGATGGATGGATAGATGATGGAGAGAGAGAGAGAGAGAGATAGAGATGGATACATGGATAGAGAGATGAATGATAGACACATGTACACACACACTTGGGTTAGATGGAAAATTGCCTTAATTGCTCTCTTGAAACACTGGGGAAAACCCAGCCAATATTTTAATGTGCAGGCTGTGAAAATACTTTCAGTTTTTTATTCTTTCACTTCCCTGTTGTTTTTCTTCCCCACAAGTGCTCTCCTACAAGATTGAAGAACTGGGCGACGCCCTCAAGGCCCATTATAAAATAGATGAGTTCTCCTCCGTCATGGTGCCTGCGCAGGTGTGTTCACATGGCTACGGGTTGACAGCAAAAGTGAGGCGAAGGAGGGGGGCAGCCCCATTGTTCCAAGCCTGTGGCCTTTACGTTGGGGGGGGGGAGGTCTGCAAGAAAACGGCATCTCTGACTGTATTGTTGTGTTTTTAATGCCTGCCGGAAGGAACCTGTGACCGTCTTGGGCCAGATTGGGTGTGATTCAAATGGGAAGCTGAACCCCCAGTCCGTTATCCTAGAAGGAGACCGCGAACATTCGTCAGGGGCCTTCATCCCGGTTGATATTTCTGAGATCTTGGATTATTCGTTGTTCCCAGGACAGGTGAGAGCTTAAACCAGAGTTTCTGAACCTTTTAAGATGTTTGGACTTCAACTCCCAACATATGTGGGTGGATTTCAAGTGTGCATGGAGACTGGGGGATTCTGGGAGTGGAAGTCCACCCATCTTAAACCAAGCTGGCTGGGGATTTCTGGGAGTCGAAGTCCACCCCTCTTAAGGCATGCTGGCTGGGGAATTCTGGGAGTGGAAGGAAGTTCACCCATCTCAAATCATGCTGGCTGGAGGTTTCTGGGAGTTATAATTTTTTCTCTCCGTCTTTTAATCTCCTAGGTTGTGGTCATGGAAGGAATGAACAGCACCGGCAAGAAGCTGATTGTATCCAAACTTTACGAGGTGATTAAAAAACACACTGAGTTTCACTGCTCTGCCATGCTCCTCGAAGGGGATCTACATATTAATTTACGAGTTGTAGTTGTGTGATGGTCCACTTTATGGCCGGAATTGCAGGCTCAATTACGGTTGTGAAGGGAGGACTACTTGTATGCGATTCGTGTTCTAATGTCTGGAGGTTTTTGTGGTCTTTTTTTTTCCCCTGGACAAGTGGCTGTTCCTGAGTTTGTTTATTTCCTGTGCAGGAGTGACAAACTACAAGCCAGCAGTTGAATTTATTTGATCTCTCTGCAAATAAACACATGTAAAAAATAATTCTTCTCTCTCCAGGGGGTGCCTCTTCCTTTCCAGAAGCCAACAGAAGCAGCCACAGGTATGGTGTCTTTTTGTCAGCTTAGTTCAGCCAGCATGTGACCTTAAATACAATTCTGCTGCTTATTGCTGGATTTGCCTGCATTAAGCCACAGTTTGTTGAAACATGGTTAGTGGAGCCATTCCCACTTGACCACCTTCGCACAGTATGCTGAGACAGTCCTCTGGGACAAATATTAAGGAATTATTAATATAGGGTTTATATATTATTATAATAATGTATTAATACCATATTAATATGTTATTGTTATTAACAGTCTTTTTATTCAATGTGTGCACTGAATTTTCCTGCACTGTTTACAGTCATTGTATTTTTTAAATAAATACATATGTCTGCATATGTCCTATCTATCGTTATTACTGCCATTTGCCATTAATAATCAGATGATAATGCAGACAAACCCTTCCAGCTCTATTCTATCCTATTTCATTCCATTCCATATTTCCTTATTCTGTTCTATTCTATTCTATTCTATTCTATTCTATTCTATTCTATTCTATTCTCTCATAGGAAAATTTCTCTGGGCCACAATCTGGCTTATTGGAAAATAAAAACTCAGCAAGCTTCTAATCCTTCCAGATCCGGAACCTCGGCTGGTCTTGATTGCCTGTGGACCCTACACCACTTCGGACAGCATTGCTTACGAGCCCATGGTGGACCTGATTGAGATAATCAATAAGGACAAGCCGGATGTTTGCATTTTGGTAATGGAGACGCTTCTGAAATCTATGGGATGGGTTTGCTCTAGAACAGGGGTCCCCAGCCCTTGGTCCAGGGACCAGCACCGGGCCACGACATGCCAGCAGCTGGGCCGCACAAACAAGCAAAGCCCCATCTGTGGGGTGCAGGCAGCACACAAAACCACACACCCTCCGGTCTGCGGAAAAACCTTTCTTCACGGAACCGGTCCCTGGTGCCCAAAAGGTTGGGGGCCTCTGCTCTAGAACTTTATACAGGCTGTCCTCAACTTACAACTGGTCATTTAGTGACCATTGAAGCTACGATGGACCTACTTGGGGCCTACTTAACACCCAGATTCAAAGTCCTGATGGTGACGGCCCCTCCACAATCTTTGGGCAATTGCAACTTCGAAGACCTTGCAGCATCCCACAATCGTAGGATCTCACGTCATGCCGCTTTTACTGAAAACCAGCACTTCCAGTTTTTGGCAACACCACACCCTAGGAAACAATAGGTTCATTTAATGACTGGTGTTCGCTTAAAGACCACCGTGCTCACACTTAGGACTACCAAGGTCCCTGAAAAAACTGCCACGAACAAGGTCCTAAAACCACGTCAGTCGGCCGTTTGATTCATTTTACAACTTGCATAACTTAATGACCGTAATGGATAGGATCCATTGTGGTTCTTAATTGCAGTCGGCAATCCAGGCCGGCCTCATCAGCGCTGCTTGGTGCTGTGGATGCTGGGAATCGTAGTTGAGATTCATCACAATCCTTACTTTTGATCCATCGTATTTGACCAGCATTTGTAATTTGCAGAAACTTCCCACTGGGCCCTAATTCTTTTTTTTCCCCTGCTTTCTTGATTTTTTGGAAATGGTGGCCACCGTCAATCAAGGTTTGGGATGCATTTCCCTTCTCTGTCCATCCTCATTAACCACGGCTTCCTTTCATTGTCTGCAGCTCGGCCCCTTCGTTGATGCAAAGCACAAACAAGTCGAGGTGAGTAGAGAAGAGACACAGGCATTAAAAGTCGGTTTGTTTTGCCCCAGTGGGAGTTCAGAAGTTGACGCTTGGGAGTCCAAACGAGGACACCAGACCTCTAAAAACCTTGCAGGATCTCTCCATTTTTTTCTGACCGTTACTTTTCAGTGGAAAACAATAAAATAAGACAAAAAAAAATTTGGCCAAATTCTGTAGCTGCCTTAAGTAAGCAAAATCCAATATCAACAGGCTGTTTCTCTTGGCAGAGAGAAACTCGGAAAAAAAGCAAAAGAAAAGAGGTTTGTTTTCCCCAAAATAGATGCTGTCCAGATGGGCTGCCCCCAGCCACCCAAAAGCCAATTTTTCTACCAGATGGGAGGTATAGTTCCCCAAATCTGGAGAGGGTTAAATTGACAGAAATTGAGGCTTGGCAGAATGTTTTGTTCAAAACGTCCAATTAGCTTCTGAACCGCCTGATTTAAACTGGGGAAAATCCCTTTAGAGCCGTCACTAAATGAATCGGTCCATTTTCTCCAGAATTAACCCGGGAGAGGCCAAGTGTTAAACCTGCAAAAAAAAAAAAAAGTTTTTTTCCAAAGCTGATAGGCCAGAGAACCAGCCTCCTTCTTACAACTCATTGTCTGTCTTGACCATGATGAGATTTGAACTCAGAGCTTCAGCCTGCAAGAAAGAGATTCTATCCTTGATCAACCCACCCAATTGATTTCTTTCTAGGAAGGACAGCTGATCATGTTGTACGACGAGGTCTTCAAGAGGTGCTTGAAGACCATCATTGAAGGAACAAGGAGGTGAGAAGCCAGTTCATTCTGTTTAGATGACCAGTGTCGTTTGCATTGTGAGGCAGCAGTTTCAGGCCAGGAATATTTTGTTGTACCTCTGCAAAGTGGGAGTGGGAGAGGTCCATCATAACTTTAAATGCTCATATAATAATATAACAACAACAACAATAATAAAGTTGGAAGGGACCTTGGAGGTCATCTAGTCCAACCCCCTGCTCAGGCAGGAAACCCTAAACCATTTCAGACAAATGGTTTGTCCAGTCTCTTCTTAAAAGCTTCCAGTGTTGGAGAATTCACCGCTTCTGGAGGCAGGTTGTTCCACTGGTTAATTGTTCTAACTGTCAGGAAATTTCTCCTTAGTTCCAGGTTGCTTCTCTCTTTGATTAGTCTCTATCTGTTGCTTCTTGTCCGGCCTTCAGGGGCTTCGGAGAACAGTTTGACTCCCTCTTCTTTGGGGTAGCCCCTGAGATATTGGAAGACTTGCTATCATGTCCCCCCTCGTCCTTCTCTTCATTAAATTAGACCAGGGGTAGGCAACCTTGGCTCTTTTATGACTCGTGGACTTCAACTCCCAGAATTCCTGAGCCAGCCATGCTGAGGGGAAAGGGAGAGGTTTCCAAGCTGAGCCAGGCTGGCTCAGGAATTCTGGGAGTTGAAGTCCACGAGTCATAAAAGAGCCAAGGTTGCCTACCCCTGCACTAGACATTCCCAATTCCAGCAACCGTTCCATGTATGTTTTAGCCTCCAGCCCCCTGATCCTCTTTGTTGCTCTTCACTGCACTCTTTCCAGAGTCTCAACATCTTTTTTTACATCATGGCGACCAAAACTGGATGCCTTATTCCAAGTGTGGCCTTACCAAGGCCTTGTAAAGAGGTATTAACACTTCACGTGAGGACTACCTGCATTCCTGGTTCTCACAACTTTGTGTCTCTGCTTGATCCCACACAGTGCCGGCTCCCACCTTGTGTTTGTGCCTTCCTTGAGAGACGTGCACCATGTGTGTATTTATCCCCAACCACCTTTTGTCTACGAACTCGCCAGAGAGGACCGACAGGTAATTCCTCCGCCTTTCAGAGAAACGTCGCCTTCACAAGCTTGTCACAGGCAATCCTCGGACTTAACGACGCATGACTCGTGGACTTCAACTCCCAGAATTCCTGAGCCAGCATGAGGGAAACTTTGGCCCCCTCATGACTTGTGGACTTCAACTCCCAGAATTCCTGAGCCAGCATGAGGGAAACTTTGGCCCCCTCATGACTCGTGGACTTCAACTCCCAGAATTCCTGAGCCAGCATGGCTCAGCATGGAAACCTCTCCCTTTCCCCTCAGCATGGCTGGCTCAGGAATTCTGGGAGTTGAAGTCCACCAGTCATAAAAGAGCCAAGGTTGCCTACTAGGGCAAGGAAGATCCTAAAATGGGTCCTAAAATATCTCGCTTAGCAGCAGAAATTTTGCGTTCCCCTGCAGTCGTGAGTTGAGGACCACCTGCATACAACGTAGAGCTTTTTAGTTTTCTGTAAATGTTGATTTGATTGGGCTGAATTCTGAAAGGAAACATTGGATCTGCAAGAAAACCAAGGTCAGAGACCCCCAAGGACCCCACAATTGAAACCCGCTGGGTAGATCCAGGATGATATTTTTCCTTTGTCTTCCTATTTCCTTCCTAAGCACAAGAAGTATTTCAAGCACCTTTTTTTGCAAATATTTAACATAACAGTCAGCAAAGCCCCCTCCAGGAATCTGATGCTTTGCAAAGGATTTGAAGCCAAAATATCTGGCATGGCTGGATGGCTGATTTGGATGGTTCTCTTCCCATTCATTTGATAAGAAAAGATTCATTCAGACCAGGCCGAAATCTACATTTATTTTAAAGGCAAAACGTTGGATTGGCGCTTTTGGCTTTTTCTCAGATTGAAATTCCAGGTATTCCCAATAGGAGGTTCCAAGATGGTTCAGTCACCAGCAGGAGGCGATCGTGGTTACTTTTTGGCTTTGAGTTGCAAAAAATTGCTTTTTTTCCCCCTCCCCCCCCCAAAATACTAGGAATTTCCTGTTCAAATTGAAGTTGTTTTTCCAGGAAAATCAATGCAGCAGAGTGACTCAGGCCTTAGTGTGCAAAGTGTAATTTTTTGGAAGGGAGGAAATTATTGCGATTATTTCCTCCCCCCCCCCCAATCAAGCTTCAGAAGTCTTAGGTCGTCCGCCTCCGGGCTTGCTGGGAAGAATTTCTTCCCCTCTGCTTGCTTTGCTGTCCCTTTTATCCTATATTTTGGACATTGACACAACCTTTTCTTTTTGCAAAAAGGCCCAGGAACTTTTTTTGGGGGGGGAGTACTTCATTCGGCCACTCGGCTGAAACAGGACACAACAAGGATGGATTCTATGGAAATTTTGCTAACTTCTTGAAAGGGGAAATTGGCAACTTTCATTCTGGGCGAAGTTTGTTTCTGTTCTCTTTTATTGTGTTAAATCAGCACTTCTCAACCACGGGGAATTCTGGGAGTTGAAGTCCCCACGTCTTCAAATTGACCAGATTGAGAAAGACTGTATTAAATCTTCTTTTCAAAGAAGGCAGACAGGGAATTGGATATGTAATCAGAAACACACAAACACACCCGTCCTTTTCTCACAACAGGCAAGCAGGGGTTTCCCTTCTGCTGGGCCAGATCCAAGAACAGCAGGAAGATCGAACTTTCTCAAAACTCCCATGCAGCCTTGACTGTGGGTGTGTATGTGTGTGTGTGTTTATTTTGCTGGGGCAACACCCTAGAGAAATAAATCCCTAAATATTAATTGCTCAAGCGGTGAAATTCCCCAGCAGAATTAACCCACGTCCTGTGCCTGCTAAATGAAAGTAGGTCTGGGGTGTGTGTGTGTGCCATTAAGATGGTCTGGGACTCCATTTCCCAGAATTCCATGCTCGCTGAGGACTCCTGGGAGTTGCAGTTCCAGCCCTTTGGAAGAATGTTGGCTTGGGGAAAGCCGTCGTCAGAGTCAATATCAGGGTTTAGAAAATCTAACGTAGATCCCTAAGTCTTTTTCATTTCTATTTTTGAAAAAGAACAGAGAGTCCTCAACTTACAACCGTTCGTTTAGGGACTATTCGCACTGAAAAATGTGACTTACGACTGTTTTCTTACAACCGTTGCAGCCTCCCCGGGGTCATGTGATCCAAATTGAAACGCTTGGCAACTGACTTGTATTTACGACGGTTGCAGCGTCCCCCTGTTGTGACCTTCTGATAGGCAAAGTCAATGGTGAAGCCCACATTCCGTTAGTGATAGTGTGACTAATTTATTCACCGGGGCAATAAAAGTCATAAACTAGGGCAAAACTCACTTGACATTTAGCAAGGGAAATTTGGGGTGCCGTTGTCGTAAGCTGAGGACTGCACGTAGTTGAGTGGCTTTTAAATAGGAGAAAAAGGGGGTTGCGTGACGCTCTCAGCCTCTTCCAGTTTCTTTTCCCATCTATGGAATAAAAATAAAATCTATCTATCTAGGGGGTTTAATCATGTTTAATAACATGATAGCAGCGTTCCCATATCTCAGGGGCTGCCCCAAAGAAGAGGGAGTCAAGCTATTCTCTAAAGCGCCAGAAGGCAGGACAAGAAGCAACAGATAGAAACTAATCAAGGAGAGAAGCAACCTAGAACTAAGGAGAAACTTCCTGACAGTTAGAACAATTAACCAGTGGAACAGCCTGCCTCCAGAAGTTGTGAATGCTCCAACACTGGAGGTTTTTAAGAAGAGACTGGACAGCCATTTGACTGAAATGGTATTGGGGTTTTCTGCCTGAGCAGGGGGTTGGACTAGATGACCTCCAAGGTCCCTTCCATCATTATTATTACTATTACTGTTATTACTATTATAGCTTCTTAGTTATTTTGGTGACTGCAATTAAAACAAAGGTTTTTTGTTTTTGTTTTGCCCCCCTCTCAAACTCCAGAGAGTGCTCTTCGTCTCCGATCCCTGCACCTTAGAGATTGATGGGGTGATTTTCGGCTTAACCTCGGTGGATTTGCTCTTACACATGGGAGCGGAGGAAATCAGCCGGTAGGATCTTTGCAAAAAAAAAAAAAAAAAGTTCAATTCCGCGCAGGCACGCGAACAAGGAAGGGCAAAAGACGTGACGTGGTCCAAAATGGTTATTTATTTTTAACAAAGCATAAAATAAATACAGAGAGAAAAAGATAAAATGTAAAATAAGGGAAGAGAGAAAAGTCTGGGGTAGAGGAGAAAATAGAATTTTTTTTTTAAAAAAGCACTGACTTACTCCTTTTGGTGCAGGAGAACAAGAAGATAACATGAAATCATAACTTTTTAAATTTTATACAATGGCATAGGTCGTCCTCGGCTTGCAGCAGTTTGGTTAGTGACCGTTCGAAGTTGCAACGGCGCTGAAAAAAGGGACTTAAGTCCATTTTTCAGACTTATTACCGTTGCAGCCTCCCTGTGACCAGGGGGTTTATAACTGGATGCTTTGACAACTGCTTCATATTTATGACAGTTGAGAAATTCCCTGACAGAACAATGAACCAGTGGAACTCCTTGCTTCCAGAAGCTGTGAATGCTCCGACACTGGAAGTTTTTAAGAAGAGACTGGACAGCCATTTGTCTGAAATAGTATAGGGCAGGGGTAGGCCACCTTGGCTCTTTTATGACTCGTGGACTTCAACTCCCAGAATTCCTGAGCCAGCCACGCTGAGGGGAAAGGGAGAGGTTTCCAAGCTGAGCCAGGCTGGCTCAGGAATTCCAGGAGTTGAAGTCCACGAGTCATAAAAGGGCCAAGGTTGCCTCCCCCTGGTATAGGGTTTCCTGCCTGAGCAGGGGGTTGGACTAGATGACCTCCAAGGTCCCTTCCAGCTCAGTTCTGTTATTCTGCTTTCCTTCCTTCCTTCCTTTTCTTCCTTCCTTCCATCAACACTGGAGGTTTTTAAGAAGAAACCAGATAGCCACTTGTCTGAAATAATATAGAGTTTTCTGTCTGAGCAGGAGGTTGGACTAGAAGACCTCCAAAGTCCCTTCCAACTCTGTTATTATTATTATCATCGTTGTTATTGTTATTACCCTTCAAAGTTACAGTGGCACTGAAAAATGTGACTTATGGCCATTGCAACATCAAAATAGTTACCTGATCAGACGCTCGGTAACTGACTCATATTTATGACGGTTGCAGAGTTCCCGGGGGGGGGGAGGGGAGGGTCACGCGATCCCCTTTTGCGACCGTCCGACAAGCAAAGTCAATGGGGAAGCCTGGATTCACTTAACAACTGCGTGACCACGGTGAATTCACTTAACAACAAAAAGTTATTTAAAAAACAAAATCATAAAAGTTAGCAACAGAAATTTTGGGCTGAATTGCGATGCTAAGTCAAGGACTCCCTGTATAACGTGAAGGGAAAAAGATTTCAGCTTGGAAAAAAAAAGAAGCCGGCTAACACTGCCCCCCCCCCTGCTCCCCAGGGGGGTGTCTGAGTGATTCAGGAGTTGAGTGTCAACACTTTGTCGATTGGGGTCTTGTGCAATCCTGGTTGCGTCAGCAACCGAGTGTGAGATGGATGGACGAGCTGGGATGAGAGGTGATTCACCAACAGCTCACAACGACAGGAGGAAGAGAAAGAAATTTGGAGTGGGTGTCATCGGTGGCTGCCCTAGAAAGTCAAAGAGTTTGCATGACTTCCAGAAAGGCTTCTCTGCTTTACAGTTAGTCCTCGACTTAACGACTACAATTAGGGCCAGAATTTCCGTTGCTAAGCGGTGGTTACATTAACTTAGGTTAACTCTGTTATTCCATTCCATTCTATTCCATTCTATTCTGTTTTCTATTCTATTCTGTTTTACATTCTATATTCTATTCTATTCTGTTTTCTATTCTATATTCTATTCTATTCTCTCCTTTTCTTTCTATTCTGTTCTGTTCTGTTTTTTATTCTATATTCTATTCTATTCTATTCTCTCCTTTTCTTTCTATTCTGTTCTGTTCTGTTTTCTATTTTATATTCTATTCTATTCTCTCCTTTTCTTTCTATTCTGTTCTGTTCTGTTTTCTATTCTATATTCTATTCTCTCCTATTCAATTCCATTCCATTCCATTCTGTTTTCTATTCTATATTCTCCTATTCTGTTCTATTTTTATTCTATTTTCTATTCTCTCCTATTCTGTTCTATTTTCTATTCTATTCTATTCTATTCTCTTATTTCTATTCTATTCTAATTCTATTATTCTATTCATATTTCTATTCTATTCATAATTCTATTCTATTCTACTCTACTCTATTCTATTCCGTAATTCAATATCGCCTTCGCTGAGCTGCCTTAAGGGCTAGAATCTTGTGAACCTTTTTTTTTTAAGGAGATGAACCCTTTCATCCAGAGTGAATGTGACAAGAGTGTTTTTTTTTAAGTACTCCGATTAGCCATGACTAAGCCATGGGTGTCTGCAAGTAAATGTTGTGACTAACATATGAGGGGTTTGCAAAACAGAAAAATGTGACTACATTTTTATGATGTCACAGACAAGATAGGCATCTGTTACTGACCAGCAGGATTGCATTACAGACAAACACAAAAGCATATTTTTCCCCCTTATTTTCCCTGAGGTTTCGGGTGGGGATGTCAGCTAGTTTGAAAGAGGTGTTAATCTTAAGGATTCAGGGCTTAAATGGACCATCACCGAGCAAAGAACATAATAACAGAACTGGAAGGGACCTTGGAGATCTTCTAGTCCAACCCCCTGCTCAGGCAGGAAACCCTATACCATTTCGGACAAATGGCTGTCCAGTCTCTTCTTAAAAACCTAGTCCAACCTCCTGCTCAAGTAGGAAAAGTCAATGGATAAAGTCACAGGTTTGTTTGGAGCCAAGTTTAACCCTCCTTTTGATAAACAGTTCTTTGATAAGCCATCCACTTAATCCCCTCCTACATTTTTATCCTCAAAGCAGCCCTGTAAGGTACGCCGCACCAGAAGTCTGTTCAGTGATCAAAGTCTCTTAATTTCTTTTTTTCTACCTTTCGCTTTCTGATTCCCCCCCCCTCCCCCCATTCTCAGATCTTCAAGTCTTCAGGACCGTTTTTTTCGAATTCTCAAACACATCCTGACCCAGCGGAGGTAAGCCTCAGGACCGCTTCCGAACGCGGCTTGCGTTTTGTTCCCACCCTGCCCCAAATACACAAAAAACAGACACACTCAAAACGTAATTTGTGGCCATCCTGGGCCAAGGGGAGGATTGGGATTGAAGGTGAGGCTTTCTTCAATTTCCAACAATGTATGGGACAAAGGGGGATTCTAGTCCTCATGAAGAGATCACTGGTTAATTATCAAAAAAAAATAAATCTAAACCCAGTTAGCTGTGGCTTGGACTTACAAAGAAGCATGGGTGTTTGTTTGTGGAAAAGCTGCAAAATGTTTGTAGAAAAGGGTTGGGAGGAAGGGAGGGAGAAAAATTGGGAAGGAAGAAAAGGAAGGAAAAGAGAAAGAAGGAAGGGGAGGAAGAAAAAAGGAAGGAAGGAAAAGAAGGAAGAGGAGTGAGAATGGGAAGGAAGGGAGAAAGGGAAGAAAAGGAGGAAGGAAGGAAAAGAAGGAAGGAAGGAGGAAGGGAGAAAGGGAAGGGAGGGAAGGAGAAAAGGAAGAAAAAAGAAGAGTGAGGGAGAATAGGAAGAAAGGGAAGGAAGGGAGGAAGAAAGACGGAAGGAAGGAAAAGAGACAAAAAGAAAAGGAAAGAAGACAGGAGAAAGGAAGGGGGGAAGAGAGGGAGGGATGAAAAGAAAGGAAGGGAGACATCAGGGAAATGATGGTGACCGGCGGGCCGAAAAAGCCACCGTGTCATCCCCCGGGTGCCCCTAAAAGTCGACCCTCCTTATATCTTGGTTTATTTCTTGCACCAAACCTCAAACCTGCCTTGTTTGCTGCTGCCTTCCCATACCTCCCAAGCCCAGCCATCGTGGTTTGTAACCCTGATCGGCGGCTCGGCCCCATCGATAACCTCCCCCCCCATCGCAGCTGATCGGCAACCCCCCTGAAATCAACCACGGCTTGCCGGGTCCTATCCTTTCAAACGGGTTCCCATGGGTGGGCAACCAGGAGCCCAGCGGGCACGCCTGATGCCAGCTGCCCTGGAGTTGCTGCAGCTGCTGCTCCGCGTGGGAAACGTGCCGCCGGCCGGCCTTGGGAACACCGACCCCCTTTTTTTGGCCCTGTGGGTTAAGATGCCAACCCTCCCAGGAGGGGAGCCTGGAATTAGTGGCAGCCGCGGCAGCCACAGCCTTGCCAAACCCCAGCTTGGCATCGACGGGTAGAGGAGAAGCAGCAGCTGCTGGGTGCGGCCTTGAATGCCAGCCAAAGGTTGGGCAAAGCATTTTGGGGTAACTCGATCTCTTCTCCTTCCCCCCCCCCCGTTAAATTCTGAACAGCTACTATCCTCTCTACCCACCCCCCGAGGACATGAGTGTGGATTACGAGCGTTTCTACCCGCACGCCTGTCTGCCCGTCACGCCGGACCTCTTGATCATCCCGTCCGAACTGAAATACTTCATTAAGGTGGGGAGAAACCAGCTATGAGCTGAGCTGGGGAGGGGTGGGGGGGAATTAGGAAGGCAGCCCCACCCTTGGGGCCTGCGTGCGTGGATACCTAAGCCGTTGGGCCTCCTCGCTCCTAAAAATAACCCAAGATTCCAGTCCTCATGATTTCTGTCGAAGGAGGGGCTCGGGATAGCAAGGCCTGAGGGCGACGGTTTGTCTGATGCCATGCTGGAGGTGGTGGTACGTGGGATGGGAAAGGAGGAGCAGAAGGCTCCGGGCAGAGAAAAATCTCCCAGCATTCCTCAGTCTGGAACTCTGCGCATGCAAAATAGGTGCCGTGCCGACTTTGAGCCTTCCCTGTGGAGAACGAAGGCATTTCTTAAGCCCTTGCTGTGGCATTGAGCTTCCAGGTTTAGAGGCTGTCTATCTCAGAAAACAAAGGGCTGGCCAGTTTTGGGAAGGGGGTTTTACTTGTAGTCCTCGAACTTACGACCACAAAATTGGGACCAGAATTTCCGTAACGAAGTAGTAAGGTGATTGTTCACGGCGTCGCGCCCCATTTACGACTCTTTTTTTCCCAGGGTTGTTGAGCGATTCAGTGCAGTTCACGTGTCACTGGGCTGCAAACTATAACCAAGCGTGACTCGTTTAACAACCGCCTTGGTTAGCAGGAGAAATTCTATTCCTAATTGTCATAATTCGAGGACTGTCTGTATGACCTATTTGGCAAACTTCAGTTGAATTAAACAGAGGGTAATACTTAAACCCCATTCATGAATGTGCAATTGAATTTTCTATGTCCGGAAAGTTACTATGAAAATTACTATTAATATGAACGGCAGGTAGTCCTCGACTGACGACCAAATTTCTGTTGCTAAGTGGGACAGTTGTTAAGCGAGATTTGCTCCCGTTTGACGACCTTTCTTGCCACCGTTGTTAAGCGAAGTTAGCAACGGTTGTTAAGTGAATCCGGCTCCCCCATTGATTTGGCTGGTCAGAAGATCGCAGAAAGGGGTCATGTGACTCCGGGACGCTGCGACCGTCGTAAATATGAGTCAGTGGCCGAGCATCTGAATTTTCATCATAAGGACACTGCAACGATCGTCAGCATGAAAAACAATCATAATTCACCTTTTTCGGAGCCGTTGTAACTTTGAACGGTCCCTAAAAAAACGGTCATAAGTCAAAGGTTCTCAAATAACGGGACAAGGTTCAGCTAAAATGGAGTTTGGGTGCCTAAGCCTGCATGATCTGATCCAAGCCACATTCCTACAAGCCATCTTGGTTTAAAACCTCTCGTCTTTTCGTTTAGGACATCTTGGGGTGCGTCTGCATTAATCCCAGCCGGCTGACGAAAGGACAAGTGGGGGGCAGCTACGCGCAGCTGTGGGTCCAGCCACAGGTCCACGGGAACCAGCGGAAAGGCCCGTGCATCGCTGCGCAAGTGATTAAGATCTAACCAGGTTCCGCCAACACCTGAAGCTGAGCAAAAGACATTTTTGCCATCAAGAGGATGAGACATTTAGACTTTAGTTTCTTCAGCAATGTGCAGATCCCAAAGTCTGGGCGACCCAAACATCTGGATAGCATCTCCTTAAGTTTCCTGATGTTTGCTTTCTGGTTATCTGTAGCTGGATGATATCTCCATCGTTCTTCTGGATACATTATCCAGGCCTGTTTCTGATATCGACACACATAAATTTATGAATTTATTGATTTGGGTTACGTTCAAGTCCTGTTTCTCAGCCAGCCCTATGAAATCCAGATTGCCGCACAAATGAATTGTTAGCAGATGTGCGATGGATTGCTTTGATTCTCCAAGGAAGAGAATTCTGGGAGTTGAAGTCCACCCACCTTAAAGCATGCTGGCTGGGGAATTCTGGGCATCGAAGTTCATCCATCTTAAAGGATGCTGGCTGGAGGATTCTGGGAGTTGCATTCAGGGGCTTTTTATAAAAATGTGCATTGCAGGCAAAGCTTTGCCTGGTTTCGAACTGGCCCAACTATGCTGATTTTCGCTCCTCTGACATTTTATATTTTCATTTTTTGGAGCACGGCCCAGTAATCTTAATAGGGATCTATCAGCCTATCAGAGTGCTCCGATCTTCACTGAGTGTTTTTATTTTCGACAAGGAAAGAGTCCACAGGATGAAAGTTTACCCGAAGCAATTCGCGGGTTTGGAAACTTGGCGAGAAGTTTTAATTTTATTTTCTTCCCGTCGTGAATAAATTCGCTTCCTTTGGCACCTGCGAGTGCCAGTCCTTGCGTTGCGGCGGTGGGCAAGGTGGCAGCGAAGGTTGGGCCAAGAATTTTTTTAAGCCAGGATAGAAAATGAAATTTTTCTCTCCTTGCTACAGGTAGTTCTCGACTTAGCAGCCACAACTGAGTCCAAATTTTTCATTGTTAAGCCAAGAGATGGTTGAGTGAGTTGTGCCCAATTTTATGACGTTTTTCCACCACGGCTGTTCAGTGTTAAGTGAACAATGTGATCATTAAGCAAAAGAAGGAAGGAAGGGAGAGGAAAGAAAGGGAAGCAAGGAAGAGGGAAAGAAAAAGAAAAGAGGCAAAAGAAAAGGAAGGAATGAAAGAGGAAAAGGGAGTGGAAGCAAGGGAGAAGGAAGGAAGGAAAAGAGAAGAAAAACGCCGAGAGAGAAGGAAGGAAATGAAAAGAAAGGGAAGGGAAAGACGCAGAGAAAGAAAAATGGAAAGATGCGGAGAAAGGAAAAAAGGAGAGAAGGAAAAGATGCAGAGGAAAAAAATGAAGGAAAAGAGGGAAAGCAGGAGGGGAAAAGGTGCAGAAAGGAAAGGAAAAGAGGGAAAGAAGGAGAAGACAAAAGGAAGGAAAGACTGCACAAAAAGAGAAGAAAGGAAGTGTTGGAACAGGAACCTGGTTTTGTGCCCGTTTCTGACACTTCCAAGCAAGCCATTTCCTTGGCTAGGCTCCTTATGCCCAATCCACTGACGTCATTCCCCCCCCCCAGGCTTCGGGGCATGAGTGCAAAAGCCGCGTCCTCCCAACATCTGTGCAGAGCGCAGTTGCCTTTCCTGGCCGCTGCCTCGCCTGGAGGAGCTTCCTCTGCCTGCCTGCCTCTCTCTCTCTCTCTCTGTCCTTCTCTCTTTTCTCTCTCTCTCTGTCCTCTCTCTTTCTGGGCCGCTAGTCCTCAAGGTATGAGCACAACTGAAGAGTCGAATTTCAATTGCTACGCCAGGTTTGGGGAAGGAAGGAAGGAAGGAAGGAAAAGAGAAGAAAAACGCCGAGAGAAGGAAGGAAATGAGAAGAAAGGGAAGGGTTGGGCTAGGAGACCTCCAAGGTCCCTTCCAGTCTTATCCTATGTTCTTCCACGTAACTGACCCCTCCATGTAGCTAGAAAAATGGAATTTCCAGGACCAAATCTGGGTGTGAAGGTTTTTTTTTTTTTTTTCCGTGATAATACCCAGGAAAACAGGAGATGAACCGGGGGGGAAAACATATTCATTTCCTTTGTTTCTCCTGAACTAATTTGCAAGATTTCTGGATTTACTTATTTATTTTTCCTCCCAGTGATCCCATCGCTCTTTCCTCCAGTGACGCAGGGACCCTTGGCAAAGGCTTTCCCTCCGCGCGCCCCCCCTCCACCAGAAGGGCTGTTTTTCTTGCTTGCAAATGCCAAAATCTTGAAGTCATATCGGAGAGACGTCAGAAGTCAGCTGGCCCTAATCTGCAGGGCGAAGGTCAGCCCAGCCTGAATATTTCTCCCCCCCCCAAAAAAAAAGCCCAGCCCACATCAGCTTTTCTTTGCCAAGGTTTTCCCGTTAAATGGCATTTCTGCAGAAAGATCATCAGCGCAGGAAATATATTCTTGCTTCAAGGCTCTCCGTGTGTGCAGTATGTACAGAGGCTAAAAAAAATTAGTTCTCGACTTACAGGGATTCGGTTACTGACCGCAGTTTCAACGCCACTGAGAAAAATGACCTGGCCATTTTTCAGACATTGGTCACGTGATCAAAATTCCGCCACTTGGCATGTATTTACGACGGCGGCGGTGTCCTGGGTTCACGTGATCAAAATTCCGACGATTGGCAACTGACTTATGATGGTTGCAGTGTCCCGGGGTCACGTGATCCCCTTTTGCGACTTCCTGACAAGGAATTATTATTATTATTATTAAATAATAATAATAATAAAATAATAATAATAAAGTTGGAGGGACCTCGGAGGTCATCTAGTCCAACCCCCTGCTCACGCAGGAAACCCTAGACCATTTCAGACAAACGGCTATCCAGTCTCTCCTTAAAAAGTCGAGGGGGGGAAGCCAAATTCGCTTAATGACCATGTCACTAACCACAACTACAGCGATTCCCTTTTAGCAACCACGGTGAGAAAGGTCGTAAAACAGGCACAAAGCTCACTTAGCAACAGAAATTTTGGACTCAGTCTGGTCGTGCATAGAGGACTACTTGCAACATGGAAGCAACTAGCCTTGCCAGGGACATGTTTTCAGCTTCCCAGCGTAGTCCACTGCTGGCTGCGCGATCTCCTTGTGGTCTCCTTTCCACGCCTTGAAATTACGTCCCAGAAGGAAACATCTTATCGCCAAGGTCATCTGCTAACCTGGAATCTGATCCAAAGGGCTTCTGTCCACAATTCCTGCTGGAATCTTCAGTCCCCCCCCCCCACAATGTTTTTATTTCCTATGAGGAGCCAGCTCTGAATGCTTTTTAGCACGCCCCTTTAGTTTTAAAAAAGCTTCCTCTAATTTTCTTAATTTGTTCTCCTCTCCAGCCTGTCAGATAATCTGCAAAATCTAGAATTTGGACAGCATTCAAAGGAAGATTATTCCCCCCCCCACACACACACACACAAAACAGCTTCTACAAATATATCACTTAATCTGACACGCTCAAAGACAGATAAGGAAAGCTCTCTGCCAGCAGATCTGCAGGCTGTGCGCCAACACACATTCCCAAGATTTATTCTGCAGGAAATTTATCTGAACGATGATTGGGGAAAGGGTCAGTGAAATCTGGGAGAAAGACGGGAAAACTGCAAGAGAGGGTGTAATTTTGCAGAAAACATTAAACCGGAAGTGAATGCTTGCAAAATTCTCGTGGCCTTGCAGTTCTGGGGAGGGGTGGGGATTAAATGACTCAAACATTGTGTGTGTGTGTTTGTGTGAAAAAGCCCTGCTGTTCCTTAGATGGCTCTGCCCCCTCTCCCCCTCCCTCCTTTCAATCCAAATTCTTCCTGGTGCTGCTGTTAAATTTGAAATAAATCAGCAGCCAAGCTGGGCCCCACCAGGCTTAAATCTGCGGTCCTTCTTCCTGAGATTCTCCAGCATCCCTCGAGAATGAGGCAGAAAACCAGAAGCTTCTTTTGGAAACTTCCTGACAGAACAATTAACCAGTGGAACAACCTGCCTCCAGAAGCGGTGAATGCTCCCAACACTGGAAGTTTTTAAGAAGAGACTGGACAGCCTTTTGTCTGAGATGGTCTAGGGCTTCCTGCCTGAGCAGGGGGTTGGACTAGATGACCTCCAAGGTCCCTTCCAACTTTATTATTATTAAGGCCAAACAGCAGATTTGAGGCTTAAGATGAATACCAAGTGCGGGTAGTCCTCAGCTTACGACCACAGTACAGATCAGAATTTTCGTGGCTGAGGAAGGCGGTGTTGTCCCATTTTGCAACAACGGTTAAGCGATCACTGCATCTATGAAGTGAATCGCCTGGTCTTTAAGCGAATCCGGTTTATTCCTTGTCAGAAGCCGGCTAGGAAAGTCACAAACCAGTGATCGCTTGACCCCAGGACACGGCAACAATCACAAACACACTAGTTTCCAAGCACCTGGATTTTGTGCACGCGATTGTGGGTTACGCTCGACAAATCCCTGAGTGCAAAGACCAGTCAAAAGTTAAGTTTTTTCCATACGGGTAGTCCTTAAGTTACGACCACCATTGAGCCCAAAATACATGTTGCTAAGTGTGACATTTAAGTGGGTTTTGCCCCGTTTCCTTTCCACGGTTGTTACGTGAATCATTACAATTATTAAGCTAATGACAGGGTTGTTAGGTGACTTTGCTTGTCAGAAGGTCGCAAAAGGGGATCACGCTGCGACCGTCATAAATATGAGTCAGCTGCCGAGCACCTGAATTTTGATCAGGTGACCATGGGGATCGTAAGTGAAAAACGGCCGTCACTCACTTTTTCCAGTGCCGTCGTAACTTCGAACAGTCACTAAATGAGCTGTTGTAAATCGAGGCCTACCTGTAAGGTTGTACCTGGGAATAGTTGCCAAACAAGTGGTCGTAACTTGAGGACTACCTGTGCGCAATCTTTCCAATGCTCCTCGCTTGCTTTGACCTCTTAGCCGGGATACAGTTAGTAAGTTCAGAAGTCTGATTATCCTCAGCAGGCAGAGTGCGGTTGTGAACTAAACAACTGTTGCTATGGGAAAGGAAAATATTGCAGTACTATAAAAGTGCTGGGTCTAAAAGGGGAAGATCAGCCAGGGGACACGGATGTTGGCCACGAATTCCACCTTCCCTGGTTATGTTGACTTGCTCTGAATAGGGAAAGTTGTTTAGGAAAGTTTGACAGCTCTAAAGAAAGTTTTTTCAACTTAGCCACTTCAAAGTAGGTGGACTTCAACTTCCAGAATTCCCATTCCTGGGATGTTGAAGTCCATTAAAGCATGCTGGCTGGGGGATTCTGGGAGTGGAAGCCCACCCCTCTTAAAGCATGCTGGCTGGGGGATTCTGGGAGTGGAAGCCCACCCCTCTTAAAGCATGCTGGCTGGAGGATTCTGGGGGTTGAAGCCCACCCCTCTTAAAGCATGCTGGCTGGGGGATTCTGGGGGTTGAAGCCCACCCCTCTTAAAGCATGCTGGCTGGGGGATTCTGGGGGTTGAAGCCCACCCCTCTTAAAGCATGCTGGCTGGGGGATTCTGGGGGTTGAAGTCCACCCCTTTTAAAGCATGCTGGCTGGGGGATTCTGGGAGTTGAAGTCCACCCATCAAAGTTGCTGAGGCTGGGAAACCCCACTGTAAACTTTGCTTTATGATGCTAGAAATTCAGATTGTTTTTTTCGGGGGGGGGGGTAATGTCATTTGCATGATGCAAAATTGAGAGACCCAGGATAGAGAAATCAAAAGTGCCAAGCTTTCAGCAGCTGCCCAGGATGAGTTCAATACAAGATTTTGCAACCCCGGGGGATTTTCGACGAATTCTTCCTCTCCTTTTCCTCTCCCACGTGATTTAAAGACTATTAAAGCTGCCTGATTCACTCCTCGTCTTGCAACCTGCAATTTGAAAAATTCCCCTTTATTTAGGTAAAGGGGTGGGAAAACATTAAAGGCAAAAAAAAAGGCTGCATTCAGCCGAATCAATTCTCCCACGAAAAAAAGCGGGATTTAATTTCAAACCCAGCCATCTTGCAAGATGGCTCCAGAATAGAGTCTTGCCACAATTTCATTTAGTGACTGGAAAAAAGTGACTTCACGATCGTTTTTCACCCTGCAACATTATCCAGGGTCACATGATTAAAAATTTGGACAATGATCAACTGTCTCGTATTTATGACGGTTTGCAGCATCCCAGCGTCCCTTTTGCGACCTTCCAACCAGTAAAGTCCATGGGAAGGTCAGATTCACTTAACAATCGTTTTACTAACTTAACAACTGTGGCAAGAAAGATCGTAAAATGGGAGCAAAACTTGCTTAACGACTGTCTCACTTAGCAACAGAAATTTTAAGCTTGATTGTGGTCTTAAGTTGAGGACCACTTGCATGACCTTGAAATCTTGACACTGTAAATTTTTAGCTGATCCAGCAAAGATGTTTCCTCAAAACAGATCGTGTTTGTTTATTTTCCACTTGGGGTCTCTAAGGATGTTGCTTTTATGTATTTTTTCCCCCCTAATGCAGGGGTCTTCAAACTTGGCCCTTTAATGACTTGTGGACTTCAACTCCCAGGATTCCCCAGCCAGCATGTTTTAAGATAGATGGACTTCAACTCCCAGAATTCCCCAGCTAGCTAGCCTGCAGGATTCTGGAAGTTGAAGTCCACGTATTTTAACATGATCAAGGTTGAGAAACACTGGTCTCGAACAGGGGTCTTCAAACTTGGCCCTTTTATGACTTGGGGACTTCAACTCCCAGAATTCCTCAGCCAGCGTGTCTGGCTGAGGAATTCTGGGAGATGAAACCCACAAGTCATACAAGGGCCCAGTTTGAAGACCCTCTCCCCTAATGCTTCCAAAGTTGCAAATATCCCCATGTGGAAATGCAATAAGAGGAAAGTCTCTTCCCCTTTTAAAACCCCAAGAATTCTGCCTAGATCCCTTAATTGCATTTTAATGATTACAACAACCCTGCAGGATCGCCCAAGCAGAAATGAAATGTTTTAATTTCTCCAGGGCCACCCAAAGCGCAGCTTAAATTTGGAAATCTCTCACTTTTGAACCTGGCATTTTATTTGTTCCAGAGCACTGAGGACTTAAATGGATAATAACAGAGTACCACTTCTCAAAACCCTTTCAATGCTTGCGCAGACACCTGCAAAAAAGGAATTTAGGATACAAACAAACATGGGTCCTGAAACTGCACATTTTTCCAAGGGGTTTGACTTAACCCTCACATTCACGGAAAGGACATATCTTTTTGGCAAAGGGTGATTCGTTTTTAAAACCTGCAAAGAGTCGGAAGGCCGGGTGAATAGAGCTACTTTTTGAGAAGCATCCCGTTCTCCTTCTGGCTTAGCTATCAAACCATGGTTAGCCCATTTTGGTGTTTAAAAGATCGTTAGAATAATAAATCTTAAGATTTCCCCAAGTGTGCGTTTCATCTGAATGCTGGAACGACGTGCCAGACAACCATTTGGGATAAGGGATGGTACACGGTCTCCTGCCAGTGGAACAACCTGCCTCCAAGAAGCAGTGAATGCTCCAACACTGGAAGTTTTTAAGAGACTGGACAGCCATTTGTCTTTAGTGGTATAGGGTTTCCTGCCTGAGCAGGGGGTTGGACTAGATGACCTCTTAAGATCCCTTCCTGCCCTATGATTCTATGACCTTTTTTTTATTCCTTTAAAACTCTAAACCCTGGAAGAGAAGTACCTTAGACAGCAGCCCCGAAAAACGATTGGAAAAGTCTAGGCTGTGTCTTACATCAGGGTTCAATCATAAACCATGGTTTATAGTTCACTATGGTAGGAACAGTCGGCTTCACACCCTGTGCGAAGTGTGTGGTTTGGGTTTAGTCACAGTCCTTGATTCGCAAACTGTATGGGTTGGTGACTCCATCAAGGGGGCGTTCCTCCCTGTGAACAAACCACGATGGAACCAACTTTTGAGCACGATTGAGCAAAAAAGTCACGAACCGAGCAAAACTTTCTCAAGAAACTTCCAAGGTGAAAAAGCATCGGCGGGGGGCGTGGCTGGGAGGAGGGGCGTGGCTTGAAGAGGCGGCCCAGATTTTATCGCAGCCAGCTCGGATTGGCTGGGGGGGGCGCGGGGCGGGGCTTAAGGGGTGGCGAGCGCTGGCCGGCCAAGCTTTTAATCTTTCTGCTCGGAATTGGTCGTGGGAAAGGAGCTTCTTCCGTGTCCTCCGCTTGCTGGGACCCTCGGCGCTGGGTAAGTCTTTGCAAAGGAGCAAATGCTAAGTTTCATGCATGGAAATTCGTGTTTTTTCCCTCGCTTTTCTTTCTTTATGCCTTTTCTTTCTTTATTCCTCTCCCCCCGCCCCACTGGCTTCCTTTGCTCAACCCTAAAGCGGTTCCGCGGCTCTGTTTATCCGATTTGCAGAATAACAAGAGTTAGGAGGGGATCTTAGAGGTCTTCTAGCCCAACCTCCTGCTCAGGCAGGAAACCTCGGTCTTTCCTGATTTGGGGCTGAGAGGTGGAGAAAGGGCTCCTGATGCTTCCCGTTTCCCAACTCGGGCGCTTCGGACACCCTTCCTACGTTCCCGCGAAGCGCAACGTATGAACGCGAAGGAAGAAACGCGCGGTTCATCCCTTGCCTCTTGGGAAGGGAGCGAGACGCGCGTTTGTTTTTTTTTTGCTTCTGGGACGCTTCCAAAAGGGTCGAGGCGGATTTTTCCCAGCTTCATTCAAACAATGTGTGGTTTAAATTTCTCGGGGGTGGCGAACCTGGGAGCCCCCAGTGCTAACCGTGATTCAAAGTTTGCTTGGGCTGGGTTTTTTCCCGCATATTTTTCCTTCCTCCCCCCCCCGGGGGGGGGGGGCTGGCGCGCTTTCTGTTGTGTTGCAATATTTTTATTTGCGATCCGCTTCCGCAAGTTGTTTCTTTCTTTCCAAAGGATTTCAGCCTGGGCAGCGCTCCTTAAATGCAAACAAACAAACATTCAGAAAACCAACAAGCCCCTGACCCAGGCTGAATTAATCTTGGTTCAAACCCTGGTGAATTGGCTTATTGGACGAACTTACAGTACTCCCATTGCTGCAGAATTATCTCAGGACCCTAAGCGAATAAGGGGAGCTGCTGTGGGTCGGTTTTGTGGTGGGAATCCTGGCTTAGACGGTCTTGTGAACCCAGCAAGTGTTTTGCAAATGGGTCTCTGGCGTTCGCACATCCCCCCCCCCTTGGGTGTCCTTTCCCTGTCACACAGCCGAAGCGGACAATCGGGGTTACTTCTCCAAATTTGGGGTGGGGATGGGCTTGCTTAGGGTTTCAATTTTACACCTTGCAGGAAAGGTCTCCCCCACCCCTTTCAAAGTACCTGGGCGGTTTGCTCTTTTCAGGTTAGACTGCTCCTGGACCTGGAGGCTCCATTAAGGGCTTAAAGAGCCATTGGTAGGCTTCTCCTGTTCGTTCCTCTCCCCTCCTTCCCCAGATGTTTCAACCTGGCCCCTTAGATATATAAGGTGAAGGGCCGTGTGATGATGGCTATGTGTCCCAGTGGGTGCAAGATTGAAGAGAAAAATGTGTGTGTGTGTGTGTGTGTCTTCTGAATCGGCCTGGTCCAACTTTTTGAACAACTCCCTTCTTTTAAATCTTGCTCATTCTTGGAATTGTAGTCCGGCACCCACAGAGGAGATCCGATGGGAAAGAAAATATTCTAAATTAAAAGTTCCAAAATGCTGTGCTTTTTTTCTATCTTTCCTTCCTTCCTTCCCTTTCTTATGTAGTGCATTTTGCAAAAATGCTTCCCTTTCAGCCAACCCCCAAACCAACATGGGGGCCAATTTTTATTTTTATTTATTTTTTCTTCGCTCTTCGGTGCAGGAAGACTCTGGAAAGCTTAACAGGCACAATTGTCAAACCTTTTGAGCGAAAACAATGCTTGTGCACAAAAAGCCAGTCCGGGGTAAAAAAAAAAAAAAAAGGCAGGCGGTCTAGTTTGCAAGCTGTGTTTTACACCCCTTGCTATATTTGGGACATGCAACCTGACAGCTCTGCTTTTTTTTTTTTTTTTTTGGGAGGAGGGGGGCCATGTTGTGCAGATGCTGTAATGTGGAGCCTTGCGCAACAAGGGTGGAGTCTGCTAAAGTCGTCTCTGATCTCTCCAAACACGGCCGGCCAAATCGTGTAATACACACACACACATACATTGCGTGTGAGCGGCTTGACTCTCAGTCCCAAGAACACGACGTCATGCCTGGGGGCGGGGGGGGGGGAGGAGGAGAGCACCCCCTCCTCATTTCTCACCCTGCAAGACCTCCCTCCTTTCTTGGCACACATTCCCATTTGCTCTCTTTCTCCCTCTTATAATACTAGCTTTGTAGTTTAAACGCCCCATCCGCTTTCCCCCCATCTTAGATTAAGCTAGCTTGAGTTGCAATTAAGCCAGGCTTGGGGGATTTAACAGAATGACAGAGTTAAAAGGGGCCTTAGAGGTCTTCTAGTCCAACCCCCTGCTCAGGCAGGAAACCCTATACCATTTCGGACAAATGGCTGTCCAGTCTCTTCTTAAAAACTTCCATTGTTGGAGCATTCACAGCTTCTGGTGGCAAGCTGTTCCACTGGTTAATTGTTCTCACCATTAGGATGTTTCTCCTTAGTTCTAGGTTGCTTCTCTCCTTGATTAGTTTCCATTCATTGTTTCTTGTCTTGCCTTCTGGTGCTTTGGAGAATAGGTTGACCCCCCCCCTTCTCTGTGGCAGCCCCTCAAATATTGGAAAGCTGCTATCATGTCTCCTTACTCCTTCTTTTAACTAGACTAGGCTTACTTAATTCCTGCAACTGTTCCTCATATGTTTTAGCCTACACAGCCTCCGCCTTACTCTTTTTTGCATTCTTTACAGAGTGTTGATATCTTTTTATAATACGGTAAGCAAAACTGGATGCAGCATTAGTTGAAGATGTTAAAATGATAAGCTAAGATAAACTTTATTGTCATTTTTTACTGTCAGGCCCCATTAAAAAGGAGAGACTGTTGCCTGCTCTCAAAAGAAAATATGTATCTTCACATACATAACACACATGTACGCATGCTATGTACACACAAAGACACACACCTATATATAAATGAAAATGAGGTTGGTTTGTTTTTTTTCAGAGAATGAATTTGCAGAACAGCTGGATTCGTGCTCAGGGCTTAATAGGGATAAGATCTTAAAAAGGGTGGGCTGGATTATCCTTATGTGTCTCAGGGCTGTAAAACGAGGTGGTTTAAAGCATTAACCAGGTTTAGTTGGCTGACCTCCTTACTGTGCAATGAGGAGGGGAGAAGTTCTTTCAAAGCAGTCACCAATGTTGACGCATGTTAATTGTTTAGTTGAACACCTTAAGCACCGATCCTCACCAAGAGTTAAGTTCTGCCCGTTGCACAAAAGTTTTGACTGTGGTTTGTTCAACCCCAGTTTATGGCTTAGCGATCAAAACACCCGTGAAATTCCGGGCTTGTAATTTCAAATGCAAACTTTAAAAGGAAGCTGCCGAAACGGGGATTAGAAAGTCTTAAAAAGTTTTGAGCGAGGGAAATATAATTAAAACCATGTTTAGCTGTGGTCCTGGCTGCGTTCACAACTTTGGGGAGAAGTCAGCTACGCAAGGTTTTTATGTTGCGTTACTGGTTTTGCTGTGGCGGCCCCGGAGGTTTGTTTAAGACACAAAGTTGTGTATATATTTAGCATAAACATATGCTTCCTGGTTTAGCTTAGAGGGCTCTGTTAATCCGTCAGTTGGGGATTATGTAGAATTGTGGTTTGTGTATTGGTGGGATGAGGTTTTTAAGAGCAGAGCTTTAAAAAGCTACTTCCCACACTTGGCCAGCATCTCGCTGGAAAGTTCATGATTGAAAAGTGGAGTGGAGTTTTTGCCCGTTCATTCATACACAGGAATTTATGACGAACTTACAAATTGGGACCAGAATTTCCATGTCTGAGCAAGGTTGTTTAAGATTGTTAAGTGGATTGTGACCGATTTTATGACCTCGCTTTGCCACCATTGCTAAGCGAATCACTGCAGTTCTTAAATGAACCGGGTGGTCCTTAAGCGAATCCGGTTTTCCCCAATGTTTGTTAGAAGCTGAAAAAGGTGATCACAATCGTCATAAATTACAGGATATGGGGAATGCTGCAACGGTCGTAAGTGTGAGGACTGGTTGCAAGTCACTTGTTTCAGTGCTGTTGTAACCCCGAGCAGTCGCTAAACGAAGGGCTGTAAGTTGGGGAAGGCCATTCAGAACAATTAACCAGTGGAACAACCTGCCTCCAGAAGCGGTGAATGCTCCAACACTGGAAGTTTTTAAAAAGAGACTGGACAGCCATTTGTCTGAAATGGTATAGGGTTTCCTGCCTGAGCAGGGGGTTGGACTAGATGACCTCCAGGGTCCTTTCCAACTGTATTATTATTCATAGGCAGGACAAGAAACAACAGGTAGAAGATCATTAGAGAAGCAACCTGGAATTAAGGAGAAATTTCCTGACAGTGAGAACAATTAACCAGTGGAACAACCTGCCTCCAGAAGCAGTGAACACTCCAACACTGGAAGTTTTTAAGAAGAGACTGGACAGCCTGAAACGGTATAGGGTTTCCTGCCTGAGCAGGGGGTCGGACTAGATGACCTCCATGGTCCCTTCCGACTTTATTATTGTTATTTGCAACCTCCTGGGGTCACATGGCCCCGATTTTTGAGGTTCTGGTTTTCAGCCAAAAAAAAAAGCCCATTGGGTAGAATGGATTCACTTAACAACACCCACAAGAAATGCCAAAAAAAAAAAAAAAATCTGGCCTGGTTACATGGTGATCCGCTTAGTGACTTAATGACCATAATTCTTGGTTTAATTCCGACGGTAAGTCGAGGACTGCCTATAACAGCAGTGGAAAAAACCCATCTCTTTGTTTTCCATCGTAACCTGGGTCAGATCAGGAAGACTGAGTTGGTTTTGCTGGGCAGCTACTGTTCAAACTTTGGGCGTGCCTTCGGATCACACGGAAAGGGCTAGAAAGATTAACCTGCCACACTGGTGGAGTTGGCAGCGCGCCCGGGCTGGTTCCAGTTTGGCCCGGATTCTTGGTTAAGGCTTCTTTGGAACTAGAGAGCGCCCTTTGCTTTCTTAACAAGAAAAGATTGTTCCCTGGCCTCAAATAATCTGAATATTGGCTGCAGGGGGAGGGGGGGAGGTCGGAGAAAAAGGGAGGAAATAGAGATGGATGGAAGGAAGGAGATTGGGGAGAAGGAGGGAAGATTGGAGGGGAGGAAGGAAAGAAAGAGATGGATGGAAATAAGGAAATGAGAGACGAAGGGGAGAAAAAGGGAGAGAAGGAAGGAAAAAATAAAGATGGAAGGAAGGAAGGGAAGTGAAGGAAGGAAGATAAAAGAAAGGAAATAAAGATGGAAGGAAGGGAAGTGAAAGGAAATGAGACAAGGAAGGAAGAAAAGAAAGATGGAAGGAAAGAAGAGAACAAGGGAGAGAAGGAAGGAAAGAAGAAGAGAAAAAAGAGAAGGAAAAATAAAAGGAAGGAAAAAATAAAGATGGAGGGAAGGTAAGCGAAAGGAAGTGAGACAAGGAAGGAAGGAAAGAAAAGAAAGATGGAAGGAAGAAAAGAGAACAAGGGAGAGAAGGAAGGAAAGATAAAAGGAAGGAAAAAATAAAGAAGGAAGGGAGAGATAAAAGAAAGGAAATAATAAAGATGGAAGGAAGGTAAGTGAAAGGAAGTGAGACAAGGAAGGAATAAAAGAAAAAGATGGAAGGAAAGGAGAACAGAAGGAAGGAAAGAAGATAGAAGGAAGGGACAGAAGGAAGGAAGACAAAAGAAAGGAAATAATAAAGATGGAAGGAAGGTAAATGAAAGGAAGCGAGACAAGGAAGGAAGAAAAGAAAAAATAAAGATGGAAAGAGAAGAGAAGAAAGGAGAGAAGGAAGGAAAAATAAAGATGGAAAGGAGAGAAGAAGGGAGATAAAAGGAAAGAAACAATAAAGATGAATGGATGGATGGAAGGAGAAGGAAGGAAGATCAAAGGAAAAAATAAAGATGGGAGGGAGGAAGGAAGGAGGACGAGAGGGAGGGAAGGCTGGCTGGGGAATTCTGGGAATTGAAATCCACCCATCTTAAAGTGGCCACAAATTGAGAAAAACGGGTGTTGGGCAAGCAGAACTGCAGGAGTGACCCGCTGGACCTGGGGTGGAGCCCTTCCCGGATGCCCAGTAAATGCAGCCCTGGCCCCACAGTAGAATAATGGGACCGTCATCCTGTTGGTGCTGAGCACCAGGCTATAATTATAATTTCAGCCCTGGCTGCTTTCAAACTTGGGCCTTATTAGGTGAAGAAAAGGACACTTCTTCAGAAAGGAAGAGAAGGCTGTAATTACCTTGAATTAAAATGTTTAATTAAAAGGTCCCATGAACTTTTAGCATAAAGAACAGGGGGTCACTGGCTTCTGTGCGCGTACAAACACAGACCACACACGCACACACGCACACAAATATATGTCTACAGGTAGTCCTCGGCTTACCACAGTTCACTTAGTGACCGTTCCAAGTTACGACGGCGCCGGATGAAGTGACTCAAGGACCGTTTTTCACACTGAAGGACGGGCAGATCAAAATTCGGGCGCTTGGCGCAACTGACTCACATTTATGACGGTTGCAGCGCCCCCTGGAGGGGTCACGGGGTTCCCTTTCGTGACCTCCGGACAAGCAGAGTCAACGGGGGGAGCCGGATTCACTGAACAACCGGGTCACCAGCTTAACGATGGTAGCGGTTCGCTTAACAACGGCAGCGGTTCACTTAACAACTGGGGCGAGGCAGGTTGCAAAATGGGGCAAGAGTCACTTGCCCCGCAAAACTCACGCAAAACACTTAATGTTTCACTTAGCAGCCTCAATTTTGGGGTCAGTTGCGGTCGTAAGTTGAGGACTACCTGTATTTACGCCTCTGTGTGTGTGTGTGTGTGTGTGTGTGTGTGTGTGTGTGTGTGTGTGTAAACGCGTATCTTTACATATGACAAGGAAAAGAAATCAAAATGAAAGGTTAAAGCGCAAGAGAAGAAAAAGGCTGAAGGAAAACAGAGAGGCAAGAAAAAAAGGCAGAAAGAAATAACTTTTGATCTTCTTTTGTACTTTGTACTTAATTTTTACCACGTAAATCTCTCAGGTTTTTTTTTTTTTTTTTTTTGTAATCTATGCTGTCTAGTCACCAAAATCGTAAATCATAAGTCCATAAGGGCTTGGCAGTCAGCGATAACTGTAGATAATTGTTTTCAGTCAAACTGGCCAACTGAGGGGATTTAACAGAATAACGGAGTTGGAAGGTACCTTGGAGATCATCTAGTCCAACCCCCTGCTCAGGCAGGAGATCCTATACTATTTCAGACAAGTGACTATCTAATCTCTTCTTAAAAACCTCTAGTGATGAAGCCCCCACAAGGTCTGAAGGCAAGCTAGATAATTGTATACCGGTAGTTGAGGACTACCTGTATATTTGCTGATGCTGTCATCATCATAATAAAGTTGGAAGGGCCCTTGGAGGTCATCTAGTCCAACCCCCTGCTCGGGCAGGAAAGCCAGCCTAGACCATTTCAGACAAATGGCTGTCCGGTCTCTTCTTAAAAACTTCCAGGAAACTGGAAGCAGTGTTGGAAATCTTTTGCCTTTGTTTATATTTTAGATACTAGCAATCCACGCAGGTTTCTTTCACAGTGCAACAAGCCTGCGAGGCGGGCTAAGGGGCAAGGGATGTTGTGAAGGACGGTGGCCGCCCTGGACCACCCAGGCAGTTTCAGAGCTGAGTCAACCCTAATGATCATTCCAGCAAAACAAAAAACCCGTAATTATCTCGGTTAACCGCTGGGTAAGAACTTAACGCAGCTTAAATCGAGCAGCGGGGGGGGGGAGGGGGGGGAATGGGACCGGACAGGTCACCTCAAGGTTTTCATAATCCTTGTTTTTGTTATTCCTCTGGGCTGCTTTAATTTGCAGCAAAAATACAGGTAGTCCTCGACTGAACGACCGTTTGTTTTAATGGGCGTTCCAAGTTTGCAACCATGCTGAGAAAAAAAATTGCGTCTTGGGACTGCTCCTCGGGCTTGTGACCATTGCGGCACCTGAGGGTCACGTGATTTATCGTTGGCGACCTTCCCAGCAGGGAAGATTGCCAGTTGCAATCCTGTGACGTCTCGCTTAACGACCGTGGTTTGGCTTAACGACCATGGTGGAGAAAAAGATAAAAATCGGGCGCGCAATTTATTTATTTGTTTACTTAATGGGGGATGCCTGATGTAACGACTGGGCTGTTTTAACGACCAATTTCCCTTCCCCCCGGGCGCTCGTAAAATTGAGGGCCGCTTATAAATAGGAGTGTCTGGATTTTGATCACATGACCAGGGGGATGGCTGCAAGGGCCGTTAAGGGTGAAAAAATGGTTCCCGCCGCTTTGTCTGGTACCGTTGCAACTTCAAACGGTCACTAAGCGAATTGTTGTAAGTCCGGGACTGCACGTCATCCCAGGGGAACTGAGAAGCAGGTGGCCTGCCGCCTCTTGCTGAATCCGACGCCTGCTTTCGTCTCCGTTGGCTTGGCCGAAATGTAAACCTAGCTTTTGGGATTGGAAGTGGCTTCTAGTGGCTTTTTTTACTGGAGGGGTTTCTGCCGAAGTGGCAGGCAAGAAAAACTTTGGCGGGGCGAGGACAGTCAGATGAGAGAGGGCCTTGCCTACGGCCGGCTGTACAACGGGTGGAGAAAGAGACCTACCCTGGCTTCTCACGCTGTAAAAGGCAGGAGGTTCGTATGTTCAACCTTGCAAGATTCTGTTAAGGTAGCCCTGCAATAAAATAGAATTCGCTCACCTGATTGTGTTTCCTGTCTAAGAAGGCTGACAGTAGCAGAGATTGTCTGTCTGTCTGTCTGTCTCTTCTGCTTATCTATCTATCTATCTATCTATCTATCTATCTATCTATCTATCTATCTATCTATCTATCTATCTCCTATCTATCCGTCTCTGTCTGTCTGTCTGTCTATCTATCTATCTATCTATCTATCTATCTATCTATCTATCTATCTCCTATCTGTCTGTCTGTCTATTTATCTCCATACCCACCTATCTAGCATCCATCCATCCATCCATCTACTTTATCTTCCTACCTACCTACCATCCGTCCGTCTGTCCGTCCATCCATCTGTCTGCCTGTCTATCTAGTATCTATCTCTTCTATCTATCTCCCTACCAACCTATCTATCTATCTATCTATCTATCTATCTATCTATCTATCTATCTATCTATCTATTCCCCACCTTTATTATTTTTACAAATAAATCAAGGCAGCACACATATGGTACCTAATCTTCCTTTCTTCCTCCTGGATTTCCCACAATAACAGACTTGTGAGGTGGGTTGGACTCAGACAGAGGGACTGGCCCAAAGTCAGCCAGTTTGCTTTTATATCTAAGGTGGGACTAGAACTCACCGTCTCCTGGTGATTAGCCCAAAGTCACTCAGCTGGCTTCCATGACTGAGGCGGGACTAGAATTCACTGTTTCCTGGTGATTTGACTTCTTTCAAGCTAAGTTGATTCTTTCCGGAAATCAGCGATGACACAGCAGCTTGGGGTGAAAAGGAAACGAACTGGATTTAAATCTCTCATTTTGAGATCTACCCAGCTTTCAGAAACAGATCATTTTAATCTCTTTCTCTCTCTCTCTCTCTCTCTCTCTCTCTCCCTCTCTCTCTCTCTCTCTCTCCCTCTCTCTCTCTCTCTCTCTCTCTCTCTCTCTCTCTCTCTCTCTTTCTTTCTTTCTTTCTTTCTTTCTTTCTTTCTTCAGTTCCCTGCATGTGGATTCTGTTTCCTTTTGAACACGAGAACAAGCAGAAGATCAGAATGATGCTCACACGTTCCGGCTGAGCATCACGCTTGGGATCTACAAGGCGAGGCTCCTTCAAAGCCTGACACCAAAAGGGGAATCCACTGAAGACCCTCTGTGCTGAGCAGATTTGGGGAAATTGGTCTTTCCAAGGTGAGTTCGCTCTCATTTTTATTTTATTTATTTATATCCTGCCTTTATTGTTTTTACAAATGAGTCAAGGTGGCAATACTATTCAACACACCGTTGATCCAAAGTCACCCGGATGGTTTTAATGTCTGTAAGTGGGACTAGAATTCACCCTCTCCTGGTGATTCGCCCCAAATCACCCAGCTGGCTTTCGTGCCTAAGGCGGGACTAGAACTCCCAGTCTCCTGGTGATTGGCTGAAGGGGTCACCCGGTCTGCTTTCATGCCTAAGATGGCACTAGAATTCACCCCCTCCTGGTGATTCGCTCCAAATCACCCAGCTAGCTTTCATGCCTAAGGCGGGACTAGAACTCCCAGTCTCCTGGTGATTGGCCGAAGGCGTCACCCGGTCTGCTTTCATGCCTAAGATGGCACTAAAATTCACCCTCTCCTGGTGATTCACCCCAAATCACCCAGCTGGCTTTCGTGCCTAAGGCGGGACTAGAACTCACCACCTCCTGGTTTCTAGCTTGGAACCTTAACCACTAAACCCACACGTGGAGGAATCCAGTTGGGACCGATATTGCTCGTCTTTGCACGTCCAACTGCTCACTCCGTTTGCTTCGGATGGTCTAAGCTGACCCCTTGACTCCTCAATTCCTTCTCTTCCCCCTTTCTAGTGCCGGGCAAGATGGCCGCCACCAAAGTGCCCATCTACCTGAAGCGAGGGAGCCGGCGCGGGAAAAAGGAGAAACTGCGCGACATTCTCTCTTCCGAGATGATTAGCCCTCCCCTGGGGGATTTCCGGCACACCATCCACATCGGGACTCAGGGGGAGAGCGACATGTTTGGAGACATTTCTTTCCTTCAAGGCAAGTTCCACCTCCTGCCCGGATCAGAGAAGCTGGACGCCGACGGGAAGAGACGCTACGTGGTGCCCTTCGAGTTCTCGCGGACGTCGACGATCTCGGGATACGAGCCTCTCGCGCTGGACATCCCTTCGCCGCTGCTCAAGAACGCCATCTCTCTCCCGATCATCGGCGGCCTGCAGGCGCTGACCTTGCCTTCCGCCCAGGCCCCGCCCAAGCCGCCCCGTCTTCACTTGGACGACAGAGACCATGCTGCGCCACTGACGGAGGTCCAGGCTCAACATCTGGCCAACAACGGTTGGACTTCGGAAGCCCCCGAGGAGTCCAAGCCCCCTGCCCCTCTGAACGGCTTTGCCGAAGGGGAGAGAAGAGACGAGCCCTTCTTATCCCACGCCGGGTCCCTGCTCTCCCTTCACGTAGATTTGGGGCCCTCCATTTTGGACGACGTTCTGGGAGTGATGGAGAAGCACCAGACTTTGGAGGTGGATGGGCAGGACTCCGTCAGGCCGGAGATTCTGACATGAGCTGTGCCTGCTGAAAGGACTCCTCAAACAAGGCAATTTGTAGAAGAGGGGTGGTGTTGCTGTTGTTATTTGGGCTTTGTGAAGTGGAAGTTGAGGATAGGTGTGTGCATCTGAGGAGGGGTGCAACTTTGGAACGGTACGCTTGCTCCCGACCTCTCCGTTAACTTAACTTGGATGCAACCGCCTTCTGCTGAACAGCTTTCTTGCCCTCCTCCAGCATTGGTGTGCTGGAAGAGGAGAAGGAGGAGGAAGAGGAGCATGGGAGATGTAATTCCACCAGGCCTGGAAACGTGTTCCTTCTTGATCACTGAGGGGTGCAACTCTGAATGGTGTGCTTACTCCGAGGCTTTCCATTTGATGCTTCACGGATGACAACGCCTGATGTTGAGGCTTCCACCCTTGGCAACGACCTTCGGCTAAACCGCTTTCTTGCCCTGCTGGAGGAGGAGGAGGAGGAGCATGGGAGATGTAGTCTGTCGTTCCACCAGGCCTGGGAACACGTTCCTACACTACCTAAACTTGCACCACAAATTTATAATTATTGACATATCGCCCTTTACGAAAGGAAGGCGGACCAGGGTCAACAAAATTGGAGCAGCCAATAGTTGTGTTGATTGTACTTTTCTTTTGTGCAACGGGGTAGGTGGGAATGAGGTTACTATTGGCTCAGTTGCCATGGGTTGTTAATCTGCCTTGGAAACACCCCTGGCAAAAGAGCGGGTGTGACGTACCAAGAGGCCGTCTGTGCGTTGCAATGCAAACAAAAAGTCAGAATCGGGCTAAATTTCAGTTGTTTTGATACGAATGAAGTGCCACATCGCTCATTGGGGCAGAGGAAGGCTCGGGTTTCACAATGCACAAAGCCCCAAAAAATGTAGCTTGCACAATTTCTGGCTGCACAACTTCCAAAAGGATGCCTAACAGATGCTCCCAATTTTCCAAGCCGTCCCCTCGCGTCTGCCAAATTGTGATTTTTGACGGGAAGCGATGTAATCCTTGGCAGAGCTGCAACCTTCACCGTATGTCTAAATTTAAGGATAAGCTGATCGTGGCCTCTTTGTGCCAAGACCAGATTTTTGAACCTTTTTTGTTGAAATTGGGGGTGATTTTTTTTTGCACCCCAGGTCAGGAAAAACACCACTTCTCCGGATACGGACGAGATGACACTAAAAGGAACCGTTTTGGGATGTTCCTGTTTTCTGTTTATTTTCTCGTGTCTTTTATTTTCTCCGCTCCATACAGCTTTGTTAACAGGTTTATCTTACGTCTGCCTCCATGCCCAGGCTAGCCTAGAAAGATTTGTGGAGCGTGTTTTTGGAGAGAAGCAGAAATAATCCCTCCTTCAACTAACAAAGGGACGCTTTGTCCCTTAGTGGGTGTCTTCACACTCCTTTTTATCCTGTCCATCTGTTGTTGTGAAAGCTGTTTTCGCCGGGAGATCACACATCTATCTCCTTTGCATAAGGCTGCCGGTCCTTGCAGAGTTGCAGAGAGGCTGTGTTGATATTTGAATCCTGCTATCTCGAGCCCAGGAAACTGCTGTGTCTAACGGCTTGAAAATAATTCAGCAGGGCCTCTTAAATCGGACCAGAGATTTATTGTGATCTTCCTGAGGTGCCTAATCCAGGCTTTCGAACATTGCCCAACAACGGCGTCTGCAAACTTCGCTTTAAAACCCAAAACTCTCGTCATTTGGAAAGGACAAGCTGCTCTGTATCCATGTTTCAAAATTTATTTGAGGGAGAGAAAAAAGAAGCATTGGTGGTTTTAATGTTCCCAATTAATTTCTGGGCACCCTCTTTTGTTTTTCAGCCCCTGCTGTTTCCCTGGGGCAGCTGGCTTATTGTTCAGTTGGGGAGAAAGAGGATAAAAAGCAGAAACGGTTGTGTGTTGCTAACAGTCAGGCGTCTGTAGTTTTCCCCTCTTCGTTTTCACAAAGGAAGACACGCCGTCCTGGATGGGACCGGTTTCACTGTCCCCGTTTTTTAGTTTTATAAACAATTAGCAAAAGAGGAGTTTCACAAATCTGTCTTCTGCTTAAGCCAGGGGCGGCTTTAGATCAGTTTAGCTTCTGTTTGAGTCTGAATGAATTACGGTTTGTTTAATCATGGATGAGCCGCAATTAGTGGCAAGTGTCACATCTTAATTTTGCAATTTGCAACGGTTTGTACCACCCAGAGCCAACATCGGCTGCAGTTTAGCATGGCGCGTGAAGGCAATCCCTTCTTTCCATCTTGCATAAAATAATCTTGGAGGAAGGAATTCCACCAAAGTTTTTCTCTGGGTCTCCTAATTTTTTCTTTCGTTCAACGTCCCCCGATGGACCAAACCAGGGTGGGGTTTTGCAACATTTTTGTCCCCGGAGTACCAGGCATTTAAATTTATGCACTGCATTTCGATGGTTGAATAAAGTCCCTTAATCGGGGTTTACTACGCGGATCAAAATCCGCTCTTCTAGTTTTGAATTTTTGTTTTGTTGCCGGTCAAATTGTCTTGTCTATCTGATGCCTTGAGTCTCCTTTCCCCGTGTGTCTCATCAGCATGAATCCTTCTATTAATTAGATTATTAGATAATTATTTTGGCATTGCTTCAGGCCCCCCCCAGGATGGTGAAAGGTTCCCTGGGTGGGGAGCTTCGTCACCTGCTGATCAACGAGAGCTTTACCACATCTGGTCACAGACATTTTGTGAGTGTGCCCACAGGCAGGCTTTTCAAATTACAAGCGTACCTTCTAGGTGTGTTTTGAGGGATTTCACTCATTTTAATTTACTCCTCTCCACCTTAAATCTTCACAGCCAAGACGCAGACCTGCCCAGTACGTGCCCAGTTCAATTCCCAGCCCAGCCACAAGCAAAGCTGGGTGTCGCCACATCTCTGCCTTTTGAATTTTTTTTATTATTATTATTATTTTGCAAATTCCAGCAAAATTGTTGGCGCGCCGTTGCCACATCATTGAAAGAAAAAGGAAAAAAAAAAAAGAAGCTTCTTGGACGCCAAAATAGCCCCAGCAGCGAAATGGCGTCTGCCTCCCCAGTTTTTCCAAGAAAGAGAAGTTGCTAAAGGCACATTCTAAGTTGGTTTGCTGAACTGTGTAGAAGGAATCTTGCTGGATTTTTGTAATGTTTGCATCAATTTAAAAAATTGCAGATGGTGGGTGTGCAAACTGGGTATAAGAGGAATGTAATCATACAATCGCTGTTATTCATCAGTTCTTTAGACTCCTTTTTCCTTCTCTGCAAAGCGCACACAACTTTTCGTTTCACGCAGTCACACAACACTAAGCCCTCTGATCACATTTAAAGGGTGGGAGGGGCCTTGGAGACCAGCTGGTCCAATGGTTCTTGAAGTTGGCAACTTTAAGCTACATGGACTTCAATTCCCAGACGTTTCCAGCTGGACTTCAGCTCCCAGAATTCCTCAGCCAGTGGAATTCTGGGAATTGAAGTCCACCCATCTGAACATTTTTTTTAATTTGGAGCAGCATTGATCTAGTCCAACTCCTGTTTAAGGTACAAGGGTTTGAATTTAGCATAGTCTGTGTGAACCCAACTGTTGTAGGTTGAAAATCTTGGTTTATGGTATGGTTTTTTTTTCGCAATAAACAATAGTTAAATTCTGGCTTAGCATATTTGTGTACATATTTAAATTTAGTTTCAACTTTAGGAATGGTGACTATTCTAATAGCTATTAGGTATGATAGCTGTTGGTTTATAAAACAGTTGGCCACTGTTTTTGCTGCTAGTACTATGAAGTACGTTGTGCCGACATGCCTTTCATGAACTGTTGTTTTTTTTTTAAATTTGATTTATATCCTGCCATTCTACTCCATTAAGCACTAACAGATCTTGTAAAAAATTAATAAAAGCATAAATTAAAATGAAGTGGTAAAATGAGGTGTGCAAGTGCGGTGTGCTTTTGTTTTGGGGTGATGACTTTTGGGGGTAGACAAATGAGTGATTTGGGGCTGAAGGGCCCAAAGCACTAGAGCCAGCCAAAAAAGCTGATACAATCCTGGGTTGTATAAACAGACGCATAGAATCAAGATCACGCGAAGTATTAGTACCGCTTTATAAAGCCCTAGTGAGACCACACCTGGAATACTGCAGCCAGTTTGGATCACCACATCACAAAAAAGATGTTGAAAGTTTGGAAAAAATTCAGAGAAGAGCAACTAAGATGATCCAAGGCCTGGAGACAAAAACATACGAAGAACGGCTGCGGGACTTGGGTTCGGCTAGTCTAAAGAAAAGAAGAAATAGGGGAGACATGATAGCAGCGTTCCAGTATTTGAGGGGCTGCCGCAAGGCAGAGGGGGTCACGTTATTTACCAAAGCACCAGAGGGAAGGACGAGAAACAATGGTTGGAAACTGATCAAAGAGAGAAGCAATCTGAAATTAAGGAGAAACTTCCTGATAGTGAGGACAGTTAACCAGTGGAACAGCTGGCCTCCAGAAATCGTGGGCACTCCATCACTGGAGATTTTTAAGAAGAGACTGGACAATCACCTGTCTGAGATGGTATAGGTTCTCTTGCTTGAGCAGGGGGCTGGACTAGAAGACCTCCAAGGTCCCTTCCAGCTTCTATTGAATTCTATTCTATTCCTATTCTATTCTATTCTATTCTATTCTATTCTATTCTATTCTATTCTATTCTATTCTATTCTAGATTCCTTGGTTTATTTAAAGAAAAATGTTAAAATAAATGTTGACGACTCTAATCCTTATGAACCATGGTGAGGCACTGGTTAGAATGCAATACTGCAGGCTAACTCTGCCCACTGCCAGCAGTTCGATCCTGACCAGCTCAAGGTTGGCTCAGCCTTCCATCCTTCCGAGGTTGGTACAACGAGGACCCAGAATGTTAGGGGCAAGAGGCTGACTCTGTAAACTGCTTAAGAGAGGGCTGTAAAACACTATGAAGCAATATATAAGTCTAATTGCTACGGCTATTGAACACGTGACCATGGGGATGTGGCAGTGGTGGTAAGCCTGAAAAACGGTCATAAATCCCTTTTTTCTGTGCCATTGTAAACTGTCACTAAATGAATGGTTATAAGCTGAGGACTACCTATAGATGATTTCATAGAAATTTTAAAAATACCTTAGAAACAAAAGTTTTGGGTTTTTTTTTTTTTTTTAACCTCGGGAGTGTTTCTATGGAAATGTATCCTTCCCAACCAGGCCCTAATATTTATTTTTTCCCCAAGACAATGGCTCTTAAAAAGTCCTTACAAGCAAACAAAATGAATGATCAACACACAAAGAAAAAAAAAAGGAATTTATTTCCCTTCCCCTCCTCCTCTATTCTGCTATACATGCCAAGAAAGTGTCTTGAAGCAGCTGGTCCACAAAAACATACGATATGCATAGAATCCCTAAAGGATACTGAAAGAATGTTGATTTTAATCCAGTGCATGGTTGGAAAGCCATTTCCAGAACTAAATGATGCAGCCTGTTTCCATTCCTTGCACTTAAATAATTTAGAAATAATTTAGCACATAGAAATAATTTAACTGCACATTTAAAGGGGAGAACCCTTTGGTTGGCCATCTCCCCTATAAATTTAAAAAAATTATTCAAAATTACACACAAATCCTTTAGCAATAAGGAACGGTTGCTGGAATTGGGCATGTCTAGTTTAACGAAGAGAAGGACGAGGGGGACATGATAGCAGTCTTCCAGTATCTCAGGGGCTGCCCCAAAGAAGAGGGAGTCAAGCTCTTCTCCAAAGCGCCTGAAGGCAGGACAAGAAGCAACGGATGGAAACTAACCAAAGAGAGAAGCAACCTAGAACTAAGGAGTCATTTTCTGACAGTTAGAACAATTAACCAGTGAAACAACCTACCTCCAGAAGCGGTGAATGCTCCAACAATGGAAGTTTTTAAGAAGAGACTGGACAAACCATTTGTCTATAATGGTATAGGGTTTCCTGCCTGAGCAGGGGGTTGGACTAGATGATCTCCAAGGTCCCATCCAACTTTTTATTATTATTATTATTACTATTACTACTACTACTATTATGTGATTGACCATCATTAGAGTTTCTGGGAGACGCAGAGTCAACTGAGCGATAAAACCACAACTGGGATGCCACAATGGTCGTAGGTGCGAAACCCACCCCCAAAGTTGCAAAAAGGGATCACGTGACCCTGGGACACTAGCAACCATCATAAATGTGAGTCGTCAAGCATCCGAATGTAAACCACGTGACCGTGGGGATGCTGCAATGGGCATCAGTCCCTTTTTTCAATGCTGTTGTAACTTCAAACTGTCACTAAGTGAACTGTTGTAAGCCGACTACCTGTATGTATTTTTGTTTATCTTGGCTGACCTCACTGAAAGGGTCTTGGAGACCCCCAGGCGACCTCAAACCACACATTGAGAACCTCTGCCTTAGCCTAGCACAGCTCCACTACCATAATTTTAGCAGGGGACCAGATTTATTTTGACAATTGTCTGCCACCTTCTGGCTTAAAATGATAGCTCTTTCCAAGCTTAATGAGGCTGAAAGTGCCACTTAAAAGCAGGAAAATGCTGTTTAATGACCTCGCTGTCCTGCCCGGAGCCAAACAGCCACGGCAGCAAGACTTAAAACATGCATGGGAGTACAATTGTCCTATAGCTCAGTGTGCATTTGATCCTAATTCTTTAACACAAGTAGTATGCACAAATGTATATTTGCATGTAGGTAGTCCTTGACTTACAACCATTCGTTTTAGCGACTGTTCAATGTTACAACGGGACTGGAAAAAGTGACTTGCAACAAGTCCTCACACTTATGACCATCGTAGCATTCCCTACAGACGTGATCAAAATTCAGGTGCTTGGCAACAGACACGAGTTTATGATGGTTGTAGTGTCCCAAGCTCACATGGCTAGGAAGATCACACTTGGGGAAGCTGGATTCACTTAATGACTGCATGATTCGCTTAACAACTGCAGTGGTTCACTTAGCAACCAGGGCAAAAATCACCATAAAACTGGGTGCAGTTCGCTTAACCATCTCCTTGCTTAGCAACAGAAATTCTGGCCCCCAAGTGTAGTCATTAAGCCCACAATTAAACGTAAGTAATAAATGTAAGTTTATTTACACCTATTTATAAATATGGATTTGCAAAAGAAAACCATTTAAAATTCTTAGTATTTTTATTTTCTAGGCCAGGGGTCTTCAAACTTGGCCCTTTTATGACTTGTGAACTTCAACTCCCAGAATTCCTCAGCCAATGTGCCTGGCTTGAATCGAAAATTCAATTCTCTGTCAAGCCACGATGATTTCCCGGCACTTCTCACGCATGCGCAACACATGTAAATGGAATTTTTTTGTACGGACGGCCACTCTGCTTCCTTTGCGCCTGCGCGTCCTTTGAGCCTGCCAGCTCCCGCAGCGGGAAGAGCGTGGGAGTCGTTGCCTCTCTTTCCCTGGAGCGTGAGGAAGGGTTGAGGCCAGGACGCATGCGCTGTCTTCGAACCTGATCGGAAGGTTTCATGGAGAGCGGTCGCTGGAGTCAGCGCGAACGGGCACTCGGCGCATGCGTCCTTGCGTGCTTCGCGGCTACAGGCGGCAGAGGGGAAGATGGCGGCGGTGGTACAGAATGTGGTGAAGCTGTGAGTGGAACTGTCCCTCTTTCCCCCCCCTTTCCTCCCTTTTGCTTGTAATGGTACAACCCGAACCTTGGCGAAGTACGCGCAGGAGGGTTTGTTGGGGAAGATTCCATTCCGCTCGCGGGGGTGTTCCTGACAGGATAATGGAAGGAGAGGGGTTAGCTATTGACTCTTATTTTTTTTCTCCTCTGCTCATTGCTTAGGACTGAAGCGGTATCTTTAAAAAGTGGGTTATTCTCCCACTCCGTCCGACAAAATCTTCCGGGCGGAGTATACAGATATATATAAATATATATATATATATATATGTTTGGGGGGAGCGGCAAGAAAGCAAAAGTATCTCCCACCTTAAAGTTTCAGAAGTGAGGTACGTGAGGGGGGGGAAAAAAAACTCGTCCGGCCACCTCAAGATGCCTTTTAAAGATGGGGAGGAGCTTTTTAAAAAGGAAAAAAAAAAGCCTTTTAAAAAAAAAATACCCGAACCCCAATTATGAAGCTTCTGAGGGGACAGAGAAAAATGCCCCCCTCAAAAAAACGGCTTGAATGAAATACAGTAGATGGTGAGAGGAACTTGTGGAGGCGGGAAAAAATATCCTTTAATACGTGTATATATATATATAGTTGGGTTGGTTTCTGAAGGGAAAACTGGGAGGGGGAGAGCAAAGAGAAAAAGGGGGAAATGGAGAGATTTAAGTTTTAGGGAGCATCTTCTCCAACTTGGTATGTTGGACCACAACTCCCATCATCCCAAGCCAGCCCTTGCTGTCTGTCTTCCTGGCAAACTTCTCAAGGAAAGTGTGGGTGTTGGGGGGGGGGGGGAATGATCAAATCTGCGATCGCTTTTTGGAGAAAATAAGCCCTCCCACCCCCCCTAAAAAAGCTCAAAATCCTGAATTTCTTTTCTAGGCACCCCACAAAATGGGAAAATAAAAGAGGGTTTTTTTCCCTGTTTTTTTTTTTTTTTAAAGAATGTACAAAGCTTTAGAGGAAAGAAGCAAAGGGTCGGAGAAGGAAAAAGTGCAGCCTTTGGAAAAGGAGATTCTCTCTGCAAGGGTGAAAAGAGGAGCCTTTAAAATATATATTTCTTTTTCTGACAAAGATATATATATATATCTTATATATATATATATAAGATATATATATATATATCTTTGTCAGAAAAAGAAATTTGGATATATATATAATATGTATGTTTGTATGTTTGTTTGTTTGTATGTATGTATGTATGTATGTATGTATGTCTTTAATAAATTTAAATATTGGAATCCCAGGTGTGGACATTTAAAGTCAGTCAAATAAAATGATGAGCTCCGGGATATAAGAAAAAAGGCTTATAGCAATAAAGAATATATATATTGGGGTTCATACAGGGAGTCCTCGACTTACGACCACAACTGAGCCCAAAATTTCTGCTAAGTGAGAAATTAATTGAATTTTGCCCCATTTTACGACTTTCCTTGCTACGGTTCTTAAGTGAAACGTAGTTGGTAAGTTAGTAAACCCGGTTGTTAAGTAAATCTGGCTCCCCCGTTGACTTTGCTTGTCAGTAGGTCGCAAAAGGGGATCATGCGACTCCGGGAGGCTGCAACCGTCATAAGTATGAGTCAGTTGCCAAGCGGCTGAATTTTAATCATGGGGCTGCTGCAAAGGCCGTAACTTTGAAAAATGGGCATAAGTCACTTTTTTCAGGAGCATTGTAACTTTGGACAGTCCCTGAACAAACTGTTGTAAGTCAAGGACTACCTGTAGTACAGGTAATCCTCCCCACAAGGGAGCCCAAAATCTCCACTGCTAAGTGAGTCGATTAAGTGCGTTTTGCCCTGTTTTTTGACCATTCTTGCCACCATTGCTAAGTCAGTTACCGCAGTTAAGTTAGTCACATGGTTGTTAAGTGAATCTGGCTTCACCACTGACTTTGCTTGTCCAAAGGTCGCAAAAGGGGATCGCGTGACCCCAGGATACTGCAACTGCCATAAGTTCATGCCAGTTGCCAAGTGTCTGAATGTTGATCGTTGGCCGTGGGGATGCTGCAACGGCTGTGAAAAACGGCCTAAGTTATTTTTTTTTTCAGTGCCGTTGTATTTTCAAATGGTCACTAAATGAACTATTGTAAGTCGACTTTTTGCAGTTGCAACTTGTACAGGCAATAGGAAGATAGATGAGAGTAGCTGTCTTAAAAATAAAACTTACATGCTCATTCTTTCCGTTTGAAATAACCAGTTTAAAATTGATTTGGGAGAGCTTATTTCCAGTGAAAAAGCGTTAGGAAGTTGCAAGTTGTGTTGTGAGAATATATAGCTTCTGGATCTCCCACAGCCCTCAAATGTTCCTGACTTGATTAGGGAAAGGAAAGAGTTAAGTATAATAACATTGGTACTCCATCTTCAAAGATCAAATTGGACGAGGGGATGCTGTATATTTTCCATGTGAGGCAAACAATCATAACGTTCCATCCACTGCTTTTTAGGGGAATTTGTTTGGGATGAAGAAGGCAGGATATAGAAAAACTCCAACCCATGAAACAGATGGGTGGACTGGAGATATTTGAGAGAAATAAAAACTTACCACGTGGAAGCAGATAGAGGGACAAAGTTGGAGGGCAGCGTTTTACCCATAGAAAGGTATAGACTCGATGCATTTTGGCCTTAGGAGAAGAATTGAAATTGTCAGAATCCTAGACTTAGTGGAAATTTGGGCAACCTGCTCAGTTATTTTTGAATGCTGTGAAGAATTGCGGTAGAGATGGTTAAACCAGGAGCTTCGTGTTTTATCCCAAATTTCAGAACAAAACTGTGCTGCTGTTGAAGAAATTGTGTGTCCTGAACCAAGGTCATTTCTTAATGTTGACTTGTGTTTCTAAATTTATTTGAGCTGTTTCAATAGATATTTTATTATCAAGACTGAGTATAACACACTGTAAACATAGTGGGATTCTCATTTCACTACTTAATTTTCTCTCCTTCTCTTTGGTTTCTTTCCCAGACAGCAAAGTTGTAACATTATTTCCAAAGTTGTAACATTATTTTCTTCCCAGCAAGTTGCATTGTTTTCTGTACCCCCCTTTAGCTTTTTTAGTGTTTTTTTTAAAACACTGAAATTACTATAATTATAGACTGTTCAATTAGAGAGAGTTCATTGCTGCTGCACCACCGGTTTTTTTAAGAACAAGGGAAAAATGCAAGCGGTGTACACTTAGATATTTCTGCATTCTTTTCTCTTAGTTTCCACCCAAGCGTCTGCTGTTGGATTTATTGAATAGAATTGGGCATTTTCTTTCTTCAGTGAATTTACTAGATTGAAAGACAGTTGCTGTATATAAAATACCAGCTTCCCAGGTGCTTCTTTTGTTCTGAAAAGAAAAGCTTAAATCCATGCTTATAATTTGAATTTCAAACCAGCCTCTTCGCATTTAATTATGACAATATCTGCGAAGGACCAGCTGTGGGAATGAAATACAATATTTGCAATCTGTCAAAAGATCTACCCTGCTAGGGATGGCTTCTTGTAATGCTTAGGAAATGAGATCATCCATCCATAGTTTCCTGGATTAAATGGAGGCAGGTTCATCATCAGACTAAGCGATAATGTGATATACTTACAGCCAAGTGAATAAAGATATTATAGCTTCAACAATAAATCATGCTTTTAAAAAAAATTAGCTTTATGTTACGTACAAACCCATTTAGGCCCTTCCAAGGAAGTAATTCAGACAGGGATACACAATCAGAATCCCCAAGGCTGAATGCAGATTCTCCCAAAAGCTGGCGCTGGTTTGTACTTTTCATTGTGAAAGAGAAAATTACAGAAGGGTTGGGGCCAGCCATATTCAACTGAGTTGTAATTATTAAATGAAACCAAATAACAATTTTGCTGAATTTTACTTCCAGCCTTTATATCAAAACATTCTCCAAACCCATTCCCCCCAAAAAACCCATGCACACCCTTGTACTACAGAAAGACATTTCATTAATGATGTCCATCCCAATCTTTTGTCCTAGCCTTGGTGAACAGTACTACAAGGATGCAATGGAGCAGTGCCACAATTACAACGCCCGACTGTGTGCCGAGAGGAGCGTTCGATTACCGTTCCTGGATTCGCAGACTGGGGTGGCACAGAGTAATTGCTACATTTGGATGGAGAAGCGGCACAGGGGACCAGGTGAGGCAACTGGACGTTCTATGAAGACCTGGGCTCTCCTCAGGATGTCAATTGCGTGACCTGGGCAGCTGGCATGTTAGGCAGCTGTATTACATGCCAGCTGCCCAGGTTCGAATCCCTGAAGGGTGTGACTAGCTGATGAGGGCTAATGAGCCTGAAATAGCTATACTAGTCTCCCGCTAACTCTTTGCCAGCCACAAATTTTGAAAGTATAGTGCTCACAGTATGTGACGTCTGCCTGCAAAACATGCTCCTAGATTGGAGCGAAACGCAGAACAGACTGATTTATATTTGATAAGATATGTATGTATATATTTGTGGGGGGTTTCAGTGACATCAGTGTGAATTAGTGCCTGGTATAGACTAAAAATGCTCTTTTATTTTATTTATTAAATTTATATCCTGCCCATCTCACTATCAAGTAACTCTGGCAAACTTAATGATTCCTGCAAAGAGAGCTGCCGGAAGTGTTCAATACCCCAAACCGGAAAAGTTTGCCATAAACTTTGCCTAACTTTGTATATAAAAGTTTTACACACACACACACACACACACACTTTCACCCGAACTTTATACATAAATAGAATAATTAAACATACTTTGATTTCCTTTTTTTCCCTGTTGTTGGAAGGTTTGGCATCTGGCCAGCTCTATTCCTATCCAGCTCGACGCTGGCGGAAGAAACGCCGTTCTCATCCGCCAGAGGATCCAAGACTTTCTTTTCCTACCGTTAAACCAGGTTTGCCTTGTCTGCATTATACAAAGTTTTAAAATTTCTATCTTTACAGATGAATCATAACAAGGGCTTTCACCTGGCAGAAGTGATCGTTCAGGCAGACAGGACAGAATTTGTAATTGCCCAGGCAAATTCCAGAGTAATTTGAAACGTGCCCCATCACAGGTGGATGGCCTATCTGAGGACGGGAACTCTGTAGTTCTAACTCAGCCGTAGAAAAGTAGCTTTGTATCCTGTTACTTGCGTACTAATGGGCCAACAGGACAGCCAGACATTTTAAAAAAATGTCAGGTTGCAACTAAGAATTCCATGCAGATCAACGTTCAAGGTGGCAGAGGAGATCATATCGTTCTCGTGTTAGGACCTAGTGGATTTCTGCATTGGCCTGTGATGCCTGTCAGACTTTTCTTAGGTTATTTGGCCAAGTTAATGGACGTTTAGATTGAGAAGTCCTTGGTGCTCCCTGAGCTTAGTTGTTTTCTTGCGGACGTTTCATGACCCAACTAGGTAACATCATCAGTGCTAGAAGGGAGGAGGAGGAGGACTGTAAGGTCATTGGTGCTCTCTGAGCCTGGCTGTTTTCTTGCCGACGTTTCATGACCCAAACTAGATAATAGCAGCAGTGCCGGTGTACTAGCGCTGGTGATGTTCCCTAGTTTGGGCATGAAATGTCTGCAAGAAAACAACCAAGCTCAGAGAGCAGCAAGGACCCTTTATTTCAACCCTGAATTACAAATATTATCTTTATTGGTAAAGTTTAGATTCTTTGTCTTAATGGCTTTAAGACAGTGAAACCTCTGTTTTTGGCAGACACTGAGCAGGCCCTAAAGAAAGAAGGCCTAATCTCTCAAGATGGCAGCAGCTTGGAGGCCCTCTTAAGGACAGACCCCCTTGAGAAACGCAGCTTGCCTGACCCTCGTACTGACGAAGACAGCCTCAGCGAGTTCCCTGTTGCCAATAGCCGCACCCGGAAGGTAGGGTAGAGAATGGCAGCCTGTGGTAAAATAAGACATCTTTCCTTTGAAAGATGCTCATTTATAGAACATACTGTTCTCCCTTTCCCTTTCCTTTCCTTTCGTTTCCTTTCCCTTCCTTTCCCTTCCTTTCCTTTCCTTTCCCTTCGTTTTCCTTCCTTTCCTTTCCTTTCCTTTCCCTTCCTTACCTTTCCTTTTGTTTCCTTTCCCTTCCTTTCCTTTCCTTTCCCTTCCTTTCCTTACCTTTCCTTACCTTTCCTTTCCTTTCTCTTCATTTCCTTTCCTTTCCTTCCCTCCTTTCCTTTCTTTTTCTCCTTTCCTTTCCCCTTCCCTCCCCTCCTTCTAACTTCCTTTCCTCCTTCCCTTTTCTTTCCCTTCCTTTCCTTTCCTACCCTACCCTACCCTACCTGTCTATCCTTCCTCCCTTCTTTCTTATTGCCACCCAACTCAACAAGTGGCTCTGGCCTGCAAGGAAAATTAAAAGTAAAATAAAAAAAACAAGCATAATAATACAAAGCTGCCAAGAATCAATCATTTGTATTTTATTTATTAACTATATATCTCCCTGTCAGGCAACTCTTGCATCCCAGGGTGAGGGCTGTATAGTAACCATCTCTGGCCTCTTCCCCTGGAGAATAGGGTCATGGATCTCCAGTTGGGAGAAGGATTAGAAATGGATCACCCCTCACTCCTTTCTGTGTCCTGTGGACTGGGGTCCTGTAGAGAAACCAGAGCTTGTTTTTAGACTCCTTTACCCTTGCTTCACGCCGATCATTAAAATTCACTGCAAAGAGATATAGAGCTCTTGGACAAGGATTGGACCATTGAGGCCCTAGGTCAGGGGTGGGCAACAACAAGTCTTTCATGACTTGTGGACTTCAACTCCCAGAATCCCTGAGCCAGCCATGCTGAGGGGAAAGGGAGAGGTTTCCAAGCTGAGCCAGGCTGGCTCAGGAATTCTGGGAGCTGAAGTCCACCAGTCATGAGGGGGCCAAGGTTGCCTACCCCTGCACTAGGTGAAATAAGGACAAACACAGCTTATAAATAGTTGGTTCCATCATATATTTGAGAGAGCATAAAATATTTGTTAGATGATACAAAAAAAGAGATGTAGTGGCAATATCCTGGGTCCTATTTAAGTCCTCTCTATTTATCATTCAGGCTGTACCTGCCTTTGGATTCAGAATCTGCATTGAGAATGGTCCCTGATTGAGCAAGAACATTGTTGCTCTTAGCATTCGTCCTGCACAACTGCGGATTTTTGCGCTGCGCTTGCCTAGTTCTTACAGCAAAGCTATCGATGTGTGACGAGACAAGGGGGGGCTGTTTATCAATCAGCTCGTCACAGAACCTGACACCCACAGAGCTATGATTTAGCAGGAACATTCCTTGGATAAACCAAACATCCTCCCCTCATCGCTTTTTTTTTTTTTTTTGCATCCTTTTCTTTCTGTTTCAGCGAATTCTGGAACCCGATGATTTCTTGGATGATCTGGATGATGAGGACTACGAGGAAGACACCCCAAAACGACGAGGCAAAGGGAAGGCCAAGGTATGGGTTAATGTGCCCCCCCCCTTAAAACTTTCCTCCGTTTCAAATTCTGTGGGCTTGTTGGATCTTACAGAGGCTCCTCTAATACAGAGTAAGGGCAATTTAGGCAAGGGGATAGCTAAAGTGTCCCAAAAGATGCTGAGGAGGCAGATATTTTGAGTAGAAGCCATTGGCTGGGTGCAGGTGTCACTCTGAGCGCATAAAAATCAAATTCTGAGAGTCGTGGTTAATCTAAGATACTGTTACCTGCCATCTGAAAAAGATCTTACAGTGCTTTAGAGAAATGAATAACCCCATTGTAACCATTTTAAGATGGTTACAAATATCTTTCACTGGGTGGCAGCATTGCTCTACACATTTTCCTAATTTGATGAGCAGAATTAACAACCTACATGCAGGTAGTCCTCGCTTAATTGGGACCGACAACTCTGCTACTAGGCAGAGTGGTCGCGACATGAGGAAAGCTCAACGACCGTAACTGTGCTAGTCACAGTGTCATGCTTCACTTCTGTTTGTTTGAATTGCGGGAATAGAACAGCAATATCTTGAGATTTAAGTCTTTAAACCCAGCCATCTTGAATTTCACTTTTTCCTCAAACCAGAAAGAAAGCCTAACTCTTCCTGTGCCGTCAGTTTATTTTTTTTAAATCTAATTTCCTTATAGGGTAAAGGAGTTGGGAGTGCTCGGAAAAAGTTGGATGCCGCCATTTTGGAAGACAGAGACAAACCGTACGCATGTGACAGTGAGTAAGAAGGCGAGCCAGGTTATAGGAAACAGCTTCTTGGTTTTACTGGTGTCTAGTCTGGGAACAGCTCCTGGTGTTAGGATGGGGCTGTGTGACAATGCCCTGGTGGGGGTACGCCCCACCTCCTTTTACTTGGCCCCCCTGTTAATCCTGCACTGTGCCAGGGGCTGTTTGGGGAGAGCTGAAATACTTCATTCATCACACAGTGTGAAGGGGATAACATTTCTTTACCCAGCTTCAGAAAATGGCAAGTTTTTCAGTTTTGCCCGATGAGTTCAGTGAGCGGCAGAGACACGCAGCATTGGCCACCTTCTCTGCTGCTGCTTGAAGTCGGCTCCCTAAGAGAGCATCTCGGAAACGGATTCACTTGGCATTCTCAGCTGGGGTCGTCGCTGTTCCTTTCTCTGTCCCAGTAGTGGAATTCTGGGAAAAGTCCCAACTCCATTTCTTCTGGAGGGTCCTGGGATTGCACAAGGAAGTAGAAGCTGTTTCACCCTGGAATTCTTTTTCGCTATTGGGAATCGTGTTTTGCGCTTCGCATGCAGACCCCCCAGAGTTGTGGTGGACAGGGTCTCCTCCGGTTCCACATTTCACAACTTTTTGACCTTTGACCCTGCACACCAATTCTGCAAAAACAACAACAACAATCCCCATGAAACCTCAGTGATTGATGGAAAAATTGGGAGAGAAGGGTGATTGGCAAGACCTTTCCCAAAGGGAAAATCACGAGTTTTTGAAATTACTTACTTTTCTTTCTCTCCTCCTTTACTCTCCTGTGAGAATTTTATACTACCCCTCTTGATTTGAAATAACACCGGTGAGCTTTTGTTTTTCTCTCCTTCTTTTTAATCGCTCTATATAGCTGACTGTGTGCATGTGATGTGCGTGACCTTTATAGATTGCCTTCACCTTTCTCTCATTCTCTTTTCTGTATTTCAGATAGTTACAAACAAAAGCATACCTCGAAACCTCCTGACCGAGGTATTCCATTCTTTCTGTCTTACTGTTTAATTTCCTCCTGACCTTGTTCTTCTGAAATGTTAGTTTTAAAAACTCTTCTTTTTTTTTTTCCTTCCTTTTTTTAAAAAAGCGGGTCTTCTCACGCAGAGTGCCAAAAATCCCTCCCTTCCGATGACACCTACTTTGGTTTTATGTATGTGACATACCGAGGGGGAAACATGCATTTGTGCGTGTGTTTGGGAAAGATACAAATTCTTTTGAAGTGTGGGGGTGAGCGTTGAATTGAGAATTCAACATTTTCATCTTGGTCTAGCACAGTGGTTCTCAATCTGTGGGTCGGGACCCCATTTGGGGTCGAAGGACCATTTCACAGGGGTCGCCAAACAACGCAGTCCACCATTTTTTCTCCCTTTTCCTTAGCTGTGCTACTCCCTTTTATTCTATTGGCTTTTGAAAGCCAATAGAAGAGACTCTCTTGAATAGAGTCTAATTCTATTGGCTTTCCAAAGCCAATAGGAATTGTCCAGGCTGTCTCTGCCCTGCTGAGCCCGCCAAAAGTCCCATTCTGCAAACGGTGCTGCACCAGTTGAGTAGTCCTCGACTTACGACCGGTTGAGTAGTCCTCGACTTACAACTGGTTGAGAACCACTGGTCTAGCAGAGGACAGATTCGAGATAGTGCCAAGCTGGGCAAAGTAAGGCCAAAGGGAAGGTGGTTTCTGGGGAATTCTGGGAGCTGAAGTCCACATGTCTTAAAGAAACACTGTTGTCTAGCATAACTGGCTGTGGCAAAAATCCCCAGCGTCGTTCAAATCAGCTGCATTTCCAAATCTGCTCTGTGAGATGTTGGATGTTGAAAGGCTTGCATTTACTTTCCTTGTTGCTAGAATCTGTAAATTCTGTTTAATATACCAATTAACTGGCATTAAGAGAGAGGATTGTTTTTCTCCTGGCCTCTTCCCTGCTGGCCCATGCCCCATGGAGTGGGGGGAGCACCTGAGTTGGGACTTTGCCTTCTCCAGCTGAGAAGACTTGTTAGCACAGGAACGGGGCAAAAGGTCTTCAGATTTTGTAAATTCTGTTAATAATAGCCCAAGGTTTGAATCTTCGGTATTCATTCCCTTCATTAGGCGACCTCTGAGCTATTTGCTAGACCTCAGCAGCCAAGGTGATCCTAGATAATCTGTTGGATTCCCTCGGTGCAAAAATGGAGATGCTCAATTCTGGTAGACTCTGGGTGTATAACCAGCCCTGCTGACTTTCTCCCTGACAAAGAAAGACAGTTCTAAGCCTGAGTCCAACTGTAGATAATGACGAGAGACAAATCCTTGATCACAGAAATGCAATAATCAGGATAAATTTGTAAATTTGAAGGAAAAGGCTGGGGTTTCCTTTCCCACCAGCAGATGTTCTGAGCCAGAACTTTTTCCGTATCCATTTTGGTTGCTGACTCTAGTAGCTGCGTAGAGCAGGGCTTGCTAGCTCAGGTTCCTACTTAATCAGCTGGGTTTACACAACCCTTAAGAGGGCTGTGACTTTTTTCCTCTTGGCAAATTAGATTTCCTGGACATTCACACACATACAGACACGCATTCCTGTGTGCATACAGAAACACGAGTATGAGACCTGCATAGCTCAAAGGATTTGTTTCTTTTTATCCTCCGCTTCCCTCCTGCCAGCTTCTCTACTGCTTCCTTCTAAATATGGTCTGTTTTCTTGTTCCTGGCCTGAGCTGTTTCCAGATTTAGGACATATTGTTTGGGGGATTAATTTTAGCCGCAAAGAAGAGGATGGATTATTTGTTCTCCTTCCCTTATGTTCCTGGCACGTTCGAAAGCTAGGAAACAGTTTTGTCAGATCTTCTGTCTTCCAAGAGTTTGCAGAGAAAGGCAGTAAGCAGTGAGGAGGGTACATTCTGTCAAGAGCAGCTAAATCCTCTTTCTGTAGAGCAGGCATTTCCAAACTTGGCAATTTTTAAGACTTGTGTACTTCAACTCCCAGAATTCATGGCACGGGCTGGCTGAGGAATTCTGGGCGTTGAAGTCCACAAGTCTTAAAGTTGTGAAGTTTGGAGATCCCTGCTGTAAATATAATTGTGGACTCACTGATGTCGCTAACGCTCCTTGGATGGCCTTGATGATGGATGCGGAGAATTGTAATTCAGCAGTACGAGGCAGGCATATTCCTACCCTTTTAATCCCTGAATTCCACCAACACTCACCTTTCCTTTGATGATCAGAGTCAAAGAGTGATTGTGTTGGTTTGTCTCTTCCTTTTTTTCCCATAATAGGGAGCTAGTTTTAGAGCAGTGGTTCTCAACCTGTGGGTTGGGACCCCATTTGGGGTCGAACGACCATTTCACAGGGGTCGCCAAACAACGCAGTCCGCCATTTTTTTCCCCCTTTTCCTTAGCTGTGCTACTCCCTTTTATTCTATTGGCTTTTGAAAGCCAATAGAATAGACTCTCTTGAATAGAGTCTAATTCTATTGGCTTTCAAAAGCCAATAGGAATTGTCCAGGCTGTCTCTGCCCTGCTGAGCCCGCCAAAAGTCCCATTCTGCAAACGGTGCTGCACCGGTTGAGTAGTCCTCGACTTACGACCGGTTGAGTAGTCCTCGACTTACGACCAGTTGGGGGTCGCGGCATTAAAAAGGTTGAGAACCACTGTTTTAGAGCATTATCTAAAGAATCTGCTGGGTGGAAAAGAGGGAACTATTTTTTGTGGCTGGCATTGAAGTCGCAGCTAATGCGAAAATGCATTAACCAGTGTTTAGCTTTTGCGAGGTCATTTGCCAGGCTGGGCTTAATCTGGCACCAATACTGTACGTTAGAAAGCACAAGGCTGTATAGAGGTACAGGAGGTGGCTTCGTATCCCAAGCACCACATGAGTCAAAATTTGTCATAGGGAAGAGAACAAAAAGTGGAATCGGGGCAGATTGAAAAAGTGTGCAAGTCTTTTAACTATGAGAAGGCTTAATTACAATAAAGTCTGGAACGGGGATATTTATGCAAAAGAACGTCCAGGGAAGGCTGGATTTGGGAAAGGAGGTGGGCAAATCAGGGTCATACCTGGGATCTGTGAGGAACTGAGCAAAGGGTGGAGTCTTGTGTAAACATGATTTTTGTTTTTTCAAGACACATTATCCTCCACATGTGGAAGGGTAGAAAAATGTCCTCGCTGTCCATTGAATAGCTTTAACCTTTGCTTTTTGGACATAAAGATAACATCCGTTGAATTTCAGACCTCTGTTTCATGAAAACCAGAGGGTTGAATTTCATCACTCCTTGTCTACCTGCACTCTATGGCTTGTTTGCAACACTTGGTTAGGGTGGGGAGTGTTGGTCATGCCATGATTGTGGCAAGTGGCTGTTTTTTTGTTTGTGGCCCTGAATGAGCTACCTTGGCAGTTCACCCTTAAGACAGGGGTTCCCAACCTTTTCTATACCCTGCACCCCAAGAACGCTTCTGATATATTCTCGCACCCCTTGCAAAAGTTTGAAATAACAGCAACCAATTATGCATATACACTGTAATTTTGGAAAGCCCAAGTTTTACGCACCCCCTGGAATGTCGATTCGCACCCCAAGGGGGTGTGGGAACTCCTACCTTAAGACAAAGTTACAGGCAGAGCTTGGGTGTAGCTGAGTTTTGCTCTGAAAAGAGAGAACATGTCATCTTGCGACCAGCTCTGTGCAACTGTAGACACCCCTTCTGCTCCATAGCAGCAGTCCTCTACTTACAACCTTAACTGAGCCCGGAATTACAGCCGTTAAGCCGTTACGGTAGTCATTCGAAGCATCGGGTGACTGGATTCAAAGTTACGATCGCTTGCAATTACAGTCATTGAGCGAATGCAACAGTCTTGTTAAGCGAATCTATTTTCCCCAATAGCCCCCCCCCCTTTTTTTTGGGCTGGGAAGCAGAAGAAAAACTGAAAACCCAGCCCCCCCCCCCAAAAATATGTCACCATCGCAGTTGCTGCAAAAGTGGTGCCAGTTGCTAAAATGTGCCCAAAATGTGATTGTGGGACTGCAGGCTGGGGTGTGCAACTGTTGTAACTCCAAAAAGAGCTCATTGGTAGCTCTGGGGAGGCCTGTCATCGCTTTGAGTGAGCGGTGGTAAATTGAGGAGTGCCTGTTTGGGGAAGCAGGCCATGTGCTGTGGGGTGGCCTTTGGGTGAGGAATAGCCCACTGGTGGGGTCTGCGGAGAAGGGACGTGGGAGGGTGCTCTTTTACAGCCGGCTTGCCTCTCAGTGTTCCCTTCTGATCCTTTCCTCGTTCAGTCTGTGGGAAACGCTACAAGAATCGTCCCGGCCTGAGCTACCACTACGCTCACTGTCACCTGGCGGAAGAAGAAGGGGAAGAGAAGGAGGACTCCCAGCCCCCCACGCCCGTCTCCCAGAGATCGGAGGAGCAGAAAAGTAAGCTGCAGAGAGCTTCCGTCCCTCCCTTTGACTTGGTCGGAGTTGGGTGCAAGTCCCCCAGTGCCTGTTTTCTACGCCGCTGCTCAGCCTGGTCCCCGCGAATCAGGGCAGGACCTTTGTGTGGCCCTGCTGGTCCTTGCATAATGGAGATTATGGAACAGTCTTACTGTCAGGTTGCATTCGTCCCCCTCGTCACACATCCACTCTCTCCCTCCTTCCCCAGCTCCTTGCTGGGCCTCTTGTTTTGACTCAACCTGCAGTTGCCAAACTCCAAAAGGGCTTGAGCTCTGTTGCCCAATTCTGCTTGTCAATGGGAGTCTTCTCTCGAGAGGGGCGTCTCTTCCTCCTCGGCCAGTTTACCCACCCTTCCATTTTCAGAGCCGATCACGGTGCCCCCACACCTCCAACAAGGAGAACTTGCCAGGCTACAATTACCCAACCGCGGTTAGAAACGGGCTTAGCTACAGTGGTTTGAGTGGTGGCAGGAGGGAACTGCACCCAGGTGACTTTCCGAGGTTAAAAAATAATAATAATAATTTGCAGTGAGTGCCTGTGTTAGGAAACTCGCTGAGCCCAAGTGGGGTTGCTGATCTCTCAAGTTATGCCACCCAAAGTTTTCCGTGCAGGATTTGCCCATTTTGGGACGGGGTGTGTGTGTGTGTGTTTGTTTGGGATTTCTCTGCCTCTGCTGTGCTTTGAAAGACAAACCCCTTCTACTCCCATAGCCAAGAAGGGTCCCGACGGTTTGGCCCTGCCCAATAACTACTGCGACTTTTGTCTGGGAGACTCAAAGATCAACAAGAAGACGGGTCAACCCGAAGAGCTGGTTTCGTGCTCGGACTGTGGGCGATCAGGTACGCGAGCCCTTGGGAACCCTTGAGAAAAGGACTGGGGTGGGGGCTCTTTTGCCTTAGCTGTCCCCCTGCAAATAGCTCACCTGCCTGTCCTAGGGTGGAGTGGTCTGTCTGAATGTTGCTGCTTTCTCTCACCTCTCCAGGGCACCCATCTTGCTTGCAGTTCACCCCAGTCATGATGGCTGCCGTGAAGACCTACCGCTGGCAGTGTATTGAATGCAAGTGCTGTAACATCTGTGGGACCTCTGAGAACGATGTGAGTGTGCTTTTTTCCCTTTCTCTTCTAAGATAAGATAAGATAAGATAAGATAAGATAAGATAAGATAAGATAAGATAAGATAACCTTTATTGTCATTTTTTTACTGTGGGCACAACGGCACACATCAAAAGTGAAATTTAGTTGCCCGCTCTCAAAGTGAAACACATCTTGTCCCCAGAGGCTGATCTGATTCAGGTTGGAATTTAATCTCCTTAGTTATGCCTTCTTCCTTTTGGGGACAGCCCTCCTCCCCCCTTCTCCTTTGGACTTGAGCTCTCCCCCTCTGATACTGGATCCTTTGAAGCCTGCTTCTTGTGATGGATCCTCCTGGAAACCAAGATGAGATCTGAATTTGAATCCTCAAATTTGGATTGCTCTCTTGTTTGCAGCCTGTTTCAAAATGTACACAAAGCCCTTTCCTTTAAACTCACTCTTGAGAACTCATTTTCTGGGTTTTTGTTGTACGTAAAATCATAAACTCAGTGGCTAGATTCATGCTGGGCTACTAAAAATGAAGCCAGCGTAGGATGTTGGAGGATTGAGTGCAGCTGCATAATTTGCTTCTGGGTGAATATTGTGCTATGAACAATAAGTGTGTAAGTGTATTGATTACGTGGAGCTTAACACTTATAAGTGTATAAGTTTATTAATTACGTGGAACTTTTTGGCAGGGGGGGAAAACAACCCCTCTTAAATTGAAAACAGTTGCCTTGAACTCAAAACAGGCTCTTCGAATCTCACCCGCCGAGTCCCAACCCTGGTCTGGTCATTCTAGAGAGCCTTCCAAGTATGGGGTCTTTTGCATGCCGGGAAATGTCACGTTTCGGGGTTCATAAAAAGAAAAGAAGTACTTAAGTCCTCTGGATGCTGTTTTCTCCAGTCCAAAAGGAGGTGGGGTTAAGCAGTATTCTTCTTCATTGCCTTCTCCCCATCTTCCTCAGGACCAGCTGCTGTTCTGTGACGATTGTGACCGTGGTTATCACATGTACTGCCTCACTCCACCTATGTCAGAACCGCCGGAAGGTGAGTGCGATTCTGCTCCCACTCTTGTCCCCCCCCCCTCACCTTTCACCTGGGTGAGATTTTGGAGTTGTGAAGGGTTATGCAGCCCACAGTTATAAAGCAACCTGCTTCCTTCGCCTTGATCTTCTTCCTTCCCTCCCCTGGCTGCCCAGGATGAAATTGGTGGTCCAGCTCATCAGGAAGATCCAGCTTATAGCTCACTACTCTGGCTCCTTCTCTTTTTAAAATCAAAATGTGAAGACACCTTGGGGTGGCAGGTTAGAGACCAGTTCTATGAAGGGTGCCTGTGATGCTTCAAGATGAAATGGCCAGCGCCTGAATGTTATGTAACAAATAACATTTTAAAGCCCCAAATCTTGTTTTAGCCTCCAACTTAACAAGATTTTTGGCCTGTCGTGAAACCTCAGGGATTTCGAGATGCCCAGAATCATCTTATTGGAGCAATGGCAGCATATAAATTAAGATAAAATGAAAGGAAGGGAGGGAGGGAAAGAGGCAGGAAGGAGGGAAGGAATTTAAAAAAGGGAGGAAGGAATTAATTTTAAAAAGGAAGGAAGGAATTTAAAAGAAGGAAGGAAGGAAAGATTTTAAAAATGGAAGGAAATTTAAAAAGGGAAGGAAGTTCAAAATTAGCACATATGTACGCGTACATGCACGTACATACACACAAGCAAAAGCTGCCAGCTTTAAAAGTTGCCAACCCTTCGTTTATCATGACAAGGCAAAAGGTGGCTTGTAGCAAGCTCTCTTGTTTCCAGAGCAGGAGCTGACTCAGGGCTTTGGGAGGATCCTTCCAGCCCGTGTTAATTTCAAACAGTCCATGTCATTTTGACCTCACAAAGAGAATCTCACACTCAGGCTGTAGTTAACTTAAGAGTTGCAGAGAAAGTCTCTCTGCGTGTGTTTTCTCTTCTCTTGCAACTGGTCTTCTAACAAGGAGGGGACCCACACAACCAGACGGGCTCCATTGCAGAGGCCCACAGGATGTGAGCCAATGCATTGTCCCATTTAGAAGTTCCTGGAATTAATCTTTACATCTCCAATTAAACATTAGTCGGAGGAGGTGACGACCTCTGTCCGAGAATCTGACATGTCGATGCCAACCTGGCAGTAATGATTTGCTCATCTCAAGAGAGTCCTAAACTGGCTTACTTGCTATTTCCTGAAGATTAATCAGTGGAACAGCTTACCACTTGGAACTGTGGGCGCTCCATCACCGTAGGTTTTCAAGAAAAGACTCGGGTTGTCTGGCATGGTATAAGGACTCCTGCCTTGGGCAGCGGGTTGGACTAGACCAGGGCTAGACAACCTTGGCTCTTTTAGGACTCATGGACTTCCACTCCCAGAATTCCTGAGCCAGCCACACTGAGGGGAAAGGGAGAGGTTTCCAAGCTGAGCCAGGCTGGCTCAGGAATTCTGGGAGTTGAAGTCCACCAGTCATAAAAGAGCCAAGGTTGCCTACCCCTGGACTAGAAGACCTCCAAGGTCCCTTCCAGGCCAATGACTCTATGATTTACCATCCATAAGCTTCAGATCTGACCTGAGAAACTAAAAGGAATGGGAATAATCAGAGAAAGGGGAAAGAGGCCTAAGTCACTATTACATAGGTTCGCCACCATTGGTATAGGATTTCCTGCCTGAGCAGGGGGTTGGACTAGATGACCTCCAAGGTCCCTTCCAACTTTATTATTATTATTACAACAACAGTTTGTTTAGTGACTGAAGTTAACAGCACTGAAAAAAAAAGGGATTTGCAACCCTTTTTCACACTTACGACCGTTGCAGCATCTCCATGGTCACCTGATTTATATTCAGACGCTTGATAGCTGACTCACCTTTATGACAGTTCGTGTGATCCCTTTTTGCAACCTTATGACAAGCAAAGTCAGCGAGGAAGCCAGGTTCGCTTAACAAAACCATGCGCGACCAACTTTTAACCCCTGCAGTGACTCCCTTAAACAACTGCGGCCAGAACAGAGTCGCAAAATGGGACAAAGCTCACTCGACAAATTTGTTGGCAGAAATGTTGGGCTCCATTATGGCCATAAACCGAGGACTGTTGTGTACCCAGCCGTGGTTTTTTTTTTTTTTTTTTACTGTCACTAGTTTGAACAGGAAAATGCTTTTCTCCTCGCAGGGAGCTGGAGCTGTCATCTCTGCCTGGATTTGCTGAAGGAGAAAGCCTCGATCTTCCAGAACCAGAACGCCTCCTGAAATTGCATTTCAGTCTTGGAAGAGAACCGTTCCCTTGTCCAGTCTTTCTCTTGGGGTTTTAATCTTTCTCCTGCTGCTGCCTCCCACTTTGGGTCAGTGTCTCCCTTATTGGTTGGATCACTCGTCCGCACGCGCGCGCACATGCACACACACACATACGCACACACACACACACACCCTGCCTCACTGCCTCTCCTTCTGTCGGTCCCCCTGCCTCCTCCCTGGCAGTCGGGACTTAGAATCCCTTCTCTTCCCCCTTCACCTAAGAATTTTGAGACCCTTTTCTCAAAAATAATAATAATAATAATCCAGCATCCACGATAAGCTGAGGATCACCACAAGGTTTTGGACTAATACCCCAGCTGGAGGGCTCTGTGCGAGCAAGACCGGAAGGAAAACAAAAGAAAGAATGGGGGGTTTTTTTGCTGGTTTTTCCATCTGCTTCCTTCTTTTCGGCCCCATTGCAGTGGTCTGTGACCCCCAAAGCTTCTAAACTCGGCTTGTTCCTTCGTCCCTGTAAGAAACCTTTCTTTCCCCACCACCAACGTGGTTTAAAAGGGGCACCTTAGCAGCCTTTGAGAGCTTCGTGGGCGGCAGGGGAACCCAAATCAAAAGCATCCCCAAGGCTTGGCACAAGCAAGCACCCACCGCAAAGTATCTCAGTTTGCCTTGTTCCAAAACGATCATCTCAGATTTTGGCCAAATCAGGGCCGTTGAGGAGAATCATCTTCGGTTTAGATCCGGGAGAAGAGAGCGTATCCATCGCCTAGTCCTCTTCATTTACCAAATTCCTAAAGTATGGGTACCCATCCCACACGCATCGATCCCTGCGACGGTGGATTTCAAGATGCTTTCTTCCTCGAGAGGTCCATTTGTGCGTGTGTCGGTGTGTGAGCATTTAAAGCCGTATCGGGCTTTTTAAACACACTGGCGTTAAATCTCTTCATTCGGGGAGTCTGCAGGGTTGCGTTAAGTTGTGTGGAAGACTTGGAGGGTGGCATTTCTTTTGTTTTCAGAAAAAAGCTGAAGGTTGTTTGGAGTCAGGCAACGTTCGAGTGTGTGCTGACTCTAAAGCAGGGCTGTCCAGCCTTGGCAACTTGTAAGACCTGTGGACCTCAACTCCCAGAATTCCCCAAGTGCTAGCTGGCTGGGGGATTCTGGGAATTGAAGTCCACAGACTGTCAAGGTTGGACACCCCTGCTCTAAAGCTTTGGGATTACTCCCAAATAAGTTTCTTTAAAAAATTTTGGATCTGGAGTCAACCATGTCTCTTCCACAAACTTTTTCTTCAACTCTGCTGCTTCCTGGTCCGAGGGGATTCGGGGAGCTGAACTTCTCTTGCAGGAACAAAAAGCGGGTTTTTTTCCCTTCTTCTTTCAGTTTTTTCCTCTCCTTTGCCCCCAATTTGAGGATTTGGTCTTGCTAGCAAGTGATGCTTTTTTCTTTCTTTTTTTTTTAAAAAAAAAACTCCGTCCCCATTCCTTGTTTTCCCTCCCCTCCAGTGGCTAAGTTTTCTGCAAGACTCCGCTTGCTGAAGGAGAGGCATTTTTTTTTTCTGGAATAGGGTTTTTGTGTAATATTATACTTGTAATGTGCCTGATTTTTCTAAGATTGTCTTTAAAACCTACCTCCGACATTCCCCCGTCACACGCATCCTTCCGCCTCCTCTCCAAAGGCTTCTTCTCGTCCTCCACCTGAGTCTCCTTCTCTTTGCCGAAAGTGGAGACTCGGGACTGCCAAAGCAAATGGGGTCTGCTCTCTCTCTGTGTGTGTGTCTCTCTCTCTCTGTCACGGGTGGGGGTGACAATCCAGCCTGCGCAAGTGATGGAATTGGTTGGCTTGATGCAAATTTGAATTTGGCAAAGGCCGGTGTGGCGTCTTTCTCCCTGATCCTCCCTACCTGGCTTGGCAAGAGAGGTCAGCCTTTTTGAACTGAGTGCCTCACTTCTGTTGCTGTGCTACCTAGGATGATGGGCCGCCCCCCAATAGTGGGAAGGACAGGGTTGGGTCCCAGTGGGGTAGATGTGGCCCACAGAGAGCCAGGAACAAAGTGACCGGTGGAAGCTTTGATCCAGTCACCTTCCCTGTCTGCTCAGTCCTTCCAAAGGACTCGAAGCTTGAAGACTAAAAAGCGTTCCCTTTCGGTCTTGGGAACTCAGCTTGAGTTACCGGTCTTGGGAACTCAGCTTGAGTTACCGGTCTTGGGAACTCAGCTTGAGTTACCGGTAGGGGAGAGACAGCTATTATTTGTGCACTTAATTTGGCTCTGGATTCCTTTTTAGCTGCGACCTTTTCAAAAATGTTATTTTAACTCTGTTTTTTCTCTCCCCATACCCCAGGGAGATGTGGGGGCTGGCTGTCAGGCCCCCTCCTCCCCCGTGCACCAAACAAAGAGAGAAAGTTGTAGAATTGTTCCTTGGGTGGGTGTTAACCTGTCTCATCCCCCCCCCCAGCCCGGGGTGTTAGGTCCTCATTTGAAGCATCACACCTGTGTCTTAAAAAAAAAAAAAAGCTACCCAAATAAAAAAAACCAAAATGGCTTCTTGGAACTGGTTTTATGGTGGCCTGGCTCTCCGAGCTTGGGGATCGTGTGTGGATCTTTTCAATGCTGCGACATTGTGTGTGGGGGGGTTTTCCATGCTCAGGTTAGTTCTTGTCGGTTTTCAAGGGGTGGGAGGTGGGATAGGCTGTAATACCTCATTTTTTTTCTCTCTCTCGTGACGCCCACAAATAGTTGTGCAGCTTCGCACCTCCTCTGCACTGTCTTCTGATTCCCTCCCCCACACACTTCCACTAGAACTTGTTCTTGGTCGCTTGATCGTTCTCCTTTCCGAGTGATTTGATTTGTGCACCTTTGAATTGCATAGGTTTGGAATTTGGGCTTTCTTTCCGAAAAAAAAAATAAATAGACGCCCATCTTTTCTTGCCGTAAAAGCTGAAATATATTTTAGCTCCCTCCGTCCAATTTTATTTCAAGGCTGTAATAAGCATCAGCTAATAAACATTGCTTTTATTTACTCCTGTGTTGTCGGCCCAACAGTCGGGCGTGGATTTTAAATTCTTTTTGCTAATCGGCTCAGTTGAGCACGCGGCAACGTTTCAGATCCGTTTTTAAGAAGAGACCGGACCGCAATTGGTCTGAAATGGTGTAATAGGGTCTCCTGCCTGAGCAGGGGGTCAGGCTAGAAGACCTCCAAGGTCCCTTCCAACTCTTGTTATTCCGTATTCTTTCCTTGGGATGGAAATCTTTTTACCTTCCCTTTCCTGACCTTGCAAGATCTGCCTTTAGCCACTGGGGGGCAACCTGCCCTTTCAGCTTTTGTGCAATCACATCCCAGAATGATTATGGTGGAGGAAAATTAGAAAAATGGGAATCTGCGTTGCTGTCTGGAAGCCCCTGTACATACGGCAGGACAGGTCTAAACAAAACTCGGCAGAGACATTAAGCGTGGCGTTCAACTGGTGCAGCCAAAAGGGACCAGAGGCGTTCACTGGCTACCGAAAGAGCCAAAGATGGATTTTCACAGATAGATTTGAGCGCGTGTGTATAACAAGATGCATTTTCCCGTTCAGAGAGAAATGTCTCTGCTCCAAGGCCAGGTCTTCCCTTTCAAGAAGGTAAGTGCGTCCTCTCCAGTTTGGGATGACTCAAAGGGAACATTTTGCACAGAGTTATTTTGAACCTCTAGGATAATAATCTGTTCTTCAAGTGGTTTGGGGAGCCTCATCAAACCCACCTATTAAAAGTTCTCCAAGTTAATGCTTAATGGCACAAAAATTCGTCCTTTTCTCTCCTTTTTTCTTTTCCTTTCTTCTTTTCCTTTCTCTCCTCTCCCTTTCACCTTTCTTCCTCTCCTTTCTCTCCTTCCTTCCTTTCTCTCCTTCCTCCTTTATCCTTTCTCTTTTTCCTCCCTCCCTCCCTCTCTCAAAACTAATGAATGGAGCAAGGACTCTAAACAGAGGCTCAACCCCCCCCCCTTTTGCAGAAGGCCAAAAAAAGAACAGTGTGTTAGGGATTCAACTATCCTGGAAATAACTGGGCGGTCAGCAAAATCCTAATTTGTGCAAAAGCTGTCATATGACTTGTTTCATCTTGGATTGAGCCAGCCTCCCGGCAGGGGTTTGTTCAGAATTGCAAAATCATGTTTTAGTATGATGTGTGAATGAGTCGATGCTTGGCTCAACCTTTTGCTTAGGGGTCTCCAAACTTGGCAACTTTTGAGACTTGCAGACTTCAATTCCCAGAATCCCCCAGTCTTCAGGCTTTAAGATGGTTTGGAAGACCAAAACAAGGTGATCAGGTGATCCCATGACACTCCAACCATGGGCAAATGTGCAATGTTTGCCATATGCCCAAACCATGATTATGTGACTGTGAGGACACTTCATAGGTGTGAGGACCAGTCCTAAGTCTATGCCATAACTTTGAACTATCACTAAGTGAATAGCTGTATGTTGAGGACTACTTGCATAGTAGCACATTTTAGCACTGGAACCCTCTGTGAATGTCTTTGGCTTCAAAATATCAGGGAGGCACGACTACAATTTTCATCAATTCTTATTTATTGATTTGGTTGATTTTTTTTTTTTTTAAATCTAGAAATCCCACCTCCAGCCTAAAGGGGAAAAAAAAGATAATTAAAGTTGTTTAACGAAGCTGCAGTGATTTCCTGTTCCTCGTTTCCCCCATTTTAGCAAATTCCACCATCCAGCATTCTCCCTTGATCCAATTTCTGGAGCAAAACTGGTTCTTGGCTCTGAGCGGAAAGGCACTGTTGCTCCGGCGTTATTCTGGAATATTTAAAAACAAGCAGAAATTGCAAGAGATGCTTTAAGTTGGGTGGACTTCCTCTCCCAGAATTCCCCAGTGAGCAAGATTTAAGTTGGGTGGACTTCAATTTGGAGAGAGCCAGTTTGGTCTCATGGCTAGAAAGCAGGGGATCCTGAGTTCTAGTCCCGCCTTAGGCATGAAAGATGTTTAGGTGACTTTGGGCCAATCACTAGGAGCTGGTGAGTTCTAGTCCCGCCTCAGGCATCAAAGCTGGCTGGGTGACTTTGGGCCAATCACCAGGAGACGGTGAGTTCTAGTCCCGCCTTAGGCATGAAAGTCACCGGGTGATTTTGAGCCAATTACTAGGAGATGGTGAGTTCCAGTCCCACCTTAGGCATGAAAACTGGCTGGGTGACTTTGGGCCAGTTACTTTCTCTCTGTCCAGCTCACCTCACACGTGATGGGGAAAACAGGAGGAAGCCGTGTTGGACATGTTCGCTGCTTTAGAGTTATTCATAAAAATAACAAAAGCGGGATACAAATAAAATATATTAAATAAATAATTCCCTATAACTCTCGGAATTCTCCAGCCAGCATAGGGATTCTGGGGGTTGAAGTCCAGGTTGTCAAGATTGATAAACCTGGGTGGTCTAGCATCTGCCCCGTGGTACCAGACTGGCGAGAGTGGGCGGGACTGCCCAGAGTCAACCAATGAGCTTCTGTGGCTGAGAGGAGGACTCGAATCTTGACCCCAGGCCAACACCTTCCCCCCCCCCGCTGAGCCCTATCAGCACAGTCAATGCTTGCAAGAAACTTACCTCCCTTCCACTTCGTCTATAGTATCAGGAAGGGGCACGTTGAGGGTCTCGGGCAGGAAGATGGCGGCAATGCCAGAGAGGATGGGGGCCGTGCCGTAGATGAGCGACGGTAGATACGAACAGTATTCGCCCGTCATCTTGATCATGGGTGCCACAATGCCACCCACGCGGGCCAGGGTGCTTCCGAGCCCCATCCCTGTTTGTCTGCAACAGTAAGAAATCGCTTTTGGAGGACACAAACGATGAAAACAAAAAAACAAAAAAAGAATGCTTGCATTTCACACCTACATGCATTTGTGGGAATGTTCGATCCTTGCTTTCTACGGGTCTCCCCCTTGGACTTGTGACTCTTAGAATAGAATAGAGCTGAAAGGGATCTTGAGGTCTTCTAGTCCAGCCCCCCACTCAGGCAGGAGAAGCTATGATTGGACAAGTGACTGTCCAGTCTCTTCTTAAAAAGCTCCAGCGATGGAGCACCCACGATTTCTGGTGGCAAGCTGTTCCACTGGTTAATTGTCTTCACTGTTAGAAAGTTTCTCAATTCCAAGTTGCTTCTCTCTCTGATAGTTTCCAACCATTGTTTCTTGTCCTTCCCTCTGCTGCTTTGGAGAATAACGTGACCCCCTCTTCTTGGTGGCAGCCCCTCAAATACCGGAATACTGCTATCATGTCTCCCCTATTTTCCTCTTAACAGCATCCTCACAGTCATGTGATCTAATTCAGGTATAGGAAGTCCTTGACTTACACAACCGAGTTCAATGACTCTGCTTGTCCGAAGGTCGCAAAAGGGGGTCGCATGACCCCCCCCAAGACACTGCAACCGTCATAAATATGAGCCAGTTGCCAAGCATCTGAATTTTGATCGCACAACCCTGAGGACGCTGCAAAGGTCGTAACTGAAAAACGGTCATAAGTCACAGTTTTCAGTGCCGTTGTAACTTTGAACGGTCGCTGAATGAATTGTCGTAAGTCGAGGACTACCTGTATGTAGGAACCAGCATCTATTTAGGATGTGTGCTGGGTCCTGGGATCCCATGATTGACATTTGAGACCTTCCCAGCCCAACCAAAATCAATGGGGCAAGCCAGACTTGATTAACGACAGCTTGATTTGCTTAACGATCGCAGTGATTAACTTCACAAAGGTGGCCCCCAAAAAAAGATCATTAAATCAGGCATAACTTCTGTAACAACCGCCTTGCTCAGCAATGGACATTCTGGCCCCCAACTGTGGGTATAAGTCGAGAACTACCTGCATACCTTGTTAATTCCTGGTCCTGGATTCAAATCTCCCCGCCTGCCTCGAATTCACACTTTAGAGATTGATTCTGCTCATTTTCCACTCCTGGTTCTGCACCAGGTGCATGATCAGACAACCTTGCCCCCAAAGGGAGAATAATTTGGCCATTTGAATCACGCAATAGCAAGATGGCAAAGTGCAGGTGGAAAAAAAAAACCCATGATGAAAACTTGAAAACCTGACACGGGTTCAGGAGCCTCTGAGATGTTGGGGCGACGTACCTGATCACCGTAGGGTACAGTTCTCCGGTGTAAAGGTACAAGCAGTTGAAAGAAGACGCCAGACACCCTTTGCCGAGCACTGCCAAAAATGTTCTCAGAGTCCGTAAATCTTCAATAAGGATGAAGAAGAACAGAGGAGGGGGGAAAAAAAAAACAGGAGATGAAAACAGGAACGTTAGGACACTCCATGCTAAAACAAATTCTATATTTATTGTCAAAACGCACGGGATCCTTTCCTTCCGTTGGCAGGTAAATAAATAATAAACCTTTAGGGCAGGCGTGACCAACCTTGGCAACTTTTAAGACTTGTGGACTTCAACTCCCAGAATTCCCCAGCCAGCCATGCTTTCAGATGGGTGGATTTCAACTCCCAGAATTCATGACTGGCTGAGGAATTCTGGGAGTTGAAGTCCACAGGTCTTAAAATTGTCCAAGTAGGATAACCTATTTCAGGGTGAGCTTCAACCTAAATTTAAGAAAATTTCCCGCTGGTTGAAACGGTGCCTTTCTTTATTTTAACTTTTCCTAATGCCACCCAGGTGCAAAAGAGGGTAGATCTTTGCTTGCTGCTGCCATCTTGATTTACAAGTGCCGTTTTATACCTTTGGATGGTCACTAAATGAACAAGGCAAGGGCTACCTCTACATAACCTGCTTTACAACTGCATTGCTCGGTCACGGGAAATCTGGTCCTGCTTGCTGTCGTAACCCAAGGACTATCCGTATTCTTTGTCTCCTGAGCGGACGGCATTTAGATCAGATTAATTTTGACCACGGGGGGGGCCCTAACCATGGCTTCCTGTGTCACCTGCACGATTTCAGATGGTTCACCTGAGGGCACCAAGATATTGACCAGAATTGCCAGCCCGGCCAAAATGACAGACGAAGCTTGCGTGGTTCTCCTTCCGACGTAACTCATGCCGATGGCCGACCCCAGCTTGGCAGGGATGTCGATGGTACCGAAGGCCACCTGGATCAGGTAGATGCTGAAGCCAAAATGTTGAAGGTCCATCGCCAGGCCGTAGTAAGCGAAACTGGTTGCAAACCTGAAACCGGGGAATTCACTTTGTCTACGGGTCTGCCTGAGCCTTTGAAACTCGCAGAGGTCGGCACTCAAGTTTCCAGTCCTCAGCATGGCTCCGAGAACAAGGCCTTTAGGGAAGGAAGGAAGGAAGGAAGGAAGGAAGGAAGGAAGGAAGGAAGGAAGGAAGGAAGGAAGGAAGGAAGGGGTGCCCATCGCAACGTACCACACGCTGGAAATGCAGCAGGAGATCCGGCGCACCGTCGGGGTCCGGCCCAAGGAGGCGAGAGTGTAAGATGACTGAGCCAAAGTCATTTCCTTCTGCATGCTGGATTTCAAGACCTGACATGCAACCACAAAGATGACAAATCAGTGTCACAAGCAGCGATTCTCTTTTTTTTGGGGGGGGGGGAATTTGGTCCTATTTGGCCCAACGGAACTGACTTTGGATTTTCTTCAAAAGAGCAGCTCCTGCTATCCCCTCCCACAGGGACCTGGGCTCTGAAACCAGACCCCCAGATCCCCAGGAGAAATTCAGCTGGGATTCTCAAACAACATCTGTAGATCACACCAAAGGTGAGAAAGAGGAATCTGCTGGCTTTCAAAACCAAGTGATCAACTCAGCAGATGGGTAATTCAGACTGAACTAAGGGTGTCCAACCTTGCCAACTTTAAGACGGGTACACCCCCCCCCCCCGCTACTAACCTACTTTCTAACTAACCTCAGTGTTGAGCTTCTCTCCTTCGTCTTTCTTCCCGTTCAGCTGAGCCACCTTCTTCAGCACATCGACCGCCCGCTCCACTTTGCCAGACAGCACCAGCCACCGGGCCGATTCTGCAAACCACCTTGCGCCAAAAAACCCCCCCCATCCGGTGACTTCGGAGAGGCTAGCAGCCTTTGCAACAGGAACAGATTACAGGTAGTCCTCCACTTACAACTGTTTGTTTAGTGGACCGTTTGAAGTTGCAACGGCACCAGGAAAAAAATTAAATTCCCAGAATTCCTGAGCCAGCATGGCTCAGCTTAGAAACCTCTCCCTTTCCCCTCAGCATGGCTGGCTCAGGAATTCTGGGAGTGGAAGTCCACGAGTTATAAAAGAGCCAAGGTTGCCTACCCCTGCCCTAAACCAAATGAGATGAGACTTCAATAGATGAGGCATTAAGAAGGACTTGTGGACAAGAAGAGCTGTCAGTCACTGGAACTGATGGACACAGAGGTATTTCTAGGTCAGAGGTAAGCAACCTCAGAATTCTTAAGCCAGCAGGATGTGTATACCCATCGATGTGCTTACTCTCTTATAATCCCTTCCTCTGCAATCTTTCTGCTATAGGAGGTAGGAGGGAAAAAAAAAAGGCATGGCTGGCTCAGGAATTCTAGGAGTCGAAGTCCACCAGTCATAAAAGAGCCAAGGTTGCCTACCCCTGAATTATATACGATGTTTGCGGTGTTCCGGGGTCAAGCAATCCCCTTTTGCGACCTCCTGACAAGTGAATTCCATGGGGAAACCAGATTCACTTAACAACTGTGTTTCTAACTTAACAACCACAGTGATTCACTTAGCAACTGTGGCAAGAAAGGTTGCAGAATGGGGCACTAAACTCCACTGATAACTGTCTTGCTTTTCCAGGGAAACGTTGGGCTCACTTGTGGTGATAAGTCAAGGACTACCAGTAACCGCATCGCTTAACGACAGCAATGTTGGCAGTCTCGATTGCCATCGTTAAGAGAGGATTGTGGGTCATTGTTTATGTATTTGCGACAGGGTCACGTGATCCCTTTTGCGACCTTCCGACAAGCAAAGTCAGTGGGGGAAGCCAGATTCACTTGACAACAGGGTTACTAACTTAGCCACTTTAGCATTCGCTTAATAATTAATAATAAAGGTTTTAGGAATGGCCGCCCCAAAGATGCTACCTGCTCACCACGAGTAGATGAAGAAGGCAAAGAACGGCATGGAGGCCGTGAATTGCAGCTGGCGCCAGTCTGGAAGCGCATAAGCCAGGCCCGGAAGAATGATTTGCCCAAAGGTGGCAGAATACCCCACCAGGGTGCCAGCGATGGTTCGGATGTTGGTGGGCACCCACTCCAGGACTAATGCAAGGAAGGAAGGAAGCAGGGATGTTACGTTTGTTAAGTTTTTAGGTCACTGTTTCTAGAGCTTGGCAACTTTACAAAGGGAGGAGGGGGCTTCGACTTCCAGAATTCCTCAGTCAGCCAGCATGCTTCTGGGAGTTGAGGTCCATGCAGCCTGGTGAAGGAATTCTGGGAGTTGAAGTCCTCCCATCTTAAAGCATGCTGGCTGGGGAATTCTGGGAGTTGAAGTCCTCCCATCTTAAAGCATACTGGCTGGGGAATTCTGGGAGTTGAAGTCCATCCCTCTTAAAGGATGATGAGTGGGGAATTCTGGGGGTTGAAGTCCACCCTTTTTGAAGTTGTCAGGCTTGAGAAACACTGTTTTACTCTTCGCAACTGATTTCCAAATCGGTTGCCATCTTGCTTCCCTCCCCCCCAATGCTCCTGTTCTCCAACATTAAACCATCTTTTCCCCATTCAGACAGTAGCAAGCCATCACACTTTCCTCCATATCATGAACAAAATCTTTCTTTAATTATTCCTGAGTAATGCAAAGTGGCCAGGGAGAGTTCAACGGCTTCCCATTGGGTGTCCTTCCCCCCCCCTCCACAACAGCTGGCAATATGAGATGCAACCCGGTTCTGTTGCATCATTTGTCTCCTTGTGCCTGAGGGAGTGCAGTGTCCTGCCCCCCCCCCATTATCCCTGCATTCTCTGTGCAACACATGACCCCTTCTTCCCAGTGGGCCTTAATCAAATTAAGCCTCAGGTATGGCAAACCGCAGAGATAAATATTTGGACAGGTCTAGAGCACGCTGGGGACAAAACATTGCGCAGGGGATCAGGAATGCACAAAAGCGTAATTCTGCAAAATAAACCTTGGGCACCCCCTTGACACGAGCTCTTTGCTCCCAACAGCAGTCTGCCAGTCCCAAATCCAACCGGTGCAGCTCTTTGAAACAGCCATATTTCTACTCTGGGGGAGAAACACTACCCTGTCAGTTTTGAGAATCGGGAACCAGCTGAATGGCGTAGAAAGTGTGCTTAGACTTGCACTGAATTATCATTTTGCTCACCTTTGGGGATTCTTATTACCTTACACAAAAGAGAAGGAGGACTTAGGGGCGGTGTTGCTCAACCATGGCAACTTTAAGGCCTGTGGACTTCAATTCCCAGAATTCCCCAGACTGCAGCCTTTAAAGTGGGTGGACTTCAACTCCCAGAATCCCCTGACTAGCATACTTTAAGATAGGTGGACTTCAATTCCCAGGATTCCCCAGCCAGCAGGCTTTAAAGTGGGTGGACTTCAACTCCCAGAATCCCCTGACTAGCATACTTTAAGATAGGTGGACTTCAATTCCCAGGATTCCCCAGCCAGCATGCTTTAAGGCATGGGGACTTCATTTCCCAGAATCCCCCAGCCAGCTTGCTTTATGATGTGTGGACTTCAACTCCCAGAATTCCCTCGCCAACAAGCTTTGAGATGTGCGGACTTCAACTCCCAGCACGGCTGGCTGGGGAATTCTGGGAATTGGAGTCCACCCACATTAAAAGTGACTGAGAAACCCTAGCAGAGAGAACTGGCTACAAAGTCTGAAGACTTCTAAAAGCGGCCTTGAAAAATCCTGTAAATATCTTGTTTTTCCCATCCTCCCCCCACCTGCTTTTTCCCCAGGACCCCCTTCTTCCCACCTTACCTAAAGACATGCAGTTGAGGACAATGCCAGAGAGCGCCATGCCAACCAGGAACCGAAAGGCACAGTAGGCTGCGAAATTGGGCGCAAAAGCCGTGCACACCCCCGAGATCGCCAGCTGGAGGTAGGACCAAGTTAAGATTGCTTTGCGGCCGAACCTGCGGCACAGAATTCTGCATCAGTCCCTGGGCACAATTTCTCCTTTCTTGAGAGGTTGCAGTCATAAGTCTATCGATACTTTTTAAAACGTTTTTAAGAAGAGACTGGACGGCCACTTGTCTGAAATAGTACAGGGCTTCCTGCCTGAGCAGGGGGTTGGACTAGATGACCTCTAAGGTCCCTTCCAACTTATTATTATTATTATTATTATGGATCATCGCACAGTCAGCCAGATGTTCAGACTGGATTTGGCATTTTGTCTACCTATCGAGTCCTTACCCAGGACCTGGGATAGGCAGATGTGGATGTTTGATGGTATTGTTATTATTATTAATCATCGCACAGCCAGCCAGATGTTCAGGCTGGATTTGGCATTTTTGTCTACCCTTTCTTTCTGTTTCTGTTTCTCTTTCTCCTTCTCTTTCCTTTCACTTAGTCCTTCTCTCTCTTTTTTGAGAGGCCACAATTATTCCCCTGGGGAGGCAGGGGAAGAGGACCAAGGCCAAGAGAGTGACTTCCACAAACCTAGAAAGGCGGTGTTGGTGGCAGAAGTGGAATATGAATCCATCACAGTTGCATCCCCCAGTTTCCAACTATCTTTGCCAGAAAGCACGGCTCTGCTTGTAAACACCCACCTGTCTGCTAAGCTCCCCAATATAAGAGCGCCAGCAAGAACGCCTCCCATGTAAATGGACTGGGCCATCTGTCTCCGAGTCTTCTGGTTGCAAACAAGGTCCCACTGGTGGAAGGAAAAACAGGAGGAAGAGAGAGGGAGAGATGTGTTTCATTTCCTGAATCCCGTTCACACAACATAGCAGACCCAGAGTTAAAACTAGGCGAGACCTGGCTCAAAACCAGGAACTGTGAGAGGGACCTTGGAGTCCTAGTGGACGATCACTTGACCATGAGCCAGCCGTGTGCAGCAGCAGCAGCAGCAGCCAAAAACGCTAACACAATCCTGGCTTGTATAAACAGAAGCATAGAATCAAGATCACGCAAAGTACTAGTATCGCTTTACAGAGCCCTAGTAAGAACACACCTGGAATGCTGCAGCCAATTTTGGTCACCTTATCACAAAAAAAGATGTTGAGAGTTTGGAAAAAATTCAGAGAAGAGCAACTAAGATGGTCCAAGGCCTTGGAGACCAAAACATATGAAGAACGGCTGCGGGACTTGGGTTTGGCCAGTTTAAAGAAAAGAAGAAATAGGGGAGACATGATAACAGTGCTCCAGTATTTGAGGGGCTGCCACCAAGAAGAGGGATGCAAATTATTCTCCAAAGCACCAGAGGGAAGGACAAGAAACAATGGTCGGAAACTAACCAAAGAGAGAAGCAACCTGGAATTAAGGAGAAACTTCCTGACAGCGAGGACAATTAACCGGTGGAACAACTTGTCAACAGAAGTCGTGGGCGCTCCATCACTGGAGGTTTTTAAGAAGAGACTGGACAGTCACTTGTTTGAGATGGTATAGGTTCTCCTGCTTGAGCAAGGGGGGTGGACTAGAAGACCTCCAAGGTCCCTTCCAGGTCCATTCTATTCTATTGTAAAATCCCCCTTTAGCCACTGAATCTCTCTTGGGTGTCTTGAGTCCGAACCCTCCCTCTCCGCCCAGCCTCCCTCGCAGGGTAGTTGTTCCAGGGAAAAATGGAAAGAGGGAGCACTTGAACTTCTGAGCTCAAGGCAGGATATAAATCAAAGATCTCCAAACTTGGTGACTTTTTAAGATTTGTGGACTTCCGCTCCCTTCCATTCTGGGAGTTGAAGTCCACAGCGTCTTAAAAGTCGCCGATCGACTATGTCAGTAAAATCAAGATGCCCTCAGGGGCATTAACTGTATGAATGACTGACACCTTTGAATGGCAGACGACCCAGATTCACCATGGAAAGGGAGACGGGCACCACCGGTGACATTTCATAAATAAATCCCCGAGAACTGCTGGTGTTTTGCAACAGGTTGCCTGTAATCCAAAGTAAAAAAAAACAACAACAGGGAAAAACAGCTACAAGAAAGATAGACTTATTTAAACAGTAGGAAGTTTGTGTCTGTGTATGTGTGTGTGTGTTGGGGGGGGGGAAACAGCACAGATAGGAAGGTAGACACTGAAATGTTCATTTAGGCACATCTTTCAGCCGTGTCTTATACCCTGGAGAACTTTGCCCTATTATAGGGATCAGGTTCCACTCTGTGATATTCCGGGATAATGTTAGAAATAGCCTCAAAGGTCTGTTTGCCTCAGGAAACATGGTGTGTGTGTGTATGTGTGTGTGTGAGAGAGAGAGAGAGAGAGAGAGAGAGAGAGAGACTTTTGTTGCAGCATAACTGTGGAGTTAAAGAGAGGGAAATCTCAGAATAACAGAGTTAGAAGGGACCCTAGAGGTCATCTAGTCCAACCCCCGCTCAAGCAGGAGAACCTATACCATCTCAGACAAGTGTGTGTGTGTGTGTGTGTGTGTGTGAGAGAGAGAGAGAGAGAGAGAGAGAGAGAGAGAGAGAGAGAGAGAGACTTTTGTTGCAGTTTAACTGTGGAGTTAAAGATCTCAGAATAACAGAGCTACAAGGGACCCTGGAGGTCACCTAGTCCAACCCCTTGCTCGAGCAGGAGACCCCCACATCATTCCAGACAAATGGCTGTCCAATCTCTTCTTAAAAACCTCCAGTGTTAGAACACCCACAACTTCTGAAGGCAAGCTAATCCAGGGCTGAATAATTTATTCCAGGGCTGAATCTGAGCCCTCTCTGGATTAACTGCAGGATCTCTTCTCTTCCTCCTTTACTTGACTTTCTAACTTTATTCTTTGCACCCTAGTTTAGGATATTAGGCGGACCCCTTCTCCCACCTCATTTAGCTCCGAGACCGAACGACAATTGAAAAATAGGTTTCTTTTTGTAATTGTTCCAACTGACCAGAAAGAGAACGGCAGAATAGATGGGGTAACACTGCTGTTCCCCTTCTAAACAATGGGAACAATTAAAAAAATAAAATAAAACAATTGAATAACCACCACCCCCTTATTCTTTTAATATAAATAAATAAATCACATACACACCCCAAGATAATTTGGGCTGGAGGTTTTTCAAGAAGAGACTGGACAGCCCAGAATGCTTGAGCAGGGGGTTGGACTAGATGACCTCCAAGGTCCCTTCCAACTCTTGTGACTGTATTCTGTACTCTTAGCATGGAGGGGAAAAAAGGGGGGAATTCTGCAGAATCTTGATTTTTGCCATCCTAGTCTTAACATGCTTTACAAATGTTGATTTTTTTCCTCTTTCTGCCCCCCCCTTCTCCCCCCAAAAATGAGGCCACCTCCACCTGTGGAAGCTTTCTTTTGGGGCATGGGAGCGCGGGATCTTTTGGAGACCTCTTCAAATCTGTTAAGTCCTGAAGAAGGTTCAAAAAGCAGATTTATTTCTGAGGATACAGCCTGTCCCCTTCCAAGCTTGAGAACAGATTTGAGTTGCTCACCTGCATGGCTGATATCTTAACCCTTTGGAGCCTGGCTTTTGCGCACAATCCCGGGTTCAAAATTGGGCTTCTGAACCTCGACAGAATCCGGATCCGATCGCCATTCCCCATCACCCCCTCTGCCCCCTCACCTCCATGATGATGGTGTTGGTGAAAATGCTTCGGTCGTAAACCCATCCGTCCAGGCACGGTTCGGTCGCCAAGCCCGTGCCGTTGCCCCCAGTGTCGGCGCTGGCGTTCAGTGGAGGCCACTCAGTGGCCACAAAGCGGAGGCATTTTTCAGGTTGCCCGCTGGCATCTTTGGGAACCCCCCAGACCTCTTCCCCACCGGTTGACATTTGAGTCCAGTTGATATGGGCATACGTGCCGTTGGGTGCTAGCCTGATCCGGCAATGGTGATCGGGTATCCCGGCTGAAAAATTCTGGAGCAGATTATGGCTGGCTGTTAATAAAATCGGGGTCACCAGCAGAGTGATCTGGAGGATCTGGAAGCGGCCCATCCCTCCAATCTGCTCCAGAAGCTCAGCAAACGTCATGGCGGAGAAGGAGCCCCTCGCAAAGGCAAAAAACGAGGATTTCCAGTTAGGAATTCATCGGCGTTTCCAGGACAGTTTCTCTGGAAATCATGCCAGCTCCGTCCAGTCTTTCTCTGGCACTAGAGAACAAGGAAAAGAAGAAAAAAAAAACCTTTTCTTTTCTGAATTCAGGCTCAGCATTTTGAAAAAGTTATTCCCCGGCCCACTTGGCGTCCAGTGAAAACATCGCTGGAGGGGACCACGAGGGTGGAAGGAATTAAAAACACGGAGGAGGCCGTGGTGGTGGCAAACTCTGGGGTTGCAAAATCTGGGCACCCCCAGACGAGGCCGTCAGTTTTTTTCCTCCCTCTTGCTAGGAGCACCAAAAACCATCTGTGTGTGTGGGGAGGGGGGGTTGAGGATGCTTCGGTGTGAACTGTGATCGTGGGGATGCTTGCAAAAGATTGCGCAGGGGCCCCGTTTCTCTCCTGGGGTGGGATTACGCAAGACCTAATTTGCCGGGATCAAGGTCCTAAGGCTTTTGGAAGGATTAGCTGGAGAGGCAAAGGCAGAGCAGAAAATACAGCCATTCATGAAAATGGGAGCAGAATGCAATGGGCAGGGGTGTGTGTGTGTGTGTGTGTGTGTGTGTGTGTGAGTAGGGGGTGACTATTAAGCAGGAGGGGGTGGGAGAGCAGAAAGAAAAACTGGCAAGGTTGCCTTGGCTAAGAGATTTTTCTGGGGCTTGTCCTGAGTTCACACACTCCAAGCAGTTGTCAAGAACGAAAAAAAGGAATGAAAAGCAGAGACAACTCTATTCATTAAATTATTTCCCCCACTCCATGGAAGAGGGGGCTTTAAAAACTGCAAAAAAAAATAATAATAATAATGGCTGGGTCCAGGGATGGAGTCCTGGGGATGCCTTCCCAGAAAGGAAATGGGGATTTTTCAAACGAGATTTTGGTGCTTCGATTTTACAGCCGTTTTGTTTTTTTTGTTTTTAAGCTGGCTCTTCATTTCTTGCTCAAACTTGTTTCTCAAGCTGGTGAACAATTAACGAGTTGTGTGGACAGACAGTCCCGGGTTATCCTGGTTAAACAATTTCCTAAGAAGACATCAGCGGTTTTTCCAAGCTTATCTGCCTCCGGTAGAGGCTACAAAGATAATATGCAATATTCTATTTCTCCTTCTTCTTCTTCTTCTTTTTTCTTGGAGAAGAGATAGGCTGGATTTCACAGCCGTTGGATCGACTCCCCAAGCCAGGAAGTTTTCTGAATCAAATTGGCAAGGCATGGTCAGTCCTTGAATTGAAGGCAGTTCAATAGAGCCAGTTTGGGGTTTTTTTATATGTGCAACACAGACACTCAGTTTAAAAGTCCGAACCTAACCAGATGGCAAAGAGAAACTAGCAGTTAAAATCAGATTTTCTCTCATTTGCAGCGCCTAAATGGGCTTCTTGAGAACTAAAGTCAGACAAAAGAGAACAAAATCATCTTAGTTCTCCTAGAAATTTCCTGGCAGATTACAACAATTAACCAATGCAACTCCTTGCCTCCAGAAGTTGTGGATGCTCTATCACTGGAGGTTTTTAAGAAGAGACTGGATAGCCATTTGTCTGGAATGGCATAATAGGGTCTTCTGCTCAAGCAGGGGCTCGACTGGATGACCTCCAAGGTCCCTTCCAAACTCTGTCGTTCTGTTAAAATAACTTCTTTTGGTTTTGCTCAAAATGTTTAGCTGCATCAGCCGAAGAATAAAACATCAAGGAGGTTTCATTCTTGGAAAAAATATTCATTTTTTGCCATCTTCCCTGGATATAGCCCTCCCTTCTGCTCCATTTTCTCGTGGGCACCTATTCCAAAATGTAACTAATTAACTAAGTTAATTGCTAAACCCAGTCAAATTTTTGGTAGGTTTCAACTATACAAACTAAAGCATTGTTTTCCAAACGTAGCAATTTTAAGCTGTGTGGACTTCAACTCCCAGAATTCCCCAGCCAGCCATTGACTTTGCCTGTCGGAGACCAGCTAGGACGGTCGCAAATGAGGATCACATGATCCCCCAGGATGCTGCAAATACATTTAGGTGGCCAAGTACCTGACTTTTGATTCCGTGACTCTGGAGAGGCTGCAAGTCATAAGTATGAGGATTAGTTGGACGGAAGTCTCTTTTTTTAAGTGTCGTTATAACTTCAAACATTTGTGTAATGAAGGATTACAGGTCAAGGACTATCTGTACACGTCAATCCAATAAAAGTGGAGGTTGCATAGTTGACGGGGCTATGTGAACTCCATCATCTCAAGATGTTGTAAGAAACAAACGATCACTTTAAGCGAAATAGTTGCCTGATCTTTGGGCGTTGTGTACTATGGAGTCTAATCAGTGGGTATTTTTAAATTAAAGTACTTTCTCATTTCAATGTTTAATTCGGATTGCTAGGCGCCATTTGCCAGCTAAGTACAATTATGCCACCAATGAAAGCTAGTTTAGTCTAACGGTTAAGACATCAGGCTACAAACTAGGAGACGTTGAGTTCTAGTCCTGCCTTTACATGAAAGACAGATGTGTGACTTTGGGCCAATCACCAGGAGACTGGGAGTTCTAGTCCCGCCTTAGGCATGAAAGCCAGTTGGGCGACTTTGGGCCAATCACCAGGAGGCAGTGAATTCTAGTCCCGCCTGAAGCATGAAAGCCAGCTGGATGACCTTGGGCCAATCACCAGGAGGCAGTGAGTTCTAGTCCCGCCTTAAGCATGAAAGCCATCTGGGTGACTTTGGGCCAGTCACCATGAGGCAATGAATTCTAGTCCCGCCTTAGGCATGAAAGCCAACTGGGTGACTTTGAGCTAATCACCAGGAGGCAGTGAGTTCTAGTTCCGCCTTAAGCATGAAAGCCAGCTCGGTGACTTTGGGCCAGTCCCTTTCTCTTTCAATCCAACCCACCTCACAGGATTGTTTTTATGGGGAAAACAGGAGAAGGAAGATGTGTTGGATATGTTGGCTGCCTTGAGTTATTTGTCAAAACAATAAAGGCCGGATACAAACAAACAAACAAACTTTTCTTCTTGTCTCCCCAGCAAGGAAGAGGAACTGACTGATCAGTTGCAGGCAGATGTTGAAAGAAACCTCTGGGGGTAAACCTAGATTTCTCACCCTTATTTAAAACATCCCAGTTAGGAGATGTCTCCACTTGGATAGGCTATAAGAAAGTAAGATATATATTTATATATATATATATATATATATTTTAATGAGCTATTACTGAGTTTAACAACATTGTCATAATGCATTGGAAATCGTGACGGCTCTTTTGGGGATGTCAGAGCAAGCGTCTGTCTCAGCTCCTCCCGTGTCTTTATTTTCCAGGTTTCCAGGTAGCCTGAAATCCTTTTCTGCCTCTTGGATTTCTTTCATAGCCAGGAGAACTGGGCCTGGATGACAAGCCTTTTCTCTCTTGTCTTCCTCCACGTTTCTAAGACAGGACAAAATCAGATGGGTTGGCAAGGGGTACAGCTCTGTCAGCAATCACGTCAACAATCGGGTGTTATTAAAAAAGGAGGAAGAATTTAAACGCAGAGGAGCGTCAAATGGAGCGGTTTGAGGGATCCTTTTGGCAGAGGAACACAAAATATTGAAAGGTAGTGGTCAAGACACTGGGCTGGAAACCAGAGGATTGTGAGTTCTAGTCCCACCTTTTAGGCATGAAAGCCAACTGGATGACTTTGGACAAATCACCAGGAGATGGTGATTCTAGTTCCGCCTTAGGCATGAAAGCCAGCTGGATGACTTTGGACTAGTCACCAGGAGGCGGTGAGTTCTAGTCCCACTTTAGGCATGAAAGCCAGCTGGATGACTTTGGGTCAATCACCAGGAGGCGATGAGTTCTAGTTCTGCCTTAGGCGTGAATGTCGGCTGGATGACTTTGGACCAATCACTAGGAGACAGTGAGTTCTAGTCCCATTTTAGACATGAAAGCCAGCTGGGTGACTTTGGACCAATCACCAGGAGCCATTGAGTCCTGCCTTAGGTATGAAAGCCAGCTGAATGACTGGACCAATCACCAGGTGCCAGTGAATTCTAGTCCTGCCTTAGGCATGGAAGCCAGCTGCTTGACCCAGGGCCAGTCACATGCTCTCAGCCCTAGGAAGGAGGCAATGACAAACCATTTTGGAAAGATCTCGCCAAGAAAAACGCAAACTAACGTTGCCGAAGTTGAGAAACACCGAACTAAATCGAGGCGATTGATCCCGCATTATCGATTCCAAAATGGGGCTTTTGATACGCTGGATGCCAACCGGCTCCTTCTCATTCCCCCTCCCGCCAAAACCAAAACAGCAAAAGTCTCGTTGCCACTGACCTGCTCTCTACGTCTTGTATGGTGTCTGGAAGAGGCACATTTAAAGTCTCGGGCAGGAAACAGGCCACCAGGCCGGAGATGATGGGGGCCGTGGCATAGATGACAAGGGGAAAGGACGGAAAATACTCGCTGGTCATCCTCACCAGAGGGGCCACAATCCCCCCGACACGCGCCATGGTGTTACCAAAGCCCATCCCGGTTTGCCTGATAATGCAACGGAAGGAAGAAATAAATTTGACTCAGGCTCGTCATTCGCCAGGGTGGGCGTGGCCGAACTACAATTCCCAATATTCCTTGCACCTAGCCTGGGCCCTTGGGAGTTATAGTATGCAGCGAGTCCTCGACTTACGATTGCAAGGGAAGACTGGAAAATGGATGGCTCAGTGGCACGGCCGTTAAGTGGGACATCCCGTGACCTTCCATGGCCGACTTCTCCATTGACCTTGCTTATGAGAAGCTGGCTGGGAAGGTCACGTGACTGCAGGATTGTTGTGCGAACGGGTTGCCAAGTGCCTGTATCACAGGGCTACTGCGGCGATTATAGTGCAAGGATCAGGCATAAGCCGCTGTGTCCAGCATCGTCATAACGTCAGATAGTCCCTGAACAAACAGCCATAAGTCCAGGACTGCCTGCAGCTTGCTTGCAGGGAGAGAGAGAGGATGTCGCAGATGTTTAACGAAAAGAAGGACTAGGGGTGACATGATGGCAGTCTTCCAATAGTTGAGGGGCTTCTAGGAGGATGAGGGGGATTAACCTATTTTCCAAACCCACCAGAAGGCAGCACAAGAAGGAACGGATGGAAACTAATCAAGGAGAGAAGCAACCTGGAACAAAGGAGGAATTTCCTGACGGTGAGAACAATCAACCAGCGGAACAGCTTGCCACCAGAAGTTGTGGACGCTTCATCATTGGAAGTTTTAAGAAGAGACTGGATAGCCATTGGTCTGAAATGGTATAGGCTCTCCTGCTCAAGCAGTGGGTTGGACTAGGTGACCTCCAAGGTCCCTTCCAAATCTATCATTCTGTTATTCTGACATTTCCCTCTCCTTAGTTCCACGCTTATGCTGCAGCAAAAGTCACCCTCCCATGTTTTCAGAGGCAAACAGACCTTTGAGGCTGTTTCTAACGTTATCCCAGAATATCACCGAGTGGTACCTGATCACTGTAGGGTAGAGTTCTCCAGTGTATAAGAAGACGCAGCTGAAAGAGGCGCCCAGACATCCTTTCCCAAAGACAGCAAAGACGGTCCTTAGGATCTGCATATCTAGAGAAGATTAGACAATCACTGGGTGTTGCCATGATGTGACTTCAGTCTAGTGGTAAAGGTACTAGATGAGAAACTGGGAGGACGTGAGTTCTAGTTCAGCACCCTAGTTCTGTTACTTTGGAACATCCTATGGGTTAATCAGCACAAGTCGTAAAGCCAGAATATGTCTCCTTGATTCGGACACATATGCAAATATGTTGAATTTTAATCCTACATTAGGTGCCCAAAGTCACTGCTGCAGCTACATAATGATTGAATAATATACATTTGTCGAAATAAATCAGTGGTTTTAAAAATATAGTATAACTCAGGGGTTAAGACTTGTGGATTTTGGGAGTTGAAGTCCACGACTCTTAAAGTTGCCAAGATTGGACACCTCTGATATTAATGGCTTTCAGTTTTTGGTCGTGCAAATGTGTAGACAGAGACTAGATGGCAGCAAAACCCAGTTTCCTGTGTCCCTTAGCTGCCCTCTGCTGGCCCTCAAGTGCGTTGCAGCCTTCATATTCTAGCCAGAGTTATTTTGTGATTTGTGACTTGAGATTTCAGCTGAACAAGTTGTGTGTGAATCTGCTGGGATATTTGCCACAATAATTCCAGGCCTTTGCAGCCTTCCGTGTTTCATTGATTCAGAAGTAACGGTTAGAAGTAGGCATGTATCATCAAAATTCCACCTAGCAAGTCCAGGCTGACCTACCTTATAGGGTTGTTGTGAAGATAAAACCCCAAACATGGCCAGGAACTTCTTGATGGAAAGATGGCATAGAGCCACAAAGAAAACAAGCACCAGGAAGTTCCACGCTTTTTCCGCCCATCCAGAAATGTTGAATTTACAAGCCAGTTTGGTTCAAAAAAAAAAAAAAGATAACTGCAAAATCATTTTGCTTTGTACAAATAAAACCATCGGTCGGTCCGTGCCTGGAAACTTACCACGGGACACAAAAATGTTCCCCGCGATGGACAGGCCAGCTAAGATGAGGCTCAACGCCTGAGCCATCCGACGGCCGGAATAGCAGATCACAAGGAAAGCCACCAACTTTGCAGGAATGTCTACCGCGCCGAAGATCACCTGGATGAGGTAGATGCTGACCCCAAAATTCTGCAGGTCCATCGCCAGACCATAATAGGCAAAGCTGGTGGAGAACCTGGAGTGGCCAACGGATTAAAGAAATTAAAATACCTCTGGTGCTGTCTAGTCCTGCCTTACGCATGAAAGCCGGTTCGGTGACTTTGGGTCGAGCATCAGGAGATGGTGAGTTCTAATCCTGCCTTAGGATGAAACCCAAGTGGGTGACTTTGGGCCGATCACCAGGAGATGGTGAGTTCTAGTCCTGCCTTAGTCATGAAAGCCAGCTGGGTGGCTTCTGACTGAGCACTAGGAGTTTGTGAGTTCTAGATCTCTGCTTTGCTTTTGTTCCGTTTCTTTTTTGGGCTGTCTTCTGTCTCCCTTGCTTACCAGACAAAGCAAAGGCACACCGTGATGCGGCACAGGGACGGCGTGCGCACCAAATCAGCCACCGGGAACTTGGTTTTGGCTGCCGAATTCTCCGTCCGGAGGCTGGCTTTCAAAACCTGGAAAAGCGGATCAAGAAAAGCTGTTTTGGGTGCCACCAAATTTGAGAATAAGAGGGAAGGAATAAAGGATGGGAGGAAGGAAGGAAGGAAGGAAGGAAGGAAGGAAGGAAGGAAGGAAGGAAGGAAGGAAGGAAGGAAGGAAGGAAGGAAGGGCATTTACCACATGCTTGCCAAGAAAAAAACCCAGCCACGTTGCTTTTCGGATTTTATACCTCCAGGCTGAGCTTCTCATGGCAATCCTTTTTCCCGTTTATCTGAGCAACTTTCTGTAGCTCTTTCAGCGCCTGGTCAAGCTTGCCCGCAGTGGCATACCAGCGGGCAGATTCTCTGAACCACCTGCCCAAAAGAGAGAGAGGGGAGGGTGGTGGAGACAGGGGCGAAACAGAAACGGACGGTGGGTTGGAAGCTGGCCAATTTGAGGAAGAGGATGCTGGATGCTGGATCACCACCTTCTAATAATTTCCATTTCACTAAATGAATGGCTGTAAGTTGAGGACTGCATGTATGCATGCACAGGCTCCTTCAAGGCCCTCTTGATTCGCCCTCCACACCATGCTAGCCGTGTTCCAGTATTTGAGGGGCTGCCACAAGACGAATGGGGGTCAACCTATTTTCCAAAGCACCCGAAGGCAACGGATGGAAACTAATCCAGGAGAGAAGCAACCTGGAATTAAGGAGAAACTTCCTAACAGGGAGGACAATCAACCAGTGGAACAGCTTGCCACCAGAAGTGGTGGGTGCTCCATCTCTGGAGGTTTTTAAGAAGAGACCGGACAGCCATCTGTCTGAAATGGTATAGGGTCTCCTGCTTGAGCAGGGGGCTGGACTAGAAGACCTCCAAGGTCCCTTCCAGCTTCTATTCTGATTCAGTCCCAGTTTCTCACATGACTCCTTGGGAAAACGAATTGCCTGCTCCTGCTGTAAACAGTGGTTGCAAACAGTGGGAAACTACCTACCAGCCATAGAGGAAAAAGGCAAAGTAGGGGAGGGAGACGGCCAGCTGAAGCCAACGCCAGTCCCGGATGGCGTACGCTATGCCTGCCAGGATGAATTGCCCGAGGCTGTAGCTGTAGCCGGTCGCCATGCTGACTGCGGCTCGGGAATGCATCGGCGTCCACTCCACAGCTGGAAAAAGAAGATTATTTGTGGATTCAGGCTATGTTGACTCTATTTTGGACACGTTGGGTATGGACTCAGGTCTCTGGAGAAGCTCTGATGGGGGGGGAGGGGGAGATAGAAGGAAAGGATGACCAGTTGAAAGCTGGAGGGTCCTAGTTACAGGGGTGATGGGGACACATTGGAAGACCCTGAAGGTTAGATCAGCCTAGAGAATATTGATCTATCTGTGTCCTTAAGCTTGGCAACTTTAAGATATGTGGACCTCAACTCTGAGAATTCCCCAGCCAGCAGGTTTTAAGATGGGTGGATTCAACTCCCAGAATCCCCCAGCCAGTTCGCTTTTAGATGTGTGGATGTCAACTCCCAGAATGCCCCAGCCAGCCTGCTTTAAGATGGGTGGACTTCAACTCCCAGAATCCTCCAGCCACCTTGCTTTAAGAGGGATGCACTTCAACTCCCAGAATGCCCCAGCCGGCCTGCTTTAAGAGGGGTGGACTTCAACTCCCAGAATCCTCCAGCCACCTTGCTTTAAGAGGGATGGACTTCAACTCCCAGAATCCTCCAGCCACCTTGCTTTAAGAGGGATGGACTTCAACTCCCAGAATGCCCCAGCCGGCCTGCTTTAAGATGGGTGGACTTCAACTGCCAGAATCCTCCAGCCACCTTGCTTTAAGATGGGTAGACCTCAACTCCCAGAATCCCCCAGCCAGCCATATTGCAGGAAGAATCGGATTCGGAGCTTCCGGTGGGAGAGAACTTACACAGCGACACACAGTTGAGGCCAACCCCGGAAACGGCCATGCCGGTGAGGAAGCGCAAGACACAATCAGCGCTGAAGGTGGGAATAAACGCCGTGCAGGATCCGGAAACCGCCATCTGGAAACAGGACCAAAGAAGCAGCGCCTTCCGCCCAAATCTACAAGAAATAAAAATAAAGATTATCCTTGGATGTTGGTGGGACTGTGAAAATTTCATGCACAGGGCTTGTGTGTGTGTGTATGTGTAGGAGGACGGATGACCAGCAGGAAGTACAGATAGTCCCCAACATATGTCGATTCCTTTAATGACCATTCAAAGTTGCAAGAGCGACTGAAAAAAAAAGTTATATAGGACCAGTCCTCGCACTTATGACCGTTGCAGCTTTCTCACGGTCACATAATCAAAGTTCAGACGCTCGGCAACTGACTCATATTTATGACGGTTGCCATGCCCTGGGGTCACCTGATCCCCTTTTGCGACCATCCGACAAACAAATTGAACGGGGAATCCTGACTCATTTAACAGCTGCGTTACTAACTTAACAGCTGCGGTGATTCACTTAACAACGGTGGCAAGAAAGGTCGTAAAGTGGGGCAAAGCTCACTTAACAACCCTCTCGCTGAAAGTTTGGGCTGAGTTGTGTTTTTAACTTGAGGACCTGTACAGAGTTAGCTCCCCTCAAGACCCCGGCCCACCTTTTTTAAATCCTATTTTTTTTAATTAAAGTTTCAAAATGCACAGCTGATAAAATAAAAACGAGGCTACGAAAAATATATAAAGAAAAGAGATGAAAATATACATCTATATATATATATAAGGAATATAAGCCACTCAACATTTTTGTCACCAAAACAATTTGCTTAAAAAGTTACTTTCCGCAAGACATGGCCGTGGCATTAGACTGTGAATCGGTGTTTGACGGGTCCATTGTGACATCTACCCAGCTTCCGATGATGGTCAGCAGAAGTTGGTTTCTTTTCAAAGGAGAAAGACCCGCTTCTTACTTGTCAGAGAGGCCTCCGAAGACTATGGCACCCACCAGCACACCGGCCATGTAGATAGACTGCGCCAGCTGCTGGAGGCTCCGGAAATCGCACACCAGGTCCCACTGCAGGAGGAGAAGAACGAAAATACCAGAATCCACAACACGGATGGACGTGGGCCCCAAACTGAGCTGAGGGAGAAGGGCTAAAAGGAGCTGGGAAGCTCAGAAGAACATCATACCAAGATACGAGAACAGAGAAGATAGAATAACAGCCTTAGAAGGGACCTTTGAGATCTTCTAGTCCAACCCTCTGCTCCAGCGGGAGCCCCTATAAAGGTAGTTATCAATTTACAACCATTCCTTTTAGTGACCATCTGAGGATACAATATTACTGAAAAAAGTGACTTATGACCGTTTTTGACACAACCCATTGCAGCATCCCCTCTACAGTCCCGTGATCAAAATTCAAAGGCTGGGCAACTGGCCGGTACTTAGGACGGTTGCCGTGTCCCAAGGTCACGTGATTTCTCCTTTTGCGATCTTCCGGCAAACAAAGTCAACGGGGAAGCCAGACTCACTTTAAAACCATTTTCGTAACTTAATAATGGTGGTGAATTGCTTAACAATCGTGGCAGGAAAGTCCATAAAAACAGGCAAAACTCACTTAACAACTGTCTTGCTTATCAATGGAAATGTTGGGCGTGATTGCGGTCGTAAGTTGAGGATGCCCTATTTTCCTGGAGCTAGGGGTTTTCAAAAATAGACTGGACAACCAAACAAACAAACCAGGGTATAAGGTTTCCTGACTGGAGCAGAGGGGTGGACTAGAAGACCTCTGAGTCCCTTCCAGCCTTCGATTCTATGTTCTACGGTGCTCAGCACCCCGCCTGGGAAAGATGGGAGTTGGAGTCCCATCCAGAAGGAACCGAGCAATCCTCCACCAGATCGGTACGTGAGCGTTCTTCTTACCTCGGTTACGATGGTGGATGTAAAAACCGTCCCTTCGTAGGTCCACCCGTCCAGACATGGCTCCTGCTCGGCCCCCGTTGGTTCCCGTCCCGTTGAATTAAACGCCAACAGCCACCATTGGGGGTTGACAAAGCGCCAACACTTCTCCAGTCCCCAGTCCCCATCTTGGGGGATGAACGCTCTCAGCAGCGCCCGGCAGTCCAGATTTCCCGTGGCGTTCCCATCGGCGCATCCTTTGTTCAAGGCCACCCGGCAGTGATGCCCGGGAACGGCAGCCGTAAAATTCTGCAACAGGTTGTGGGCTGCCATCAGGAGCATCGGGAAACACAATAGCGCCACGTTGAGCACTTGAAATCGTCCCAGGCCGCCCGCTTGAGCCAGAAGGTCACCAAAGGGCATGGCGGGCTTCGCGGCGTGGCGCAACGTAGACTTGAGGCACACGGAGGAATGCTCGTCCCGGCGACGGAAGGGACTCTGTTGAAAGCCACGTCGGCTTACCAGAAGGGGAGATGCCCATCCTGGCTAACTCGCAGGATTCGAAGGAAGACGGAGGAGGTGGCAGAGGTGGTCCAAAGGGTTACGCAATGCCAGCTGGACCCCTGGCGTCTCCATCTGCTCCCGCGTTGAAATGCGAACCGGTCGCTGGAGAAGACGCCCCGTTTCGCCTGCTGGTGGGCAAACAGATTCAGCCGCTGCCCGCTGTGTGTTGTACTTTTGTCGTCCCGGGGTGCGTTTTGATTGCACTCCGATCCTTTCGCCTCCCTCCACCTCTAGGAATGAACAGGGCAGCTGAGGTGCAGGACCTTGGCGTCGCAACGTTTGCTCGGTGCCCTTGTGGTGTTTCGGAATTCTTTTCGGCCGGGGATCAGCTCCTGCCGAATTAGCCCGGCTTAGCTGCTTTTCTTCGAGGTGGCTTGGGAGGGACGAAAAGGAGAAGAAAAAGGACTTATTTCTCGGGAATGTAGGCAAGATAGCAACGGCAGGGTCAGACGGGGGCCCCCGTCGGAAAAAAAAATCTGATTTTTTTCCCCCTTCTAATTCGTTGGCCTTCAGGGCTCAGAGACAGCTGCCCAAGGAAGCAAGTCTAGGTAGAATTATAACTCAGCCCCAAATTTCCATTGCTAAGCAAGTTCGGTGAGTCTTGCCTCATTGTACGACCTTGTTTGCCACCGTTGTTAAGCAAAACACAGTGGTTGTTAATTGAATGATGCGGTCAGTGGCTTCTCCGACTTCCTCCATTGACTTGGCTTGTCAGAAGCCATTGGGGAGGCTTGCAAATGGTCATCACCTGATCCTGGGTCAACGCAACTGTCCTATATACATGCCAGTTGCCAAGCGCCTGAATTTTGATCACTTGACCATAGGGAACAGATGTAAGTGTGAAAACCAGTCATAAATCACTATTTTTCAGTGCTGTCACTCAGCCCAGCAACATTGTGCTTGTCGTGGGAAAAGAGAGGAGGAAGGAGTATCACAGTATGTTCGTCACCTTGAGTTATTTATGAAAATGATAAAGGTGGGAAATGAATGAATGAATGAATGAGGTTTGATGTGGACTACTTTGGGAAAGGCTGTGTTTTAAAAGCCCCGTCACTTTGAACGTCAAGACAGTGGCAGCCAGTTCGATGGAAAAAATGTCACCTTCTGAATCAAAACAATGACTGCAATTGAACCGACAATTAGAAGTGGAACAGGGCTGATCCCCCCCCTCCCCCACTGAAATGGCTTAGCAAGGACTTGGCAAGCTTAGAGTAACAGTGATTAGAATCAACCTTTCCCAAACTAGAATTTGGTGTTATATAATTTTGTTGTTTGCGTAGGGAGAGCCAAACTCAGCCCAGTTAAAAATAATTTTTTTTAAAAAAAAATACCGTAAATCTCTCTGTAACTTGGCCTTGTTAAATCGGTTGTTTCTGGAACAGCCACTAAGAACAGCAAAGTCAAAGGCAGAAACACAGATCTGGAGGTCTTCTAGTCCAACCCCTTGCTCGATCAGGAAACTTTATACCACCCGGTCTATTTTTGAAAACTTCCAATGATGGAGCACTGATTAACTGTTCTACCCTCAGGAAATTCCTCCTTAATTCTAACAGGATAACGGAGTTGGAAGGCACCTTGGAGGTCATCTAGTCCAACCCCCCTGCTCAGGCCGGAAACTCTATCCCATTTCAGACCAATGGCTGTCCAGTCTCTTCTTAAAAACTTCCATTTTTTAACTTCTGGAGTCAAAACGTTCCTCTGATTAATTGTTTTAACTGTCTGGAAATTTCTCCTTAATTCCAGTTTCTCTCCTTGATTAATTTCCATCCGTTGCTTCTTGTTCTCTCTTCAGGTGCTTTGGAGAACAGGTTGACCCCCTCTTCTTTGTAGCAGCCCCTCAAATATTGGAAGACTACTATGTCTCCCCTAGTCCTTCTTTTCACCAAACTTGATATTCCCAATTCCTGCAATCCTTCTTCATATATTTTAGCCTCCAGCCCCCTAATCATCTTTGTTGCTCTTCTCTGCACTCTTTCTAGAGTCTCAACATCTTGTTTATATCATAGCAACAAAAACAAACCGAACAAACAATACCTGGGACCATTTCAAACAGAAAACAAGAGGCTCAATTTTTAGCAAACAATGTAAGTACCACATTATACACGTTGACAACTAGTAAATTTATTAAGGCATCCTGTGCCTGAAATGTCAGCCGATGTTCACAAATAAAGACAAGACAGAGAGAAAATTGTAAACGTGATGCCCAGTGGCAGAATATAAGTGCAAAAAAAACAAAATACAGACTACTGTTTTCCTATATATGCAAAATTCAAAAGCAGAATATAAGTGCAAAAAAATAAAATAAAACACAGACTGCTGTTCTATATATGGAAAATTCAAAAGTAGGCATCACAAACAACGTGCCCATTGTTGGCAGATTCCCTAACGGTGCTTTGCTGATCTTTTTTTTAATATATATATATATATATATATATATATATATATATATATATATATATATATATATATATATATATATATATATATATAAAGTTTATTATACTTTTAAAGAGAAAGATAAAAACTATTACAAACTAGTATAAAGCAAGGAAGAAAAATAGAAAAGAAAAAGCGCAAGAAAGGGAAAAAATAAGAGAAAAACAGAAGAGAAATAAAAAAGATATAAATATTCTTCACAGCAGTTCCAATATTCTTCGTAGCAGTTATAAATACAATTACAAATTGACCTCTTTAAAGTGACTTCCTGATTCTCTTCTTTCTATAAACTAGCCTGTCTAATCATCAAAGCCATCAATCACACATTCATTTTTTCCCCCATTTTCACCCAAAAACTCTGTAAAGGGTTTCTAGTCATCCCTTGCCTATTGCTGATCTAACCCTTGTGTTGTTTCAAGTCAACCCAATATGCAGGTTGGTTGGATTCACACAAATGCTGGACTGGGTCAGTGAAAAACTGACCAATCTCCATGGCTCAGAGTGCTCCCCTCGGCTAGTTGAACAAAACTTGTTCACCTGTGCGCAGGTGGGGCTTAAGATTTGGGGTGTGTGTGTCAAGTTTTGGGTCCATTTATGATTCACCGGATAGTGTGAATCCGTAACCGAGTGTATTCCGTGAACCCAGCCATTTTGTAATGCTGGCTGGGATCTACAGAAAGGAGAGGAAAAAAAAAAAAAAAAAAAAGTGACTCTCGTTGTAATAGAAGCGACGTAAACATGGCCAGCAAAATTTGCTCGCCCAGGACAACAAAGCAAGTTTACATTCTATGCTCGTGGACGTGTGTGAAACGGATCCTTGCTAGGCCGCAAACCAAATTATATCACTGGTGAAATCATATCACAGTGCAGCCGGCTGGTTTACAGAATGACAGAGTGGGAAGGGGCTTTCTAGGTCATCTAGTCCAACCCCCTGCTCAAGCAGGAGACCCTATATACCGTGACTGCCCAGTCTCTTCTTAAAAACTTCCGGAGGCAAGTTGTTCCACTGGCTGATTGTTCTCGCTGTCCGAAAATTTCTCATTTCAAGGTTCATGTCTACAGCCACAGTCCAGCATTTTCAGATAAGGCCTCCCCATGTTTTGATATATGGATAACGGGTCTCACTTTGCAGGCCTACGAGACCCGGATATATCAATCGAGTTTCGTTTAAATGGGGGGAGGGAAACCCTTAGAAAAGACCGCAGAAGGATATTCGTTTATAATCAGCAGATGTTGGCCATAGTTTTCTCCTCTGGCGCACAACAGAGTGTGTTTCTAAGTTTGGACTTTCTACAATGTCATTCAACAGTTTCACGTCCAACCCGTCTCCTCGTTCATTGGTTTCTTCTGATGAGGCTTCGTTGCAAACCCGTTTGAGGTGTCCCGGAAAAAGAGGATCCGAGAGCTGGTTATAGGGAGTAGGAGGCTAAGGTGATGGTGATGGGGGTTGACGAGGAGGGTCTGTTTTTTTGCCTCTTAGCGTTGGTCTTTGAGGGGCTCAGACTTCTCCGAGGACAGGAGAACTTTCATTTGCAGCTCGTCTTCTTCGTTGGGTTTGGATCTTGAGAAGAAAAGGAGGGAGAGAGAGAATTCATAGAAGGAGAAGCCATCAGAGATAATCAACCTTGGTCGCTTGAAGATCTATGGACAACTCTTAGGATTCTAGGAGCTGACGCCTACACGTCTTCTCCTAGGAAGCAGCTAGGCTGAAGCTCCCATTGAGAATCCCAGGCCACATCTGGCTATTGAATGAGATCAACCATGTCTTCTGGTTCTGGGGCTGAGGACCAATATATATGTGGATCGGCCAAAACGTCTGGATGGAGAAGGCTTCGCTAGGCAAGATTTGGCCAAGCAGGCCTGCCTGAGATGCAATAACCTTGTAGAAATAGATTTAAACTGTCTTCATTTGTGAATGTGCCCTGCAGATTGGGAAGGGACCTCAGAGGTCCTCCAGTCTAACCCCTGCTTGGGACAGAGATTCTGCTAAAGCAGTGGTTCTCAACCTGTGGGTCGGGACCCCATTTGGGGTCGAAGGACCATTTCACGGGGGTCGCCAAACAACGCAGTCCGCCATTTTTTTCCCCCTTTTCCTTAGCTGTGCTCCTCCCTTTTATTCTATTGGCTTTTGAAAGCCAATAGAATAGACTCTCTTGAATAGAGTCTAATTCTATTGGCTTTCAAAAGCCAATAGGAATTGTCCAGGCTGTCTCTGCCCTGCTGAGCCCACCAAAAGTCCTGTTCTGCAAACAGTGCTGCACCAGTTGAGTAGTCCTCGACTTATGACCGGTTGAGTAGTCCTCGACTTATGACCGGTTGGGGGGTCGCGTCATTAAAAAGGTTGAGAACCACTGTACTAAAGCATTCCCAACCTCTTGCTGAAGACAGGCATATGTCACTTCCTGGGGCAGTGGTCTAAATCAGTGCTTCTCAACCTTGGCGGCTGAAAGAGGTGCAGACTTCAACTCCCACGGCTGCTGGGGAACTCTGGGAGTTGAAGTCCACACTTCTTCAGGTTGCCAATGGTGAAAAACACTGGTTAAAATGGATGTTGAGAGGTAGACTCAGATTAGACATTAGGAGACATTTCCTGGTGCCGAGAGTTGTTCGCCAACAACGGCCTTGGGATATATGCCCATCTTCGAGAAGAGGTTGGGAATGCGTTAGCAGAACTGGGGTACCAAGCAGGGGTTGGACTAGAGGACCTCGGAGGTCCTTTCCCAAGCTATAGTTCTAGGATCAACCAAAGCCAGCATCCCCTTAATGGCAGCCCTCTGTTGGAGGCATGTGTTACATACAGAGTCTGAAAGAGATGTTGTTAGTCAGACAGGGAGGAAGGCGAAGAGGAAGAGAAACAGAAGGAAGAAAGAGGGAGGGAGGGGAGAGAGGGAACGAAGGAAGTAGGGAGGGAGGAGAGGAAGGAATGGCAGGAAAGAAGGAAGGAAGAAAAGACCGAAGGGAGGGAAGGAAGGGAAAAGAAGAGGGAGGGAAGGAAGGGAGGAAGAAAAGACGGAAGAAAAGAGAAGAGGGAGGGAAGGAAGGGAGGAAGAAAAGATGGAAGGAAGGAAAAAAGGAAGGAAGAAAAGACAAAGAAGGGAGGGAAGGAAGGGAGGAAGAAAAGACGGAAGGAAGGAAGGAAAGAAGGAAGAAAAGGGAAGGGAGGGAGGAAGAAAAGACGGAAGGAAGGAAGGAAGGAAAAAAGGAAGGAAGAAAAGACAAAGAAGGGAGGGAAGGAAGGGAGGAAGAAAAGACGGAAGGAAGGAAGGAAAGAAGGAAGAAAAGGGAAGGGAGGGAGGAAGAAAAGACGGAAGGAAGGAAGGAAGGAAAAAAGGTAGGAAGAAAAGACAAAGAAGGGAGGGAAGGAAGGGAGGAAGAAAAGACGGAAGGAAGAAAAGATGAGGTGGGAGAAACCCGTTTGGTACCCACCGTCTTTCGACTTCTTCGATCGTCTCCGGCAGGGGTCTGTTCAGGGTCTCCGGGAGGAAGCAGGTGACGAGGCCAGACAAGATGGGGGCCGTGCCGTAGATGATCAGGGGCAGCGGTGGGAAAAACTCCCCGCTCATCCTCACCAAGGGAGCGGCCATGCTCCCAATCCGAGCCATGGTGCCCCCCAGACCCATTCCAGATTGCCTTGGAGGGAGAAAAGAAAACATGTCAACCCTCCTTGACGCTTTGAATCGGGACCAGCTTCTTATCCCAAAGGTGTTTTTTTCCCAGAGGCCACTGGATCTTTCTTGTTCTTAATAATAATACAGTTGGAAGGGACCTTGGAGGTCATCCAGTCCAATCTCCTGCTCAGGCAGGAAACCCTATACCATTTCGGACCAATGGCTGTCCAGTCTCTTCTTAAAAACTTCCAGTGTTGGAGCATTCACCGCTTCTGGAGGCAGGTTGTTCCACTGGTTAATTGTTCTAAGTGTCAGGAAGTTTCTCCTTAGTTCTAGGTTGCTTCTCTCTTTGGTTAGTTTCCACCCATTGCTTCTTCTCCTGCCTTCAGGCGCTTTGGAGAATAGCTTTTCCTTCTGCTTCACTCACCTGATTATAGTTGGGAAAAGTTCTCCAGAAAAGATGTAGGCACAATTAAACGAAGCCGCCAAAGATCCCTTGCCAATTACAGCAAATATCATCCTCAGAGTGCTCAAATCTAAAAAAGATAAAGTCATAATAAGGGAATCCTGCAACCGTCATCAATACCCAACGCTGCTAAGGGCCTGAATTTTGATCATGTGTTTATGAGGATGCTGCGACAGTCATAAGTGCGAGGACCAGGTGTAAATCCCCTTTTTTCAAGGTTATTGTAACTTTGAATGGTCGCTAAATGAACTGTTGTAAGTTGAGGACCAGCTGCAAAGAGACGGAAGCAATTCCACAGTCCTGTCTACTCCGGGTGCTACCCTTACCGTGCGGAACAAAGATGTTAGCCAAGATGCACAGTCCAGCCATGATCAGCGAGAGCGCTTGGGAGAACCGTCGGCCCACATACATGATGGTGAGCACCGAGATGAATTTGGAGGGAATGTCAACCACCCCAAACACCAGCTGGGTCAGGTAGATGTTGAAATTGAAATTCTGCAGGTCCATGGCCAGCCCATAATAAGCAAAGCTGGTGGCAAACCTAGAATGGGAGGAGAGAATTGGAAAGCTTGACACCCCCCTGCAAAAGCTATTATTTTCTAGAAAAAGATCTGGACCCTTTTCCCCTAGGGATAATAGAATCCTAGGGAAGGGACCTTAGAGGTCTTCTAGTCCAACCTTGCTCAAGGCAGGAGACCTAAAACCATCCCAGTCAAGTGGCTGCACAATTCCTTCTTAAAAACGACCAGTGATGGAGCACCCATAACTTCAGGAGGCAGGTAGTTCCACTGATTAATTGTTCTCCCTGTTAGGAAATTCCTCCTTAGTTCCAGGTTGCTTCTCTCCTTGATTAGTTTCCATCCATTGCTTCTTGTCCTGCCTTCTGGGGCTTTGGAGAACAGCTTGACTCCTTCTTCTCTGTGACAGCCCCTCAAATATTGAAAGACAGCTATATCACGTTGCCCAGTTCTTCTCTTCAATAGGCTGGACATACCTAACTCCCTCAACTGTTCATCGTACGGTTTAGCATCCGGTCCCCATCTCTGTGGTCGTTCCAAAAGTGCTTTTTCAAAAGGCAACTGGACTTTGGAAAAACAGCATCCAGTTGCCTCCTGCAAAAGCACAACTGTGACCTGGATGAGTGACAATCTCCACAGACATCTTTGTTGTTGTTCTCTGCACACTTTTTAGGACCTCGGCATCTTTTTTCTTTCTTGGTGACCCAGCATTCCAAATGTACAGTAACCAGGTTTGAAGGAAAAGAAGCCACAGATCTGGGAAAAGCAGAGAGCAGAAATGACTCTTACCAAAAAAAGCTGACCCCGAAGGAGATTCTACGCATGCCTGGCGTCCGCACCAGATCGGCCATACTGTGGCTGGATTTGGTGGAAGAACCCTCAGACCGCATGCTGGCTTTCAAAACCTGCAGTGGAGGAGAAGACAACCCCGTGGGTCAGTGCAGGGTTTGGTCCATCCCTGAAGGAGCAAAGCAAACTGGGGGGAAACACTGGGATTCTTGGAACGAGAATCGGTAAATTGTTTGTTCCAAAGAATGCTATTATATCTCTGTGGCTTTCTCCTTTATTGACTATTGGGGAAACTTTCCTACAGAGTGCAAGAGAGCAGATAGAGTCATAGAATGATAGAATCATAGAATGATAGAATCATAGAGTCATAGAATCATAGATTCATAGAGTCATAGAGTCATAGAGTCATAGAATCATATAGTCATAGAATCATAGAATCATATAGTCATAGAATCATAGAATGATAGTCATAGAATGATAGAATGATAGAGTCATACAGTCAGTCAGAATCATAGTCACAGAATGATCGAATCATAGTCATATAATCATAGAATCATAGTCATAGAATCATCATAGAATTATAGTCAGAATCATAGTCATATAGTCAGTCATAATCAACCATAGAATCATCAAATCATAGAGTCATAGAATCATAGAACCACACAGTCATAGAATGATAGAATCAGTCATATAGTCAGTCAGAATCATAGAGTCATTAAATCATCGAATCATAGCGTCATAAAATCATAGTTATAGAATCATAGAATCATAGTCACAGAGTCATAGTCATCAAATCATTTAAACACATAGAATCAGTCATAGAATTATAGTCATATAGAATCATAGTCAGAATCATACAATCATAGAATCATAGTCATAGGATCACAGGATCATAGAATCATAGAATCACCATCATAGGATCACAGGATCATAGAATCATAAAGATAGAATCAGAATCATAGAGTTATAGAATCATAGAGTCATAGAGCCTTAGGGTCGTAAATAATGGAAAAGAGTCATAAGTCACTTTTTTCATTGCCATTGTAACTTAGAACAGTCACTAAATGATCTGTTGTAAGTCAAGGACTATAGGTATTGTATGTCAAGACAACTGGACACAAGGACAGTTGTTTCCCTCGGGCCATCCCACTGTTCTCACAGTGCCGTGTAATGTCCATTAACCCATGTAGTATGGCTGACGTATTATTATATAATATCCATCTTATATCTTCTTTACTCCCTCTTTTATTGGTATTATAATTATTATTTAAGATTTAAACTTCCAGACGGTTATTAGTATTAACTGGTACTGGTATTACTATAGTATTGGTATTACTATAATGAAGATGATGTTGCTTTGCACGCACACTGAGAGCTTCTGCACCAGAGACAAATTCCTTGTGTGTCTAATCACACTTGGTCAAACAAAGTGTTCTGTTCCGTTCAGCTCTGCCCTTCTTGATTCTGCATCGCAGGGCCAAGCTCACTAAAAATCCATAACCCGGCAGCCTTTGAAAATACGTGGATTTCCTCAGTTTTTATTGCATCTTGTAAAAGGGGTCCAGGTGGGACAATCCAGCCTCGTACCTCCACGCTGAGTTTATTCCCCTCTTCCTTCTTCCCGTTGATCCAGGCAGCCTTCTTCAGCCCCTTCACCGCCTTATCCTGGTTCCCCGAAATGGCCAGCCAGCGGGCAGATTCGACGAAAAACCTGCAGGAGACAAACCCCAATCAAGATGGGTTTTTTTAAAAAAAGTTTTTAAGAAGAGACTGGACGGTCCCTTGTCTGAAATGGGATAGGGTTTCCTGCTTGAGCAAGGGTTGGACTAGATGACCTCCAAGGTCCCTTCCAATAATTATTATTATTCCTAAGTGACAACTATTCCAGTGAGGAAAATAGAATATTTCTTTCTTTTTTTCTTTTCTTTTTTTACTTTGCCCACCTACCAGGAATAGAGGAAGAAGACGAAGTAAGGGAGGGAGACGGCCAGCTGCAGCCAGCGCCAGTCGCGGATGAGGTACGCCATGCCAGCCAGGATGAACTGCCCAGTTGTGTAGCTGTAGCCATTGATTGTGCCAACGATGGCCCGGTATTTGCTGGGAATCCATTCCATGCCTGTAAAAAGAGACACAACATAAAATACTACAGGTATCTATCTATCTCTATATCTCTGTACCTATTTCTCTATATCTATCTATCCATATATTATATATCTATCTATCTATCTATCTATCTTGCTATCTATCTATCTATCTATCTATCTATCTATCTATCTATCTATCTATCTATCTATCTATCTATCTCTTTTAAAATACTAAAAATGTGAATCCTGGGCATTATGTTAACCAAATAAAAGAAAAAATGAACACCAGGATATAATAAACCAGACTGTTTAATATAAACAAGCCTGTGGTTAAGAAGAGTCACTAAGGCTAAGCTTTCGTCCGGCCAAAACTGCCGGCGTCATCAGAGTTAGAATAGAAGGAGATCAGGATATATATCAGATATCTATCTATCTATCTATCTATCTATCTATCTATCTATCTATCTATCTATCTATCTATCTTTCTCTCTCTCTCTCTCTCTCTCTCTCTATCTATCTATCTATTTCTATCTCTGTATATCTATCTATCTATCTATCTCTATCTCTGTATATCTATCTATCTATCATATAATCTCTATATTCAATACAAAGCAGTTTTTTAAAAAAATGTATATCTTCCCCTCAAACCATGTCTTACACTTAAAAAAAAAAACTGTTTATGTGTTGTGAATAGTTTTGTGGTGTGCCACAGAATAACTGCTGCATTGAATATTCTGCCTCACAAAAAAGATTGAGAGCTGCTGATTGAGGAAGGGAAAAGAAAAAACACATTTTGGAAAACAAGACAAGCAAAAGATTTGGGGGGCTTTGATTGGGGGGGGAGGCAAGAGAGAGAGAGAGAGAGAGAGAGAGACGCCCGAGACTCACAGAGAGAAACGGAGTTGAGAGAGATGCCCGACATCGCCATGCCGCACAGGAAGCGGAGGACGCAGTAAATGGAGAAGTTGGGCACGAAGGCGGTGCCAGCTCCGGCCACGCCCATCTGCAGGTAGCACCAAATGATCAGGGATTTCCTGCCAAACCTGTAAGAAACAGACCTGAGTCAGGTTTTGACCTGCGACCGGAGATTTTGACTTTTTTCAGGTGGTCCTCGACTTACAAGAGTTCATTTAGTGACCATTCAAAGTTACAACAGCACTCCAAAAAGGGACTTATGGCCATTTTTCACACTTACGACCGTTGCAGCATCCCCCCGGGATCACGTGATCAGAATTCAGATGCTTGGCAACTGACTCGTGTTTATGACAGGTTGCCGTGTCCCGGGGTCACGTGATCCCCTTTTGCGACCGTCGGACAAGCAAAGTCAATGGGGAAGCCGGATTCACTTAACAACCGGGTTACTGGCTTAACGTCAATTTCTGCCTGAGCAGGGGGCTGGACTAGAAGACCTCCAAGGTCCCTTCCAGCTCTACTCTACTCTACTCTACTGTATTCTATAGCTGCCCAACTCAACCAAGCAATTTACAATTCTAAAATTATACAATAACGAAAACAATTTGAAAAAATCCACAAAAATATCCACTAAATAAATAACTATAAACAGCAGTCATGATGAATAATCCACTAATGGTAAAGCCGTAAAAGGGTCCAGCTCTATTCTATTCTATTCTATTCTATTCTATTCTATTCTATTCTATTCTATTCTATTCTATTCTATTCTATTCTATTCTAATTATCAGACATTCACCTGTCTGAGATGGTATAGGTCCTCCTGCTTGAGCAGGGGGCTGGACTAGAAGACCTCCAAGGTCCCTTCCATCTATTCTATTCTATTCTATTCTATTCTATTCTATTCTATTCTATTCTATTCTATTCTATTCTATTCTATTCTTCCCATAGATCTAGATTCTACCCTCACTTTACAGCCTGAAAAACTATGGAGGGTCCCTTCTGACCCTCTTTCTGCATCCATTATGCCGCTGAGGGCTCAGCTGCCTCTTATCTGACCTTTTTCTTGCTCAGCATCTCTTCACCCCGTCTCCCAAGGTCTTCTGCACACACCATAACGCCCATTCCTGGTCCAGAACACTAACAACTGCACCACGCTGCCTCTCCCTGCTCACCTGTCTGAGAGATTTCCAATCAGGAGCGATCCAATCAATACGCCAGCCATATAAAGGGATTGAGCCATTTGCCTCAGTGACCGAGATTCGCACACTAGATTCCACTGGAAAATAATTGGGGAGGGAAGATTTCAGGGCAGAGAAAAACAAAACCATTGAGAATTTTTGTGGGTCTCATGTCGCACCTAATCAGGCCTCATTGCAATGCTGGCTGGGGGATTCTGGGAGTTGAAGTCCATCCATCTTGAAGCATGCTGGCTGGGGAATTCTGGGAGTTGAAACTCACCCATCTTAAAGCATGCTGGCTGGGGAATTCTGGGAGTGGATGTCCACCCATCTTAAAGCATGCTGGCTGGGGAATTCTGGGAATGGAAGGACACCTATCTTAAAGCATGCTGGCTGGGGAATTCTCGGAATTCAATCCACCCATCTTGAAGCATGCTGGCTGGGGAATTCTGGGGCTTGAAGTCCACCCATCTTAAAGTTGCTAAACACTACTCTAGAAAATGTCAGTCTGGGGACATTTAAACTTTTCTCATCCCTTTAAAATCGAAAAAAAAAAAAGTTTCTTTCTCACCTCACTGACAATCGTGTTGCTGAACAAGCTCCTGTCGTAAGTCCAACCATCCTCACACGCTTCGGTGTCAAATACAGTCTGGCTGCCAAGACTGGCGTTCGGGTCCAGGAACCGCCATTGTGGGGCCACGAAACGCCGGCATTGCTCAGGCTGTCGGTTCGTGTCCATCGGGATGGAGATCCTCAGGAGCTGATCGGCTCCCAAATTTCCCACGGTGCCGTTGCCTTGACGAGTGGCATTGGAGGCGATGCGAATTTGGCAGTGATGCTGCGGGATGCCGGCGGTGAAGTTTTGCAGGAGGTTCTGACTGGCCAGCATCAAGAGAGGGATGGCTAGGAAGGTGACCATCATCGTTTGAAAACGGCCCATTCCTCCTACATTGTCCAAAATATCAGCAAAAGTCATGGCGTCGCGGAGAGACGAGAGACGGTGGCGTCGGTTTCTGGAAATTTATAATCTTGCAGTTTGGCCAAGCAGATGGAGCCTATCAAATATTTTCTGCAGTTTGGCAATCTCAGTTCTCCAGGTCTTCTGCTGTTTTCCCAACAAATACCCTGTCGGCACTACTCTCTGGGATGAGGCCCATCCAGCTTTATATCAAACTTCGGCCGGGCTAGTTAAAATGTTACTGCAAAGGAAATTTCCTCCCCAGTGGCCTGGATAGCAAAGAGGTCGCGAATGGATCAAGAAGCAAGTGACCTGGAAAATGAACTTAAGAATGCGTCATTGGGCAGGGATGGGCAAGATGGCGGGTGGCTTGAGAGTCACCGAACACTGGCTGCATTTTTCCTCAAAGAAACCCCCCAATGGGCTAGCCCTCTTTATCCCCTCCCTCCACCAGATTTTATTTTGCCGATCCCAGCTCCTTGTGGAGAAATCTGGGTGCTTCTGTGGAAAAGTGGCCAAGCTATAGAGCATTAAAAATTCAGAAAAGTGTTTCTTTCCGCTCTTTTAAAATGACGCGACACTTGTCCGTCCATAACCGATACTCTCACAGGGTGCATGTCTGTTCTTTTGGGGGCAATTTTTGTTAAAAAATAGTGTTTAAAGAAGTGCTTCTCAAGCTTGGTAACGTTAAGATGGTTGGACTTCAACTCCCAGGATTGCACTTGTCTTAAAGGACGCTGGCTGAGGAATTCTGGGAATCGAAGTCCATCCATCTTAAAGGACGCTGCCTGAGGAATCCTGGGTGTTCCCTGACACCTTCCCCCCCCATTTTTAATCAGTTACATTGCCCGCCATGCTGGGGAAAAGTGGATCTTTTAATTTCAGAAGCACTTAGTTAATTTCACCATTAAGATAAGCTAGTTTAATTTTCTACTTTTGTGCAAGCAACACTTCAAAGTATCATTGTATACACTGAGTTCAGTGCAGGTTTGAAACTTGACAGATTTGGCAACTTTTTCCAGTGAAGTGAATTGAAGTGAAGCAAAGTAAAGTAATAAAATGAGAAGGAGGGGGGAGATAGATAGGTGGATGGATGGATGGATGGATGGAGAGATGAGAGATAGATAAATGATCGCTGGGAAGGTAGATGGAGGGATAGGTAGTTAAGTGGATAGATAGATAGAGAGAAAGGGATAGAGAGATACGTAGGTAGGTAGGTAGGTAGATAGATAGATAGATGAGAGATAGATGATAGCTGGGAAGGTAGATGGAGGGGTAGGTAGGTAGGTGGATAGAGAGAGAGAAAGGGGGGGATAGAGAGATAGGTAGCTAGCTAGATGATAGATAGATAGATAGATAGACAGACAGACAGACAGACAGACAGACAGACAGATAGATAGATAGATAGATAGATAGATAGATAGAGGGAGGGATAGATAGATACATAGATAAGATAGATGATAGACATAGATATTAGAGATAGATAGAAAGATGATAGATAGATAGATAGATAGATAGATAGATAGATAGATAGATGAGAGATAATAGACAGAAAAACAGACAGATAGAGATGATAGATAGACAGAAAGACAGAAACAATGGAGAAAGGGCGAGATGACTGATGAGAGAGAGAGAGATAGACAGACAGACAGAGATCGGTTGTAAATGTGGGGACTGGTTGTCAGTCACTTTCTGCAGTTCTGTTGTAACTTTGAACAGTTACTAAATGGATGGTTGTAAGTCGAGAACTACCTGTAATGTGGTTAAGATAATTAATAAGGACTATTTTCGGAAAATCCAACTTTGAGGTGGGCTAGTCTGCTATTCCATCTGCCTCTGATTACGGTAGTGGCAGATTTTTTCTCTCCACCCCAACCTTCTTGATTATCTACTTTCTAAGACCACACCGGGAATACTGCAGCCAATTTTGGTCGCCATAGCACAAAAAAGAGGTTGAGAGTTTGGAAAAAAATTCAGAGAAGAGCAACTAATGTGATCAAAGGCCTGCAGACTAAAACATACGAAGAACGGCTGTGAGACTTGGGCTTGGCTAATCTAAAAAAAAAAAGAAGAAATAGGGGCAACATGATAGCAGTGTTCCAGTATTTGAGGGGCTGCCACAAAGAAGAGGGGGTCAAATTATTCTCCAAAGCACCAGAGGACAGGAGAAGAAACAATGGTTGGAAATTGACCAAAGAGAGAAGCAACCTAGAACTAAGGAGAAACTTCCTAACAGCGAGGACAATTAACCAGTAGAACAGCTTGCCACCAAGAATCGTGGGCGCTCCATCACTGGAGGTTTTCAAAAAGAGACAAGACAATCACCTGTCCGAGATGGTGTAGGTTCTCCTGCTTGAGCAGGGGGCTGGACTAGAAGACCTCCAAGGTCCCTTTCTATTCTATTCTATTCTATTCTATTCTATTCTATTCTATTCTACTTGCTGAAATTCCACGATGTTTTATAGGACAAGAGCTTGACCAGCCCAGAACAGTGGGTTGAGCCGTTTCCAGCTCGGCTTTCTCCAATTACAGGCCAGCATCAGTCCTTCAAGTCTGAAACCATCCCCGTGCCCTCTCTGGAGGGCACCTGTGGAACTTTGGGTGGGATCCCAATTCCACAGAACTGGTTGATTATTCGCTTTCCCGATCATCGCGGGCAAAGGTCCGGTGCCCTCTCAGCACCGCTGGCAGCCGATCTGCTGGCAAGCAGATCAGCCAAGAGCTGGAGATTCAAGCGCAATGACCAAGCACGGTGAAGCTTCACCCAGCTGGCTTGGTCTCAACTGCTCAAGGGGAACGAAGGGCTGATTCTGCGGATCGCTGGTTAGGGCAGGGAGGAAAATTAAGACTCAGCCCTTTTCTCCTCCAAGTTTGGAAGAAGGTGATGTTACTGCAAGGGAGAAGAAGGCGAGAACGCATCCGACGTTAGGGATGCGAAGCCAGAGTTATAAATGCTAATGCACTTACGACTCCTTGTTTAGCGACCGTTCTTATAAAGAACGGTTGCTGGAATTGGGCATGTCTAGTTTAATGAAAAGAAGGACCGGGGGTGACATGATAGCGGTGTTCCAATATTTGAGAGGCTGCCACAAAGAAGGGGGGTGTCAAAGCACCTGAAGGCCAGACAGGGAACAATGGATGGAAACCCCTCAAGGAGAGATTCAACCTGGAATTAAGGAGGAATTTTCTGACAGTGAGAACAATCAACCATTGGAACTGAAATTGCCTTTAGAAGATGTGGGAGCTTCCTCACTTGAAGCTTTCAAGAAGAGACTGAACTGCCATCTGTCAGAAATGGTGTAGGGTCTCCTGCTTGGGCGGGGGGTTGGACTAGAGCAGGGGTCCCCAACCCCCAGACTAGTACTGGGCCATGGCATGCCAGCAACCGGTCCGCACAAACAAGCACAGCCCCATCCGCGGGATGCAGGAAGCACACAAAACCACACACGCTCCGGTCCACGGAAAAACCTTTCTCCACGGAACTGGTCCCTGGTGCCCAAAAGGTTGGGGGCCTGTGGACAAGATGACCCACAAGGTCCCTTCCAACTCCAGTATTCTATTCATATTCATTTTCTGGATCTGTACCAGCTACCTGGACCCCCAATTATCTAAGGGCGTTTGACGACACAACACGGCACGCCGTGACTAACCCGAGCTAACATCAAGGAGAGAAGCAACCTAGAACTAAGGAGAAACTTCCTGACAGTTAGAACAATTAACCAGTGGAACCGCCTGCCTCCAGAAGCTGTGAATGCTCCAACACTGGAAGTTGTTATGAAGAGACTGCACAGCCTTTTGTCTGAAATGGTATAGGGGTTTCCTGCCTGAGCAGGGGGTTGGACTAGATGGCCTCCATGGTCCCTTCCAACTTTATTATTATTATTAAAATGAATCCCACTTCAGTTATGCCAACGTTGGTGAAGTGTGGTGTGCAAACATCATGTGTGGATTGATAGAAAATTAACCCAGATTGCAGATGTTTAAATGGAGAGGCGGGGCTTCCATTCTACTCGTTGGCGAGCTGGGAGGGGCAGGTTCCCAAAATATTGGAGAGGGCTCTGGTTTCTGCTTGGTTGTGAACAACTTTGCTGCAACAGCTTCGTGGCGTTACAGGCGTTCATTTAGTGACCGTTCAAAACTTACAACAGCGTTGAAAAAAGTGACCCCGGGATCATTTTTCACACTTACAACCGTTGCAGCCTGAGAGGAAGCAGCTGGGGTTTTTCAAACTTGATCCCCAATCCTCAAACAGACCCACTTTAGCGATTGGCAGAATCCAGAGATGGACCAATCAGTTACAAACAGACAGACCAATGGTCGGGTTTATCCAGACTGGGTTTATTTGCATTTAACCAGGTTATGAAATAAACGTTTTATGGATTGAGGCAATGAGTTCAAATTTTAAACTGGACCACTGCATTGAGTTGTGAACCCAGCTTTTAGTTGATGTGATGAAGCATATTGTGTGAATCCAGAAGGGCGGAGAAAGAAAATGAAAGTGGACACACTCAGTTGTTCAAATCTGGACTTTAATTCGTTTTATAGAGGAAAAGTTGAGCCCCTGAATGGTTTATCCAGAGTAGATATCTTGAGTTGGGTGCACAAAACACGCGAAGCTTATGTTAATGAAACCCAGGCTGGTATGTACAAAGTGTGCAATAAACAAACAAGCCCATAATTTGGGTTCTTAGGGGTTAAATTAGATTGATCTAGGGCAGTGTTGCTCAACCATGATAATTTCAAGCTGGGTGGGTTTCAACTCCCAGAATCCCCCAGCCAGCTTGCTTTAAGATGGGTGGTCTTCAACTCCCAGAATCCCCCAGCCAGCTTGGTTTAATTCTGGGAATTGTAGTCCACACATGTGGTCTTAAAACATGCGGGCTGAGGAATTCTGGGAGTTGAAGTCCACACAGCTTAAAGTTAACGAGGTTGAGAAACATCATCCAGTGTAAGTCAAAATTATTTTTTCTGGTGTCTCACTACTGCCACCTAACGACCATCTTTTATGGACTTTTCTTAAAAATTTAAGAAGTTAATCCTCGTTCAACAACAGGCTGAGGTATTGGTTCCTGTGACACATCAAACAATGTAATAGCCATGCCCATTTTGGCCTGGGCTAGCATATTGGGCGGGAGATGTGTGCTTTGCAAACAAGTGGATCCAGCTTTTTTTTTTCTTTTAAAGAAATCAGACAGAATGAACGTACAGAGAGTAGAATATCTTCCAAATATTCTATTTTCTCTCTCTGTAAATCCAGAATATTATCTCCGTGGTCACTTCTGCAATTTTCCCAAGTGTGATGCTGTTCTTGGTCCTCACAGATCTTCCTGTGTTCCGTATTCTGTAAGTCCTGGGAACACAATGTTTTTCTCTCCTCAAGCAGTGATTTTTTTGCCTTCGGGCTTACTGCAGACCAAGAGGCCCTCTGTTTGCTGGGAGTCCAGCTTCTGGCTCTTATTCCGTGATCTGTGTGTGGAGGGAAATTGCCATTAAGTGAGTTTGCAAAGGGGCTTCACCAACTCAGTTGATGCACGAGCGATTGACTCGGTTACATTACTGAAACTTAGTTGGTTTTAAGCTTCAGATGGATGAGGTTTGATGTCTGTATCCTTCGCTTTTTAAATTGTTGCTAGATAACCTGTTCCCCGTTCAGCTTCCTGCAGGCTTCCCCATTGAATTTTCTTGTGGGAATGTGGCAGGGAGCATTGGAAATCCTTCCTTCCTTCCTTCCTTCCTTCCTCTCTCCCTCCCTCCCTTCCTCCCTCTTCTTTTCCTTTCCTTTCCTTCCCTTTCTTTCCTACTCCTTTCCTTCCATCCTTCCTTCATCCCTCTCTCCCTCTTCTTTTCCTTCCCTTCCCTTCCTTCCTTCCTGCCTTCCTGCCTTCCTTCCTTCCTTTTTCCTTCCCTTTTCAGCAGGCAGATCAGTGGCTGCTGTTGAGTGAGGGGAGGAAGCAAGGGATTGCTAAACTGACTGGGAAACTGTCACAAAACAATGAAGATCCGGTGACTGCAGCAGCACGCCAGCAATGCAGCAGCAGTCAGTAGCTCTGAAGCAGCCAGAACTTTCCCCAGATTTCATTTCCTCAAGACTTATGGGTCCTGATTTTTGGAAGCATTCTGTAAGTTAGCCCATTCGAAGTATCTTGGTTCAAAAACTGTTGCCCTATCATGCAGCAGTTGGAGGCCACGACAATGAGAGTTTGAATGGGATATAGATTATTATTATTATTTGAAATCATTCAACCCATAAGTTGGGCTTTCTTGCTAAAGAAGAAGGATCAGCAGGGAAAGAGACTGCCCTTTAAGGTTCCAGGAGGAATGCAAAAATCCAGGACCACGTTTTTTCCTCACCTGTTCTCCACCTGCTCTATTGTTTCCAGCAAGGGGATGTTACGGGTTTCCGGCAAGAAGGCCGCCACGATTCCAGATATGATGGGAGCCGCACCGTAGATAAGATTGGGCAGAAATGGGATATATTCTCCTGTCATCTTCACTGCTGGAGCCACGATGCCTCCTATGCGGGCCATGGTGTTACTGAGACCCATTCCGGTTTGCCTGCACAGACGGACCCCCCCCCCCAAGCAAAAGGATTGGTCATGCTGCTTGACCTCACGGAGGTACTTTGCTCAATTTAAACCCCTGTATTTTTTTTTCAACGACACCCCCACAAGCAGCTATCTTCCACCCACTTTTCCTGTCTTTCCCTCCCACCGGGGCCCAAGCTATCTTTTCAAAGTCACTTGCCCAGTGGTTCCCCCTTGTTTGGTCTCTCACCGAAGCACCGTGGGGTAAAGTTCTCCGGTGTATAAATAGATGCAGTTGAACGAGGCGCCTAAGCAGCCCTTCCCGAAAACAGCCACGGTGGTCCGCAGCGTCTGCATATCTGGGAGGAGGGGAGAGGTCTAGGGTGAGGACCACGCTGTCTGGAGCACCCAGCCATTCATGGCGAGGGCGGTCATGTGGATGCCCACCAACTCATTGCTTTTAATTAACCAGGCTCGCCTCCAGAAGTCTTAGGCACTCCATCTCTTTAAAATAGAATAGAAACTGGAAGGGACCTTGGAGGTCTTCTAGTCCAGCCCCCTGCTCAAGCAGGAGAACCTATACCGTCTCAGACAGGCGACTGTCCAGTCTCTTCTTAAAAACCTCCAGTGATGGAGCGCCCACGATTTCTGGAGGCAAGCTGTTCCACTGATTGATTGTCCTCACTGTTAGGAAGTTTCTCCTTAATTCCAGGTTGCTTCTCTCCTTGATTACTTTCCAACCATTGTTTCTCATCCTTCCCTCTGGTGCTTTGGTGAACAATTTGGCCCCCTCTGCCTTGAGGCAGCCCCTCAGAAGTCTTCAAGAAGAGACTGGACAGCCATTTGTCCAGAATGGTAGATGTTGGACTAGATGACCTCCAAGGTCCCTTCCAACTCTGCTATTGTATGTTGTATAATGGGGGGGGGGATAACATGTCCGATTTTCATAGAATTATCTCCAGAACGTTGCTGAAACAACAGCCTAGTTTAGCAGCAGGATCCACTGATCCAGGGATGCTGTCCGTGGTTCTGAATGGACCGATCCATCGGATCCAGTTTCCAGATGGAAGAATGGGTTCTGTTTGTGAAAAGATCTGGTTCTCTCTCTCTCTCTCTCTCTTTTTTTTTTTTTTTTACTTTGCTCACCACCTCACAGCCAATCTTGGTCTATTGTCACATCTCCAATCAGGTGCTTAGCCATTATTACTTGCTCTCCTTTGTATTTTAATCCAAAGGACCCTGAAGTATTGTTTTTCAACCTGGGCAACATGAAGAGGGATGGACTTCAACTCCCAGAATTCCCCAGCCAGCAGATTTTAAGATGGGTGGACTTCAACTTCCAGCATGCGGGCTGGGGAATTCTGGGAGCTGAAGTCCATCCCTCTAAAACTTTAAAGCTAAGGTCTAAACCTCCTTGAGCACAAGGCAGAAAATCAGAGACCTTGTGCAAGCATCCCCATAACCTTTGGATTCCAGTATTGCAATCCCAGTTGCAATGTATGGCTGTGAAAGTTGGACCCTAAGAAAGGTTGAGCGACAAAGAATGGAGGCCTTTGAACTCTGGTGCTGGAGAAGACTCCTGCGAGTCCCCTGGACTGCAAGGCGACCAAACCAGTCGGTCCTAGAGGAGATCAACCCTGACTGCTCTTTAGAAGGCCAGATCCTGAAGTTGAAACTCAAGTACTTTGGCCACCTAATGAGAAGGAAGGACTCACTGGAGAAGAGCCTGATGCTGGGAAACATGGAGGACAAGAGAAGAAGGGGACGACAGAGAAGGAGGTGGCTGGATGGAGTCCCTGAAGCAGCAGGCGTGAGCTTCAATGGACCCCAGAAGATGGTAGAGGACAGGAAGGCCTGGAGGAACGTTGTCCATGGGGTCTCGATGGGTCGGACACGACTTCGCAACTAACAACAATTGTGCTACTGAGAACCAAGGTCTTCCTCACCTTGAGGTATGAAGATGTTAGCCAGGATGGTTAACCCAGCCAAGGTGAGGGCAATGGCTTGGGTGAACCGGCGCCCAATGTAGGTGATGGTGAGGACTGAAATAAACTTAGCCGGGAAGTCAACCGCTCCGAAAAAGAGCTGGATCAGGTAGATGTCGCCCCCGAAGTTCTGCAGATCCATCACCAGCCCATAGTAAGCGAAACTGGTGGAGAACCTTGGAAGGGGACCAGACGAAAAAAAACAAATGAATAAATAATACAGTTATAAAATAAAAATAAAATAAAACAATAGAATAGAATAAAAAATATAAAATAATAAAATAAAATAATGTAAAATAAAATAAAATACAACACAGTAAAATTATAAAATAAAATGTAAAATAAAAAATAAAATGAAATAATAAAATAAAATAATAGAACAGAATAAAAATATAATAAAATAAAATAATTTAAAATAAAATAGACTAATAAATTAAGAAAATAAAATAAAATGAAAAATATAAAATAATAAAGTAAAATTAGAAAATTATAAAATAAAATAATAGAATAGAATAAAAAATATAAAATAATAAAATAAAATAATTTAAAATAAAAAGAATAATAAAATTATAAAATAGATAAAATAAAAGGTAAAATATAAAATAAAATAAAATTATAAAGTAAAAGAATAGAATAGAATAAAAATATAAAATAATAAAATAAAATAATTTAAAATAATATAGAACAGAATAAAAAATCATAAAATAAAAAATAAAAAAATGTAAAATAGGAAATGATAAAATAAAATGATAAAATAAAATAACATGATTAAATTAAAATAGAATAGAATAATAAAATAAAATATGTAAAATAAAATAACATTAAAAATAAAGTAAAATATAAAATAAAATTAAAAATAAAATAAAGTAAAATATAAAATAAAAACAAAATTAAATATAAAATTAAATTAAAAAAATAATAAAAGCTAAATTAAATTAAATTAAATCAAATCAAATTAAGCTTGCCAAGTGGGCGGGGAGAGAGGTTTCTTTCCGGAGTTTTCCGCCACGCAACTCACCAGACGAAGCAGACGCAGAGGGAGATCCGGCGCATGGTTGGGGTCCGGACCAGGTCGAGCAGCGAAGTCTTGGACGTCATGGAGGCCAGGTCCTCCTTCATCTTGGATCTCAAAAACTGGAGGGGGGGATACATTGGAAAGCCTGGTTGAGTTTTTAAATCTGGGGTGTTTCTAATGGCACTCAAGGGAGCGAGTTCGAAAACCTGGTGTGAGGTGCAAGTAGTCCTCGAATTATGACGGTTCCCTTAGTGACTGTTCCAAGTTTGAATGTTGCCCTCACCCACCCTGGTGGTGATGCGACCACATTTTGGCCAGTCAGGATTTACGGCCGTTGGCAGCACCCTGCAGTCAAAGAACTCCAATTTATAACCGTTTTGCCAGAAATTGGCTTTCCCATCCAGTTTCTGGCAAAAACTAATCCAGCGAGAACAATGGGTTCACTTAACAACCGCCAGGTTCACTTAATGACCACGAAAAAAAGGTTGTAAAATTGGGTCTCGTCACGCAGGGAGCTGCCTTACAGCAATCACAATTTATGACCCTAATTGCCAGCCTCCACTGCAGTTGTAACTTGAGGACTAGCTGCATTGTTAAATCCTACGTAGAGGTCGAGTTACGATCCTTCATTTCACGACTGTCTAAAATTACGATGCCACTGAAATGATGACCGGTCCTTGTACTTATGACCATTGCCACATCCCCACAACCAAAAGGAGGCACGATTATGCAAATAAACAGAATTAATCTTGGCGTCTTTTGGCGGGCTCACCTCCTCATTTAGCGTTCCAGCAGCTCCCTGCTTTCTGTTCATTTTGGCCACCTTCTTGAGCTCCGTCACGGCCTGGTCGAGCTTCCCAGCTGTTATCAGCCAGCGAGCCGATTCACAAAGCCACCTGTGGGGATGAAGGTTGGAAGAAAGGAAAAAACCCCACAAGGAGATTCACACTGAGGCTTACCAAGTTAATACTATGGTTCCCAGCTCTACAAATCAGCCAAAAAAAGAGAGTGGACAGTCACTTGTCTATTCTATTCTATTCTATTCTATTCTATTCTATTCTATTCTATTCTATTCTATTCTATTCTATTCATCTGTCTATTCTATTCTATTCTATTCTATTCTATTCTATTCTATTCTATTCTACAATCTGTCTATTCTATTCTATTCTACAATCTGTCTATTCTATTCTATTATATTCTGTAATTCTATTCTGTTCTATTCTATTCTATTCTGTAATTCTATTCTATTCTATTCTATTCTATTCTATTCTATTCTGTAATTCTATTCTATTCTATTCTATTCTATTCTATTCTATTCTGTAATTCTATTCTATCCCATTCCATTCCGTTCCATTCCATTATTCTATTCTATTCTATTCTATTCTATTCTATTCTATTCTATTCTATTCTATTCAACATTCACCTGTCTGAGACAGTATAAGTTCTCCTGCTTGAGCAGGGGGCTGGACTAGAAGACCTCCATGGTCCCTTCCAGCTCTATTCTATTCTAGCCCCTGAGATACTGAAAGACTGCTATCATGTCCCTCCTCGTCCTTCTCTTCGTTAAACTAGACATACCCAATTCCAGCAACCGTTCCTCATATGCTTTAGCCTCCAGTCCCCTGATCATCTTTGTCGCTCTTCTCTGTACTCTTTCTAGAGTCTCAACATCTTTTTTATATCGTGGTGACCAAAACTGGATGCCGTATTCCAAGTGTGGCCTTACGAAGGCCTTGTAAAGTGGTATTAACACTTCCCGTGATCCTGATTCTATCCCTCTGTTAATGTAGCCTAGGGTTGCATTGGTTTATTGGCAGCTGCAGCACACGGCTGGCTTACATTTAAGTGATGGTCCGCTAAGACTCTGAGATCCCTATGGGAAAGACTTATTCCCGTGTCCTATTTACCAAGAATAACAGAAGAATAAGAAAAAAGGCAGAGAGACCACCAGCTGTAAGTGGTGCCAGTCTCGGAAAAGATACGCCAGGCCAGCCAGGACCAGCTGCCCAGTGGTGTACGCACAGCCATTGAGGGCCCCCAGCACCGGACGGGTCTTGGTGGGCGTCCACTCCACACCTGTTGGGAAGAGCAAAACCAGCATTCAAAGTCTTTCGGGCTTTCAAGCTGCCCAGAGGAGGAAAAAGTTCAAACTGGCAAATGGAAACCATCAGGGCTGCCAAAAGATAAACTTAACAAGAAACAAACCACACTCCCAAAATAACAGTGACTCGAGGGACTACTATTCCTGTCTATGGAGGCTCCATTTACGGCTCGCAGATCAGTCAACGCCAGACTGGTGCAAACTGGGGAAGATGGATCCCTGTGGCAAGGGGATGATTCCAGGGACTCACACAGAGAGACGCCGTTCATCACGATGCCCGAGAAAGACATCCCAGTGACAAAGCGAAGGATGCAATAGATGCTGAAATTGGGAGAAAAGGCAGTTGCCGTGCCAGTTGTGGCCAGCTGCAGGTAACACCACAAAAGGATCGGCCGGCGACCGAATCTGCAGGGACAGAAAAGGAGGGAACGTCAGAACAGAAAAGTGGGGAGGAGAGTGAATATTGGGAAGGACAGCACGTACTATCACCTCTGGTGTTGGTGCGTGCTAAATGCATTTAATAAAGAAAATCCTGAGCACTTTGTACATGTCCAGAGGCCTAGCTCCGTTGCAAAGTTATCCAGTTAATGATCCCCTTACGACATTAATTGGTACTTTTATCCCGAGCCTGCACTGCGCCAAGAACATTGCAATTAAGTGCATTTAATACAGAAAGACCGTGACACTCTGCACACACTCAAAGACATCTCGTGTTGCCGAGCTGAGCAGAGCGATAGCAGTTTCTCCTTTACAACATTTTTAACTTGGATGTCAAAATTCTAGTCCCTCACCTATCCGAGAGGCCTCCGAATAAGATGCCGCCGACTAGAACTCCAGCCATATAAATCGACTGTGCCATTTGCTTCAGTGTTCGGGAGGAACAAACCAGATTCCACTGCCGAAAGATTTGGGGTCATGCAGAAGGAAAAAAGAGAAAATATATACATTTTTAAAGCCGTTGGTTTTTTCCCCCCAACAAAAATAGGTTTTTGTCTTCCAGGTGGAGATGGGGAAAAGAGAGGTTTCTAAAGAACCAGGCATGATCCGGATCTTCCATCACGGCACGGAGTGTCCCAACTCTCAGTTTGCAGTTGGGGGTCCTGCGTTTCCATCCCTCCTTGGGCTTTGTAGGGTCACAACCGTACTCTAAAACAATAAGTGCATTTGTGGGCAAGCCCTTGTAAAGATAAAATCAATCTCCCTGGGCCCTAGGGCTGGGCGAGAAATAAATCTATCGCTTCTTTTTAGCAACTTGCGCTTCTAAAAGGTGGAGGAAGAATCGCCGCAGCTAAGTTAGTAACATGGTTGTTAAATGAATCATTGAATCGTTGAGTTAGTAACATGATTGTTAAGTGAATCACTGAGTCGTTGAATTAGTAGCATATTTGTTAAGTGAATCACTGAGCCGTTGAGTTAGTAACATGGTTGTTAAGTGAATCACTGAGTCGTTGAGTTAGTAACATATTTGTTAAGTGAATCGGTGAGCTGTTGAGTTAGTAACACAGTTGTTAAGTGAATCATTGAGTTGTTGAGTTAGTAACATGGTTGTTAAGTGAATCATTGAATTGTTGAATTAGTAACATATTTGTTAAGTGAATTACTGAGTCGTTAAGTTAGTAACATGGTTGTAAAGTGAATCAGGCTTCGCCATTGATTTTGCTTATCGGAAGGTCGCAAAAGGGGATCACATGACCCTGGGACGCTGCAAGCGTCGTAAATACTTGCCAGTTGCCAAGCTTCCAAATTTTGATCACCTGACAGTGGGGATGCTGCAACAGTTGAAAAGTCTGAAATACGTTCATACATCACTTTTTTTCAATGCCCTTGTAACTGCGAATAGTCACTAACCGAATGATTGTAAGTGGAGGACTACATATACAGTGCCCAAGAGACTCCCCCCCCCAGTTTGAGAAGCTGGATGTGCCCAAACAGGTCACTTCCGAATCCAGACTATCTCACCTCTGTCACAATGGTCTTGTGGAAGACACTTTGGTTGTACACCCATCCGTCTCTACATGGTTCAGTTTCCATCTGGGTTTCGTTCTCCATGGTGCCGTTCAAAAGCCACCCCTCCTTCTGATGGAAACGGTGGCACTTTGCCGGCTTTCCGTTCTCCATGGGAAGGGACACCACAAGGAGAGCCTCATCTTCGGCACTCCGGTTCCTGGGAGCAGCATTGAGGCTGGTGGCGCAGTGGTGATCCGGCGTCCCTGCGGTGAAATTCTGCAGCATCATATGACAAGCCATCATAAGCACCGGAATGGAGATCAGAGTCACATAGACGATTTGGAAGCGCCCCATGCTGCCGACATGTTCTAAGATCTCTGTGAAGCCCATGGTGGACGGCTGGAAGGATCAAAGCTGGAGGACCTTGTGGGAGAAGGTGGAGGAGCAATTGGATCCCTTTCTGTTAGAGGTTTACCAAAGCCTTGCGTTAACACGGCTTTTTAGGATGGACCTTAAGCTGGTTCCTCCAAAGGACCTTCAACCAGTTTCTCCAAAGGACCTTCAACTAGGTCACCAAAGGATCTTCAACCAGATCTCCAAAATTCCTCCAACTCGATCTCCAAAGAACTTTCAACCAGTTTCTCCAAAGGATCTTAAATTAGTTTCTCCAAAGGATCTTAAATTAGTTTCTCCAAAGGACTCTCAACTAGATCACCAAAGGACCTTCAAACAGATATCCGAAAGTCCTTCAACTAGATCTTCAAAAAACTTTCAGTCAGTTTCTGCAGAAGACCTTCAACCAGTTTCTCCAAAGGATCTTAAATCAGTTTCTCCAAAGAACCTTCAACCAGATCTCCAAAAGACCTTCAACTCATGTCTCAAAGGACCTTAAACTAGATCTCCAAAGGACCTTCAACCAGTTTCTCCAAAGGATCTTCAACCAGTCCCTCCTCATCCAGAAAAGCAGAAGGTCTTTTCCAGACGCCACAAAAAAATGAAGGATGCGGTTTTGGAATTTTCTTCTGGAATCAAGGAATAAATATAACACCTCCCCTAATCTGGGTGGGACGGGCCATTCTCCATCCAGCAAAAGCGGTCTTCTCTTTTAAAAAGAGAATTTTTTTTTTTTATAGTGCTTCTGAGAAGCCGAACCAGGACAGAGGCAACGTTCTAGTTGAGCTCCCGGTTAAAGTGTGACAGCACCACAGGGATGAAGTGTGAAAAGGGACACCGAGGTAGCGAACTCCTGGTGTGACTTTTCAGCCCGACTTCACGCAAGAGATGAAGCCTCTTGACCCCGGGGTTGGGTGTATCATTCCCATGGCAGGTGTTAGAAATTAACTGCCCTTGGAGAAGGTCCAACGTTTTTTGATGGTCATGGAGAATCTGGCCAGCCATGAGCAGGAGGCCACGGTGATGTCTCCTGACCACCAGCTCTGGTTTGAAGATTTTCCAAGACAATGGACGAGGGAAGACACTTTAAAACTGTGCTTCTTGTTGACCTTCCAACCGAAGGATATTTTCACAATGTCGCCCCATCTCCGATCTCCAGTATCTTAAAGCAGGGGTCTCCAGCTGGGCGACCTCTGGAGAATTCTGGGAGTTGAAGTCCTCAAGTCTTAAAGTTGCCCCGGTTTTGAGACTCCGGTTAAAGCTTCAGAAGTTTGAAAGAAACATTCTCTTTTTTTTGCAAGTGCACGTCTGCATTATATTTTGGGTGGGATATTTACCTATTTTGGAAACAGGGAAGTTTTGGAAGTGGCCCTTCCGGATCTAAAGGACAGAGACAGCCTGGGGGGGTGGGGCACGGAGGGGGAGTTAAAGGACTGAGTAAAGGGGAAGGGAGGAAATGGCAAGCCTGGGCCCGGCACCCGGGAGAGTAGAGAGAACTGGACTTACTTCTTTTGGAAAAGGTGGAGATTGCAATAGCCTCGGAGCACTGCATTAAAAATGGAGCTCAGCCTTTCTTCCTCTCTTTCCCATCTCCTTCCTTCCTTCTCTCTCTCTCCTCCCTCCCTTCCTTCTTTTCTTATTCAGTTTTGAACCACCCAGCTCTCTTCCCTTCCCCCCCCCTTTCCTTTTTTCTTTCTTTCCTCCCCTCCCTCCCCTTCCTCCTTTTATTTTATTTTATTTTATTTTATTTTTCACAGTTCTGAACCATCTAGCTCCCTTCCTTCCTTCCTTCCCTTCCTTTCCCTTACCTCCTTCCTTCCTTTCTTCCTTCCTTCCCTTCCTTATCTCCTCCCTCCCTCCTCTTATTTTATTTTTCACAGTTTTGAACCACCCAGCTCCCTTCCCCTCCCATTCCTTTCTTCCGCCGTCTCTTCCCTCCCTTTTCCTTCCCTCCTTCCCTTCCTCTCTCCCTCCCTTCTCCTTCCTTCCTTCCTCCCTTCCTCTCTCCCTCCCTTCTCCTTCCTTCCTTCCTCCCTTCTTCTCTCCCTCCCTTCTCCTTCCTTCCTTCCTCCCTTCTTCTCTCCCTCCCTTCTCCTTCCTTCCTTCCTCCTCCTCCCTCCCTTCCTTCCTCTCTCCCTCCCTCCTTTCTCCTTTCTTCCTCCCTTTCCTTCTTCCTTCCTCCCTCCCTTCCTTATTCCCTCCCCTCTCCTTCCTTCCTCCCTCCTTCCCTTCTCCTCCCTTCCTCCCTTTCTTCCTTCCTCTCTCCCTCCCTCTCTTCTCCTTCCTCCCTCCCTTCCCTTCTCCTTCCTCCCTCTCCCTCCTTTCTCCTGCCTTCCTTCCTCCCTCTCTCCCTCCCTTCTTCCTTCCTTCCTTCCTTCCTCCCTCCTCTCCTTCCTTCCTCCCTTGTTCCCTTCTCCTTCCTTCCTCCCTCCCTTCCTATCTCTCCCCTTCCTATTCTTTTCCTTGTCTTTGGAGGGGGGGACTTAACATCTGGTTTTCTTTTGCAAAATGCAAGGTGGGATTTCCTTGCTCTCTTCTCTTTCGTTTTGACTCGAAGTGAGATTTCCTGGCAACTGTGGGGCCCAAGGAGGTGGGGTAGCCTTCCAGGGCCAGAGGTAGCCCTCATTCTGGGCCAGGTTTGTCTCCAGGGCTGCATCTCAGCCACCCCTGTCTAAGGCAGGTGGTGCATTTACACCTGGCTCTTCACCTGGTTATCAAACGCCTCCCTCTTTTACAATCCTCCAAATCACCATCTAATTGGAATTGATGGCTTTGTACCACAGGCTGCCCCCTGACACACAAGCACACATTTTTTTTTCCCCTGCGCAACACCCCGAATTGCGACCACACCAGTGTGATTTGAACCATGGACTTTATTCTCCTTATTTTTCCAGACCAGACAAAAGAACAACTTATTAACTTTTCTGCTTGCCAAAAGAGGCAAAAATTTCCACAAGGACAAATGACCGATCGATGCCTTCTTGGTATATCCCAGCCATATTTAAAAGATGGAGACCCCCCCCTTCTTCCCCTTAGCAGCCTAGAAGCTATGATGGCAAACTAGCAACAGATGTAAGTTTATTTATGGTTGACATCACCAGATATGTCCCATAACTGGTCCTGAACAATTAACTAGCATTTGCTGCCTGAAAGCATTCGTGTTTTGCAAAAGCCAAGCAGAGCTAAACTTGGTTAAATTGTGAATGGATGATCACGAAGGACTCATCTGGGAAGTTTTTTTAAAAAAAAAAAAATCCAAGAAAACAATTAGCTAAACTACCTCCAAAATACCTCCATGAAATTATCAAAAGTTGCTCCTGAAGGCAAAACTCAAAATTGCAAAAAAAAAATAAAAAAAATAAACCACTTTTATAACAAGAGCAGGAAAAACTTCTAAACTTGTGACTTGGGAAGACCCTCCAAAAAAGAAGAAGAAAAAAAGGGTAAGAATTACAGATTGGCAGAAAATAATGGTGTGGCTTGGAGCGCCTGTCTAAAGGAAGAAATCCCTGACAATTCCAGAGTCGTTTTTGAAAATACACTCTGCACATGTTCAGAAGACCCTCCACATCTTTATGATCACAACACTGAATCCTCCCAGTGAGGCTGGCTTAGCTCAGAGACCCCCCCACTCCCCTTGACTAAGGGGCCTAGTAGAATACAAAAACAAGGGGGAAAAGAACTAAAACACGTCCAGAAACACCACATCTTCCATCTTGGCTAAATGCAGATCCAAAAATGAGCTCTAAGAACTTTATTTCCAGAATCAAATGGTAAGCCAGCTCAGCAAGTCTCTTTGAACAGAACTTTTTCCTGTCTCTGAAGCAGGATTTTCTCCTGAGCAATCTCTTCTTCATTCTTCTTTTTCGTCTTTCTGCATCTGAGGTTGAAAGGAAAAGAATAAATCCAAGTTCAGCTGAAAAGCATCTCCATCGTATCATCCAATAAACAGGTAGGTGCACTTGAACGCCCAGAATTTTCCACCCAGAATGGGTGCGCTTGAACTCCGAGAATTCCCCAGCCAGCATGGGTGCACTTCAACTCCCAGAATTCCACAGCCAGCATGGGTGCAATTCAACTCCCAGAATTTCCCATCATGGTTGTGCTTGAACTCCCAGAATTCCCCAGCCAGCATGGGTGCAATTCAACTCCCAGAATTTCCCACCCAGAATGGTTGTGCTTGAACTCCCACAATTGCCCAGCCAGAAATTTACTTTATTTTAATGTATCTTAGTCCTTATCTTCTTACTTAAAAGATTCATTCATTCATTCATTCATTCATTTGTTCGTCAGAGGCAATTAGAAAAATGATTTAAATAAAAAGAATTTGCAAAGCTCAGCTAGGCCCAGATCTCCAGACTTCACTCCAGTGATGGTCGCCCACCTGTTCTCCACGTCTTCTATCGTGTCTGGCAAGGGTACGTTCAGCGTCTCCGGCAGAAGGCAAGCGATGATTCCAGCTGAGATGGGGAAGGCTCCGTACACAATGGGGGGAAGAAAGGGGTAGTAATCCTGTAGCATGTTGGTCAGTGGGGAGACCATGCCCCCGACTCGGGCCATCGTGCTGCCAAAACCCAGCCCGGTCTGTCTGGGGAGGGCAAAGGAGAGGAAGGGGCAAAGAAGATCAGTGAGATTGGGGGTTCCAAGGACCCCGGGACCCCTCTCCCCAATAGTCCTCAACTTATTTCGACTTTGGCACAAGGGCTCGTCCTGACTTCTAAACCACAGGTTGGCTTTTGCCCGGCTCAGAAAAACCTCCAAAGGGCAGTAGCCACGATTAACCCAAACTAGGCTAGTTGTGTGAACACAACAACTGGGTGTCAGATGGGTGTCAGGATAGCCCAAGCCGTAAAGCTGCCCTTTCCTTGAGGCTTCCAACAGCAGCTGAGCTGTTTAGTGGGGAATTTTCACAGCCAACGTTTGGTTTCCCAAAGAACAGGCGGTCCCCGACTTAACGACCACGATTGGGACAAGAATTTCTGTTGCTAAGCAACAGTCATTGAGTGAGTTGTGTCTGACTTTGCAAACTTTTTTGGGCCTAGTTGATTGTTAACCAAATCAGTCTTTTCCACCCACCCAGAAGCCAACTGGGGAAGGTTGCAAAGGGCGATCATGTGACCCAGGGATGCTGCCACCGTTGTAAATACAGGTAGTCCTTGACTTACAACAGTTCACTTAGTGACCGTTTGAAGTTACAGCCCCGAAAAAAGTGATTTACCATCATTTGTTCACACATACGACCGTTACAACATCCCCATGATCATGTGATTTGCATTCGACCGCTTGGCAACTGATTCACATTTATGACGGTTGCAGCGTCCCGGGGTCAGGTGACCCCCTTGTTTGCGACCTCCTGACCACCAAAGACAATGGGGAAACTAGATTCACTTAACAACAATGTCATTGAACGACTGCAGTGATTTGCTTAACAAACATGGCCCCAAAAAAATGTCATAAAACGGGGCAGAACTCAAACAAATTTCTCGCTTAGCAACATACATTTTATTGCTCCCTTGTGGTCGTAAGTCGAGGATTAGCTGTGCAGGCTGATGATTAGGTGACCGTGGGGATGTTGAGTCGGTCATAAGTGTGAGGATCGGTCATCATCGTTTATCATTTTTGGGGGTGCCTTGTAACTTTGAACAGTTGCTAAACCAATGGACGTAATTTAGGACTTCCTGTACTTGGGGATGGGGAGAAATCGAACCCAGGACCGGGGGGGCGAAATTCCACCTCTGATCTTCAGTTCGAAAAAGGAAGAAGAGGGTCCTTGAAAGGCAGCTCTCCTCACCTTATGGGGGTCGGGTAGAGTTCGGTCGTAAAGAGGAACACACAGTTGAAAGCCGCCGAGAGGCAGCCTTTGCCGATGACCGCCAGCGCTGTCCGGAGAGTCTGCATTTCTGCCGGCAGAAAAGGGGGGGAGACAGAGAACGAAATTAATCATGTAATTGCAGAGAGTCCTCGACTTACAACGGTTCATTTAGTGACCTTTCGTCAAAGTTACGACAGCGCTGAAAAAAAGCCGCTTCGGACCGTTTTTCACCCTTACGACCGCGGTCCCTTGATCAAAATTCAGACAATGGGCAACTGGCTCGTATTTACAATGGGTTGCAGAGTCCGTCGTGTGATCCCCTTTTGCGACCAGCTGACCAGCAAAGTCCATGGGGGAGCCTGGATTCACTTAACGACCGTGGGACTAACTTAACAACTGCAGTGATTCACTTAACAACCGTCAAGACAGGTCATCAAATGGGGCAAAACTCACTTAACGAATGCCTCGCTTAGCAACATAAATATCTCCAGTCGTCAACACAGTCCTTTCAGAAGTTCCAGGAAGGCTCCCCACTCATTTGCATCACTCAGGTGACCCTGAGGATGCAGGTAAACCACCAAGTGGCCTCAACGACTCTCTAAAAAGGATGCAAATAACCAGCTGCCTGCAAGGAGTATAAATCCTTCCATTCCCCACCTCCAGTCAGAGTTGAAGAAGCTTCTTGGAGGAGAAGCGAAACGTCTTCAAGGAAAAACAAGAAAAAGCACCTTTGGGACAGCCATGACTTAGATGATTTTTCTCCATAGACCAGGGGTAGGCAACCTTGGCTCTTTTATGACTCACGGACTTCAACTCCCAGAATTCCTGAGCCAGCCATGCTGAGGGGAAAGGGAGAGGTTTCCAAGCTGAGCCAGGCTGGCTCAGGAATTCTGGGAGTTGAAGTCCACGAGTCATGAGGGGGCCATAATTCCCCCATGCTGGCTCAGGAATTCTGGGAGATGAAGTCCACGAGTCATGAGGGGGCCATAGTTCCCCATGCTGGCTGAGGAATTCTGGGAGTTGAAGTCCATGAGTCATGAGGGGTCCATAGTTCCCCATGCTGGCTGAGGAATTCTGGGAGTTGGAAGTCCACCAGTCATGAGGGGTCCATAGTTCCCCATGCTGGCTGAGGAATTCTGGGAGTTGAAGTCCACCAGTCATAAAAGAGCCAAGGTTGCCTAACCCTGCCATAGACATTTCGGTTAAAGAGTTCTGATCTCTGGGTGGGATACCCTGAATAAACATGCTACAGTTCGGCTTTCCCGTGGAAAACATGACCCTGGGCCCGGTCCAAGTCTTCTGGACAGGTTCCTTGTTCTTCTGAGGAGGACACCTGAGGAGGCCACCTAAGACCTGGCCACGATGAAGACTGACATAAGAACGGAAGCAAGAAACCCAATGGGCAGACCGGTCAATACCCACCAAAGGGCACAAATAAGTTGGTGATGATGATGGTGCCGGCGGTCACCAGGAAGGCAGTGAGGCTGACCCTCCGTCCAATGTAGCTCATGGTGATGGTGACGACCAATTTGGCGGGAAAATCCACCGCTCCAAAAATTACCTGGATGAGGTAAATGCTGACCCCAAAATTCTGGAGGTCCATGACCAGCCCGTAATAGGAGAAGCTGACCGAGAACCTGAACGACACAAACACATGTATTATATTTTTTTTAAAACACAATTGCTGTCGGTCAAGGTGGTGTGACAGTTGTTTCCGCAGAGTTTTGAAGATGTTGTGGTAAGAACAACCAAGCATCAGGTTTCACCGTTCTCGGTTAAGAAACAGGCTTTCCTTGCTGAACTGCAGAAAGCAAATCGGAAGTTGTGGGTGTGCCATCCCTGGAGGGGTTTAAGAAGAGACCGGACAGCCATTTCTCTGAAATGGCATAGCGTCTCCTGCTCGAGTAGGGGGTTGGACTAGATGACCTCCAGGGTCCCCTCCAACTCTGTGGTTCTGTTATTCTGTATCCCATCCTTTTCAAAAAAAAAAAGTATGGTATTCTATTCTATTAGACGTCCATCTCAAAAGAGGAAGAAATATTTATTTATTTATTTTTCATGTTTCTAGACCTCACCATCTCCCTCAATGACATCCTTGGTTCTAAAGCTGCTGGAGTTCTTGTACAGGTAACCCTCAAGTTATGTCGGTAATGCAGCCTGTCCGTTAACGGCCGCTAGCTGTAACGGTCATCAAACGTGTCTTTTAAACGACTAACCCGATTTTACGATGATTTTTTTTTGCAGCAGTCGTTAAACGAATATGGCAGTCATGAGTGTGAATGCTATGGTCGTTAAGGAACACTAAGGTTCCTAATTATAATATATATTTTTTAATTTTTATTTTTTTTAAAATTGTTTTAGTGGTTTTCGCTGGGTTTATTGATTTAAGATGCTCGCAAGATTGTAACCGTAATGGATGTTTTTGAATCGTGAGCCACCCAGATTTCGTTTGCAGAGATGGGCAGCTATAGAAAGTAAAAAAATAAAATAAAATAAAAGAATAAAATAGCAAAATAAAATAAATAAAATAATGAAACAAAATAATAAAATAAGAATATAAAATAAAATAAAAATAATAAAATAAAATAATGAAATAAAACAAAATAAATAATATAATATAAAATAAAAATAAAATAATGAAATAAAATAAAATAAAATAATGAAATAAAATAAAATAAAATAATGAAATAAAATAATAAAATAAAATAAAACAATAAAATAATAAAATAAAATAAATAAAATAATGAAACAAAATAATAAAATAAGAATATAAAATAATAAAATAAAATAATGAAATAAAATAATGAAATAAAACAAAATAATGAAATAAAATAAATAAAATAAAATAAAACAAAATAATAAAATAAAATAAAATAAAATAAATAAATTCATTGTTCACTAGGGTGTGGTTTTGCCCAAACCAGTAATAAGTACCATTTTTTAGCAAAACCATTGTAAAACATAGTCACGTGACGGTGGGAACGCTGCAAACATCCTTAAATATTGGTGTGAAGCCGAACACCCAAAGTGTGGTCACGTAACCATAGAGAGGGGTGGGGGAAACTGTCAGAATTTCAAATCTGGGTCATGTTCTCTTTTTCAGATAGGTCATAACTTCAAAAGTCGCGAAGTGACTGGTTGTAAGGCGAGGACTCTCTGTCACTCCCTCCGTTCGCTTTCATAAATCTCGCTAAAGAATACTCTATGCAATTCAGCCTTGAAAAGGCTTTAAGCATTTGCTTTATTCCTGCGTTTGACTGTGGATCTAACGGTGGGCTTTTCGGTTGCAGACCGTACCCCTCCCTCTTTCTGATCCTGGAGAGCTGACCAACAACATTGGATTGTGTCTTTAAGGGCTCTGTTCTTCGGCTTGACCCTCTTACCACACCATGGAGAGGCAGAAGAAGATGCGACGGATGGCCGGCGTGCGCACCAAGTCAGAAATGGTGTATGAGGATTTACACGAAGACAATTCCTTCTCCATACTGGAAAGCAGAACCTACCAGAAAGGGAAAATATATATATATAAGTGCGGAAACTTATCACGAAGGAAGGAGAAGGTAAGTGTCCCAGGATAATGGTGCAAGATCCAATCTGGCTCGGTCATCAGGACTAGAAGCTTAGTCTTCCGATCTTTCAGACTCACGCTGGTGTCCATCCTCTGGGAACTTCTCTCTAGCTGTGTGTGTGTTTTGGGCTATTCTGTGGGTGGTGTTTATATGATGCCTGTTGTGTGTGTGTGTTTTTTAGATGGTGATTGGGATGTTGATGGCTGACTCTTAAGTAGTTGCTTGTTCTTTCCTTGTGTTGCCAAGCCCTCCCCTCCTAAGTCCTTGATAAGCTGGTGATAAATCAGCATTCCTGTTGATTGACAGATGGATCTGTTTCCCAGGCTAATCACTTCTCTGGCTGTTTTTGTCCCTGCTCAGCCAACAATCTTAGTACGGTAGTTGCAAAATTGAGTGTATGTCTTTGTTTATTGCAATGAATTCGGGTCTCCTCGTCTGACAGCTCACTTATCACTTTGATCTGGACAACCTCAAAACTTCGGCAAGTTTTTACAACTGCTTGGTGAGTCTCCCCCCCCCCCGTTTCCTCCATACCTCTGTGGTGATTTTTGCACCCACTTCCTGCTTGTTGTTGATCCTGGCCACTCTCTGGAGAACACCAACAGCCTTACTGGCCTGGCCTGACTGGACCAGCCAGCGAGCCGATTCAGCGTACCACCTGCAAGATAGAAATCCAAGTGGCCCTGAGTTCCACAGGTTATCAAGTCCACCTGCCAAACTAGAGGTAGTCCTCAACTTACCACCACTAGGGAGTCTAGAATTTATGTCGCTAAGCGAGACAGTTGTTAAATGACAGATCCATTTTGCGACTTTTCTTGCCCTCCCCTTGTTAAGTAAACCACTGCCGTTGTTAAGTTAGTAACCCGGTCGTTAAGTGAATCCAGCTTTCCCATGGACTTTGCTTGTCAGAAGGTTGCAAAAGGGGATCATGTGACCCCCGGGACACTATGTCCGTCATAAGTATGAGTCAGTTGCCGAGCATCTCATTTTTGATGCCCGGGGAGGTAGCAGCGGTTGTAAGTGTGAAAAATAGACCCTTTTTTTTCAGTCCTGTTGTAACTTCAAACGGTCACTGAATGAACTGTTGTAAGTTGAGGACTGCATGTACTCTTCTACACAAAGCCGCAACACCCCTCTTCTTCTCTTTGACTTGTCGCCACCACATTTGCTTTCCTGAAACTTCAGCCCTCTGGGAAAGGGGGGGGGGTGGAGAAACCCAGGACCCATCATCCCCATACATACCAGGAATAAAGCAGAAAGACAAGATAAGGAGCCGAAACAGCCACTTGCAACCAGCGCCAGTCCCGGATGGCGTAGGCCAAGCCCGCAAGAACGATTTGCCCCAAAGTATAAGCCAACCCGGTGAGGGCAATGGTGATCGTCCGGTACTGGGTGGGAATCCACTCCACAACTGGAAAAAGAAGGAATCCATTTTAGGAACCACTCAGCACCCACTTCTCTCTAGGATAACTTGCCCTGGCCAACTCACTGTGGCCACCTTGCCACGGCTCACTCGCCAGTGCCAACTCACCATCGGACAACTTAACACGAAGAAACTGTACTCCAGACCCATTCCTCTCTTAATATTATTATTAATATCATTATTAAGGCTATTATAGTATATTATTATAGAGAAGTAGATGGATAGATGATGAAGAAAGAAAGAAAGAAAGAACAGGGAGGAAGGAAGGAAGAAAGGAAGGAAAGAAAAAGAAAGAAAGAAAAAAGAAAGAAAGAAAGACGGGATGAAAGAAAGAAGGAAGGAAGAAAGAGAGAGAGAAAGAAAGAAAGAAAGAAAGAACGGAGGAAGAACAGGAAGGAAGGAAAGAAAGAAAGAAAGACAGGATGAAAGAAAGAAGGAAGAAAGAGAGAGAAAGAAGAAAGAAAGAAAGAAAGAAAGAAAGAAAGAAAGAAAGAAAGAAAGAAAAAAGAAAGAAAGAAAGAACAGGGAGGAAGGAAGGAAGAAGGAAGGAAAGAAAGAAAGAAAAAGAAAGAAAGAAAGATGGGATGAAAGAAAGAATGAAGGAAGGAAAGAGAGAGAGAGAGAGAGAGAGAAAGAAAGAAAGAAAGAAAGAAAGAAAGAAAGAAAGAAAGAAAGAAAGAAATCAATCAACCAATCAATCAATCAATCAATCAATCAATCTCGCCAGCCATGATGAGCTTGGGAGACAGGAAGAGGTAGAGCAGCAGCCTGGACCACAGTCAGATAAAAGATATCTCAGGCCTAACTTGAATTTCTAACTTGGATTCTTGGTTTCTAACTTGGAAATCCTTCTCAGGGGAGCCCAGGGCACCCATCCAAACCAACAGCTGGATTTGCTTTGACTTTCTCTTGAAGCCCCCTTTGAGCCCCTTCTAGAAGCTTGAGTGTCTTACTCAAACAGGCAATGCTGAGGCCGAATCCGGAGAGCGCCATGCCGGTCAGGAAGCGGAAGACACAATAGGAGACGTAATTGGGGGAGAAAGCTGTGCAGACCCCCGTCACCGCCATTTGGAAGAAGGACCAGATTGTGAGCGCTCGGCGGCCAAACCTGTGGGAAGGATAAAGAGACCATCATCCACCTCCCTGCTCCTTATAAGCATGGCAGGCGTGAAAGAAAATTGGGGTTTGTTTGTGTGTATGTTTGTTTGTGTTTGTATGTGTTGGGAGATGCAGATTGCTCTCTGGAATAATACAAATGGTCCTTGACATCTATCTATCTATCTATCTATCTATCTATCTATCTATCTATCTATCTATCTATCTATCTATCTATCTATCCATCTACTTCTCTCTTTCTCTCTCTCTCTCTCTCCCTACCTATTCACCTCTCTCTTTCTTTCTCTCTCTCTCTGTCATCTATCTATCTATCCATCCATCCATCCATCTTCCTCTCTCTCTTTCTCTCTCTCTCTACCTACTTACTCTCTCTTTCTTTCTCTCTATCATCTATCTATCTATCATCATCAATCAATCAATCAATCTCCATCCATCCATCCATCTTGCACCACAAACTAGCTGTATATTGGCTGTTTTGCTTTTCCAGCAATGATTAATCAACATCTGGAAAGATTTGATCCACTGGCGATCCAGATCTGAGAGGCGAGAAGTGGTTATAGCCCCCTTGTGACCAACATCTAAACTGTACTTCTCAGCCTCCTGGTGGGATGAAAACGTGATTTGATCGCGAAGTGGTGCCCTCACCATCGGAGTTCACCCGCTTCTCACCTCTTTCTCGCAGTGCTGCCCCCTGCTGACCAACATACCTGTCCGCCAGCCCGCCTAACACCAGTGCACCGATCAGTACCCCCGCCATGTAAACAGACTGCGCCATCTCCCGAAGTTTCCGCTGGTCACACACCAGGTCCCACTGTCACAGAAGAAAATATTTGCGTTGCATTAAAAGGTGTACTAACAGGAAATAATATTTCGTAGCTCAGGGTTGAACTGTGGGGTCCTTGGTGCTCTCTGAGCTTGGTGGGTTTTTTTGCAGGAATTTGACGACCCAACTAGGTAACATCATCAGTGCTCATAGAGTGCAAATTCCCCTTTCTTCTAGCACTGATGATGTTACCTAGTTGGGTCATGAAATGTCTGCAAAAAAACCCCACCAAGCTCAGAGAGCACCAAGGATCCCACAGTCCTCCTCCTCCTCCTTCTCTCCACAGTCCCCATGCCCTTCTAACACTGATGATATTACATAGTTGGGTCATGAAATGTCTGCAAAAAAACCCCACCAAGCTCAGAGAGCACCAAGGACCTCACAATTAAAAGGCGTGTGTGTGGAATCACACCTAGCTGGCATTTCAGGACCTGGATGATGTGATGGAGGGAAACACAGTGTGTGTTGTGTGTGTGCGTGTGTGTATGTGTCTCTGCAGATCAAGGTCCGTTTGCAACTTACAGACAACAGTCGCTCAAAGTTATAACGGACTGGGCAACAAAGTCAATGTCACAAACATCGCTTCAGAGTTAAACGAACCACTTTTCTTGTTCGCATCGCCCGCTAGCGAGTTTGAAAACATTTCAACTGCCAGAATTCTGGAACTACAGGACTAGAAACTTGCTTGCTTTTCTTGTGATCTTTTTTTTTTTTTAAAACAGATTTTGCTCCCAATGCAGGCATTCAGAGGCTGATCTTTTGGGAACGAGAAGCAAGCAAGCACACTGCCACGCAAATCTTGCCTATTTAGCAAGAATCCAAGTTGCATTCTGGTTACCTGACTTTGCAAGCTTGGGAAGGTGACGGGGCGGGGGAGAACAAGAAGAAAAACATAAATCGGGGGCAGATAGAACATCCCCCCTCCGGGAGGAGAAAAAGAAGATGGAAGACAGGCTGGGAACAACATTTTTGCCAGTCCTTCTCTTAGAACTGGTGCCAGATAAATATGTCCCACTGTTTTGGGATTTTTCTGTGCCCAGCAGGACACAGATTGCATTAGGACTGGGGGGGAACAAGCCCCCCCATTTCCACACCGGTTTGCCCATCCAACTGAAAACATCTCCTGCAGTTTGTGCAACTTAACTCCTTTGTTTGCTGGAACAAAAAAACCACTAGATCGGTTGGTTTCATCCCTACTAAAACAGCTCCTAAGGACCAGGCTGGATGGTGGCAATCACAACCTGTCTAGATTTTTGAGGTGTCTTTAAGTTGGGGATGCAACAGGGCAAGCAAGAAAGTCCTGGATTCAAAAGGGTGACAGCCTCCAGTTGAATTAAAATCCTAGCAAGATGCTATGCTAATATTGGGGTTGATCGCACAGTCAGCTAGATCTTTAGACTGGATTTGGCTTTTTTGTCCACCTTTCGAATCCTTCCCAAGGATCTGGGATAGACAGATGTGGTGGTTTGATGGTGTTAAAGGTCCCATTGCAGGATATAAGCTGCCCCAAGTCAAGCTGCCTTTTCCAATTGACCCAACCTAGAACCACGGAGAAATTTCCTAACAGTGAGAACAATTAACCAGTGGAACAGCTTGCCACCAGAAGCCATCACTGGAGGTTTTTAAGGAAAGACTGGACAGCCACTTGTCTGGAGTGGTATAGGGTCTCCTGCTTGAGCAGAGGGTTAGATTAGAAGACCTCCAACGTCCCTTCCAACTCGGATGCTGTTCTGTGTTCTATTTTGTTCTGTGATTATTAAAACAAGCCAGAAATCCAAGAATCTCTCCCTGGCCTATCCCAATTTTCCTTTGCTCTAAATAATGCTTCTCCTAATTCATCCATTTCCGGATTGCCACTCACCTCGCTGACGATGGTGGACGTAAACTGAGTTCGGTCATAAAACCATCCGTCGGCGCACGACTCCGTCTCCGTCTGGTTCTCCCTGGTGACACTCGCGTTGAGGAGATACCACTGAGCATCCGTGAAGCGTCGGCATTTTTCCAACCTTTGCTTGCTATCCAGGGGGATGCTGACCCTGAGAAGCTGGCCAGCGCCTAGCGGATGAGTGACATTGGGGTGCTCACTGCTATTGGGACTGAGGCGCACCTGGCAATGATGTCCTGGGATAGCGGCCGTGAAGTTCTGGAGAAGGTTATGACTAGCCATGAACAAGACCGGAATGGTGAGCAGCATCGTGTGAATCATTTGGAAACGTCCCATGCCACCAATTTGCTCCAGGATTTCGCCAAACGCCATGATGAGCCAGAAAAGATCTCAGCAGCAACAACCACAAAAAGAGGGTTCTCTAAAAAAATCTAGGGGCCAAATCTTGTTCCCACGCCAATTTCTCTTCTCATAAAGCAAAACGTCGAATGGAGAGACGGGGACAGAGAAAAGAGAAAAGAGGAAAAGAAAGAAAGAAGAATGCCGAACTTGAGAAATAGAATTCCTGCAGAAAGAAAGATCCAAAGATCCAGGCTTTGGGGGGGTTTCAAGAATTAGAGCCAGCAGATCCCTAGATTGGAAAGCAACTGCTTTTCTCCTTAATTTTCCTAAAAATGGAGTCTAAAAAGATCAGCACATCTCTTCCCTGGTCTGGCAGTGCAGGAGAGGACCTGTCCGTGCGTGTGTCAGGATCCCTAATCTCCTTTTTTCCCCTTCTCTCGTCCCTACGCGATTGAGTCTCCTTTTCGCTGGGGGAGAGTTGAGGATCTGGCGGAGGTTTTTTTGAGTCCAGAAATCTGCTGTCCAATGAAGAGCGGGCGAAAAAATATTGAGATTCCTGGCACTGCCCCACATTGAAAAGAAAACGAAGAACTGCCCTGTTGGTGCCAAGTCCGAGGGAGGTGACGGGTCCCCGCTAAGCAAAATTGTCCTGAAATTGCTGTTTGCGTGGATTATTTATGAAAAGCAGGAAGCAGCTGGTTTGGTTAACGTTTTACACTGGTTTGGAGGGGATCAACTGGAAGAAAAAAATGAGGAGGGGGGGTGGGGGGAGAGATTGGGTTAAAGGGGAAAAAAGTACACAAACTGCAGGAGGGAACAAGGGTGAAGTAGGCAATTTAAGGGTGGGGCATGTGGCACACAAAATAGAAGAACAAAGTGTTGTTTTTTTTTTAGCAGAAATGTTTTCGTAGAAATAGCAAAAGTTCGTTTCATCAACTATTTACCTCCTGAGGCTGGAGTTCAAATCCCGCTGCTTCTCCCTCCGGAATACAGGTTAAGTCCTCATCTGATGACCACAACCCGTTGTTAAGTGAGCTCTGCCCCATTTTACGACCATCCTTGCCACCGTTGTTAAGCGAATTACCGCAGTTGTTAAGTTAGGAACACGGTTGTTAAGTGAAATTGGCTTTCCCACTGGCATTGCTCATTGGAAGGGGGATCACGTGACCCCAGGACACAGCAACCATCATAAATCCGAGTCAGTTGCCAAGCATGTGAATTTTGATCATGTGACCGTGGGTCGTAAGCGTGAAAATCATTCATAAGCCACTTTTTTCAGTGTAATTGTAACTTCAAATGGTTACTAGGACTACCTTCATTAGCTCCATTACTGTCAGTGGGATAGCAGACAGGCAGTCCTTGAGTTATGACTGTAAAGGAACCTACCCACTATGGTCGTAACTTGTGACACTCATGAAATGGGCAGGTCACATCATTGATCTGGACTCAGGACCTATTTTGTGGTGGTCCATGACTGTTAAGTCAACACTGTGGTAGATTAAAGAGGAAGACGGGGAGCCAAGGAAAACAAGACAACTGTAGCTGGCTCGGGCAAGCGAGCCAAGCTGCATTGTCTTCTGAGCCGAAGCGTCTCCGATTTCACCATTAATATTTGAATATCTTCTCCGGTGATGAAGGCTTACCTTTGGCATGGCTGCAAAATAACGCACCTTGTTTTTCTGGAGGCTGGCTCTTCAGGAAATCTCAAGAGACAGTTAATTAACGCCCGTCAACCCGGGCTTGTAACTTGCCTCTTTGAAGCAATGAAATCAGCAAGCAAAACTTGAACCTGACTCATCGTTGGCAGAGGCTTTTTTTTTATTATTATTTTTTGCATCGTCGGGCTTGCTAATTCGTGCCTGGTCCAGAAATTTTTCCCAGCCCTTTGGGAGTTACAGCCACCAGGGGGCAGCAGCACCTCTCCATCAACTGCTCAGACATGGAGAGAAGGCCACCAGGAAATCACAGGTTCGGTGACTAATGTCAAAAAAAAAAATTCTTTCAGGGCACATCGGTTAGATTTCTAGTATTCAATTTCTAGGCGAGACAGAGAACGGCAAAACACTGTTGCCAATTATTTTTTTGCTGCTGTGAAGACATGTTTGGGCATCTACAGCATACCTGTGATACTGAATTACAGGTAATCCTCGACTTACGACTGCAATTGAGGTTGTTAGGTGGGGTATCACGTGACCAACCTCATTTTATGACATTTTTGCAGTGTCGTGAAGCGAAATCATCGTCTGCAACGAGGTATTTTTGCTGGAAACTGGAAGTAAATATCAATTTCCAGCCCCCCAAAAACCGTCGTTGTTAAGTGAATCTGGCTTCCCCCGTAGACTTTGTTTGGTCAGATGATCACAAAAGGGGATCACATGATCCCCTGGGACACAGCGACCGTCATAAATAGGAACCAATTGCCAAGCGTCCGAATTTTGATCCCATGAACATGGGGGATGCTGGAATGGTCGTAAGTGTGAAAAACGGTCCCAATTCACTTTTTTTCAGTGCCATTGTAACTTCAGTCACTAAATGAGCTGTTATAAGTCAAGGACTTCCTGCATTCATTTATATGTTATTTGCAACTTAGCCGATGCATAATAGTGCTATTATTAGGATGACTGTTACGCTGTTTACCATCTTCTGAGAAAATAGACGCCTCCGGTTATTGCAGGCGTTTGCTTCCAAGTAGGGCTCGTGGGTGCCAGTCCCCAGAAAGCAGCCTGGCGTCATCACCTCGATCTCGCTACCCTACACTTCAAAGTCAGCTTTGCCAACCACCTGGGGGGGGGGAAGAACATGGCTTCGTCCGGGAAGCCAGCAGCCTGCAAAGTCACCGTTCGGCTCCAGCCACGAGGCCTCGCTAATTAAATGTCAACATTTTGCAATGACAAGTTCATTAGTTGCAAGAGGTTGGCATTATAATGGAGAGGCGGGCAGGCAATCAGCCAGCGAGAGGTGGACTCTGCTCTAACCGTCCAGCCAGAACTTTCAGATGCCAGAAAGGGACAGGACAGACGTCCGAGTCGTAAATGGAAATGACCTTTAGCCAAAGACAGGGGCGGCTGCACAGCTCAGACACGGCTGCGTCCCAAAGACAGGGGTGCCCAGGGTTCAAGCAGTGGGTTCTAGGGTGCCACCTTTAAAATCTGGCTGGGGAGAGAAGCTGGCCTTAAAAGAGATGGGGGGTATCTACATCTGTTGCAAAAAAAAAGAAAAAAAGATATTAAAATGGGCATTTGTGTTGTTTGAAAATATGGATGAGAGAGAATGATAGATGAGAGATAGAGAGAGAGATGAAGGAGAGTGAGAGAGATGAATGAGAGAGAGATGAAGGAGAGTGAGAGATATGAATGAATGATAGAGAGAGATGAATGATAGATGATAGATACAGATATGAATGGATGAGAGAGAGATGAATGATAGATAGAGAGATGAATAAATGAATGAGAGACAGAGAGATGAATGAGAGACAGAGAGATGAATGAGTGAGAGAGATGAATGAAAGAGATGAAAGAGAGATAAAAGATAGATGAATGAATAAGAGTGAGACAGATATGAATGATAGAGAGATATTAATAATAATAATAATAATAATAATAATGTTGGAAGGGACTCTGGAGGTCATCTAGTCCAACCCCCTGCTCAGGCAGGAAACCCTATACCAGCTGCCCTTTTTAAAAGCCAAGCGTCAAGTTTCTAGTCCTCAGGGTGAATCAGAAAAATCTAAAGTCATGTGTGAATCTGAGTATTCTAAACGCTGGCAATGGGGGGGGAGGGGTAGAGATTTTAACACATTACGATGAGAGTCCACCCCAGTCGCCCACATTGAGAATGCTCAGACTCCTTCTCCAACCCATCCCAAGGACTAGAAACCTGGCTCTTTACGTTTAAAACCCAGCCACCTAAAAAAAAAACCAAAAAAACATTTCCTTTCCTAAAAGACTTTTTTCTTTGTCCCTTCCTTGAAAACCCTGGTTCGAAACCCGAGGAAGTAAGTACATCATAGATACTTGTTTCTCAGCAAGTTCAAAACTGTCTGAATTTGGCAAGCACATTTTGCTCCGGGCTGTTCTTTCAGCGTTAAACTAAACCCGGCCTTTCACCATCAACATTCCTCACACCGACTCCCCTCCGCCTGGTGGTAGACAAGCTGGCTAGTTCACCGTGTTCTTCTTGCGTGCCGATGTTCCCAGATGTTACAGCGGTACAGAAAGTTCTTCCACTGGTTCCCATCTCGGACTGAGTCAGCTCCCCGACGTGTGCGACGTTCAGAAAAAGTCAAAAGCCCCAAACCTTGTGCCCCGTGATTCTGGGTGCTCTCTGAGCTTGGTGGTTTTGTTGCAGACGTTTCATGACCCAACTAGGGAACATCATCAGTGCTAGAAGGGAGAGAGGTTGGAGGAGGAGGAGGAGGAGGAGGAGGAGGAGGAGGGGGGACTGTGGGGTCCTTGGTGCTCTCTGAGCTTGGTGGTTTTCCTGCAGACGTTTTATGACCCAACTAGGTAACATCATCAGTGCTAGAAGGGATTGGGGTTTGCAGAATGAAAGAGGAGGAGGAGGAGGAGGCGGAGGAGGAGCGTGGGGTCCTTGGTGCTCTCTGAGCTGGGTTATTTTCTTGCATACTTTTAATGACCTAACTAGGTTACATCATCAAAAGGGAGTGTGGGGTTTGCTGCAAACCTCTAGCACTGATGATGTTACCTAGTTGGGTCATGAAACGTCTGCAAGAAAACCACCCAGCTCAGAAAGCACCAAGGACCCCTCATTTCAACCCTGAGCTACGAATATTCTCCTTTATTGGAAAGCAGAACTGGCCAAAGGGCTTACAGGCAGTCCTTGACTTGACTTGTTTAACTTCTGATGGCGCTGAAATAAATGACTGGTCCTCACACATATGACCATTGCAGTGTCCCCATGGTCACGCGATCAAAATTCAGGCGCTTGGCCACCAGCCAGTGTTTCTGAGGATTACAGCTCTTGGGGGGGGGTGTCACACGATCGCCATTTGCGGCCTTCCCAGCCGGCTTCCGACGAGCAAAGTCGACAGGAGAAGCTTGCAAGTGGCTATTACATGCCTCATTTAGCGACCGTGTGATTCACTTAACGATTATTGCAAAAAAGTCATCAAATCGAGTCATATGGTCGTGCAATGCCTGACTTAACGACCGCACTTTAATGATGATTTTTTTTTCCCCGTTCTTGTTGTGATCTAAGTCGAGAATGTGCATTCTCCAAGCTTCGAATCTCCGAAGCAGAGAAAAAAACATCTTACAACCCAGGGGAGTTGATCTATTTTAGAACAAGACCCTCCTGGCTCAACCTGACATTTCTAAATTAAAGTCTAAATTAACTTGATCCTTAATCCGTTGGTCCTGGCAGGAATTCTGTTCTTCCCTTTTATCCTCACCACAACCTTACAAGGTAGGCCAGGCCGACTGGCACGTGCGGTCCAAGAGAACTGAACGAGGATTTGATCCAGGGAGTCTCTTCCATTATTCCTCCTCGGTGTCCAATCGATCCCAGCATCCCCATTCCGGATCAGGTTGGCTGGGGCTGCTGGGAGTTGTAGTCCAGGCAGGCCAAAGCCGAAATCTTCTCCCGTCCCTACTGTATTCAACAGGGGCCTCCCAAGAGTCGTTATATTTCTTGAATCTTTGCTCCTAGCCTACTTTTTTTCTTCCTAACCAGGTTCTGCAAGTTTACAAGGGCTGTGCAGAATGCAATTTTTGGAAAGGCGCCAGCCAGGGGTGGGTAGCTAAGAGTATTTCTCTGATGCTTTGCAGGAGCCATGAGATAATTAACAAATCTTCGAGAAGCAGAAATGGTTAGGGGATATTTCACCCTTATTCATCTCCGAGACCTGCAATTTTTACAGTTTCCAAACCAGGCTAAAAATGATTTTCTTTGCAAACTGTTGATGAGAAACTTTTCATTGGGAAAGAGGTGCCTTGCTAACCCGCAATCCCTTTGCGCCCCCGGGTGGCCACCGTCAATATTTCAGGCAGCAAATCTAATTTAAAGTCTTAATTAATCTTTCAGGTAATTAAATTCAGCATTACCTAAGCTGTTGTCTCTTGCTTCCCACTTCATTAGAGGTGTTTATGCCAAAATCTAAGCAAAGCTTGGGCGTGCCAAAAATTATCCGGACCCCCCCCAAGGGTGAGAGAGCTTCAGATGGAATAAACTTCCTTTATTTCTCTCTGGTGGGGCAGGAAATTTAACAGTCGGTCTTTAGAGCAATGTTTTGATTTGTTTGTTTTTTTATCAGCCACTTTGCAACTCTCAGTTGTTGAACAATAACAGGACAACTCTGCTCCCTTTGCTGCTGAAATGAAGGCGTTGGATAAGCAGAAAAGGGATTTTCGTTGATTTGTTAGATTGTGATGGGATGGGAGGGTATTTGCAGGGAGGAGGAGGGGATGGGGGGGTCCTTGCTCTCTGAGCTTGGTTGTTTCTTGCAGATGTTTCATGACCCAACTAGGTAACATCATCAATGCTAGAAGCAAATGGGATTTCTGGCAAATGTCCCTTCTAGCACTGATGATGTTCCCTAGTTGGGTCATGAAACGTCTGCAAGAAAACAACCAAGCTCAGAGAGCACCAAAGACCCCACAATCATCATCCATCCATCCATCTCCTCCTCCTCCTCCTCCTCCTCCTCCTCCTCCTCCTCCTCCTCCTCCCTTCTAGCACTGATGATGTTCCCTAGTTGGGTCATGAAACGTCTGCAAGAGAGCCCCAAGGACCCCTCAGTTCAACCCTGAGCTACAAAGATTCCTTTTTATCAAAATTCTGCTTAATCTGAGGACCAGGTTCTAACTTAATCCATGTCTCGTTTGTTTGGATTGGATTCTTGAATTAATCCCCCCCTCTTTTTTGGGGGGGGGAGTTTACACAGGGCACTGAACCAGGAATTAAAACCCCAGAGGGGTTGGCAAAACAACCCTTGAAAAGCAAAAAAGTTAAAATTCATAAATCCTAGCCCGTTTGCAAAAGCAATCACTGGGTTAATTACTGACCAGGGTTAAGCGTGTTGGGCAAATTTTTCCGCTCGGTCTGAAGAAGTGTAGAAAAAAAAACGAGATTCCGACAAGCCAAACGATTCCTCATAACAATAGCAACGGGGACTGCCGACATTGCTGTCGTTTATCGATGCAGTTACAGGCAGTCCTCGGTTTATGATGATTGAGCGCAACGTTTCCATGGCCAAGCAAGACAGTTGTTAATGGAGTTTAGTGCCCCATTTTGTGACCTTTCTTGAATCACTGCGGTTGTTAAGTTAGTCACACTAGTTGTGAAGTGAATCTGGTTTCCTCCATTGACTTTGCCCGTCAGGTCACAAAAGGGGATCACGTGATCCCGGGATACTGCAACCGTCACTGTTACCACTAAATAGGTTCATTTTACGACCGTTCAAAGTTACAACAGGACTGAAAAAAATTGACTTAACAACCAATCCACACACCTACAACCTTTGCGGCACCCTCACGGTCATAGGATCAAAATTGGGGCCATTGGCAACAGGATTGTATTCACAACGGTTGCAGCCCCTGGGATCAAGTGATCCCCATTTGTGACTTTCTCCGCAAGTTCTCGCCAAGTAAACTCAATGAGGTGCACCAGATTTACTTAACAATCGTGTGATTTACTTAACAACCGCAGTGGTTTGCTTCACAGTGGAAAAAACAGTTGTAAAACAAGGCACCGCTCAATTAGCGGTGGAAATTTCAGCCTGAATTGTGGCCGTTGCGGGACTTCCCGCCATTGTTTGTGTTTTGCTCTCCAATCCGGTTGTCGGAATGCAGGTCAAGTTTTGCTCGGATATTTGTCCATGGCTTTGCAGCCTCTCAAACTAACCACAGTTCTTGATCTGGGGGTGGGTGGGAATCAAACGGCATTTTCATTCTCTCGTGCAATGAAACGGGAAGGTGGGAATTAGGAGGCCTGCCAATTTTTTTTTTAAAAAAAGGATTGTGCAAGGCAAGATGGTACGTTCACACCTGCTGGCTGTGTAGCTTCTCCCAAAGACGAGAGAGAGAGAGAATTCGCTTGCATCGAACTGGACGGGAACAGATTGAGAAACTCCGTAAGGCAGTTTTTTTGACATATGCCACTCATTGTTCCAACCTTAATTCATCCACCTTATGCTGAAGAGGGAGACAGACCTGGCTGGCAACTAGCTTTTTCCCAGCCAAGCCCCAATAATGGGAAATCTAAATAAATAAGTAATAGAAATAACAGAGTTGGAAGGGAGCTTGGAGGTCATCTAGTCTGACCCCCTGCTCAAGCAGGAGACCCTGTACCATTCCAGACAAATGGTTGCCCAGTGTCTTATTTAAAAACTTCCAGTGATGAAGCATTCACAACTTCTGGTGGCAAGTAGTTCCACCGATTAATTGTTCTCACTGTCAGGAAGTTTCTCCTTAATTCCAGGTTGCTTCTCTCCTGGATTAGTTTCCATCCGTTGCTTCTCGTCCTGCCTTGTTGTGCTTTGGAGAATAGCTTGACCCCCCCCCCTCTTCTCTGTGATAACCCCTCAACTATTTGAACACTGCTATCATGTCAGCCCTAGTCCTTATTACCTTTTCATTAAACTAGACATACCCAATTCTTGAAACCGTTCTTCATCTGTAAACAAATGTAAATAAATCATGGATATACAGGTAGTCCTTGATTTACAACTGTAATAAGAGCCTGGAATAACTGTTGTAGGTGGTGGCAGTCATTAAATGACAGTCATTAAATGAATCACCGCGGGAACGATTTTGTCATTAATTTTTGTGAGGCTTGTGAAACAAATCCATTCTACCCAATGGACATTTTTTTTTTTTTTGCCAGAAACTGTTAAGTAAAGCCAGAAAGAGGCAAAAAATGTTGAAAATCGTAGTCACATGACCGCGGGACACTGCAAACAGCCATAAATATGAGTCAGTTGCCAAGCACTCACAATACAGTTACGCGAGTGGGCTGTCATCAGAACTCTGGAACGGGTCATAAGTACATTTTGGCAGGTCCGTCATAACTTTGAGCCACCGGATGTTAAGCAAGGACTACTTCAACTTGCATTCATCTGTTCAGCGACCTTTCGAAGTTACAACAGCACTGGAAAAAAAATGACTCGGGACTGGTCTTTGCACTTACGACCATTGCAGCATCCCCGTGGTCACGTGATCAAAATTTGGGCACATGGCAGCTGACTCGGGTTTGCGACGGTTGCAGCATCCCAGGGTCACGGGATCACCGTATGCAACCATCCGACACGCAAAGTTGATAGGGGAAGCCTGATTCGCTTAATGACCCCCTGATCCACTTAACAACCGCAGGGGTTTGCTTAAAAACAGTGGCGAAAAAGGCTCATGAAATCGGGCACGAGTCCCTTCGCAACCGCCTGGCTTAGTGACGGATACTCCGCTCCCAAATCTCATCGTAAGTCGAGGACTACCTGTAACCTGCTAAGGGAAGTTAGAACTGGTTTCCGACATGCCCCAGCTTCCTGGTTCCCAGTTAGCTGTTTCTCCTGAACTTCCTAAAGTCATGTTAGGTCCCATCCGAGACACCACTTTGGAATTCAAACGACGTGCCACTTTTATCAGAGAGAATCCAGTTCCTTTATTTTAATTAACAGGGAGGAGGAGAATAATAATAATTACGAATAATATAATAACATTAAAAGTTCACGGGCCTAGTTTGTTCCCCCAAAGTCGAGACAAAACACGGCCGATATGTAAACAAGATCCACACCCTGGCGTTTGGCGTAATGCCTCTTTCCTATAAGATGCCAAAAAATAGCTTCGGTGTCTCGCCACGCCGTGGCAGCAAGCACGTCTTCACACATTCATAATAATATTAAATAAAAATACCCCTTATGATAGTCTTTGGAAACCATTGCACTTGCTAATAATTCATCGTTCTGCCCTGTTCCAAAAAGGCTAGGCCTTCTGGCCAGAAATAATTCAGTCCTATCAGCAATCCAATACTGTATATCTTTAAAAAAAATATATTCATAAAACTCAAAATCCGTAGCTCCCCGACACTGGATAAATAATACATTTTTTGCATTGGTTAAAACGATCATTAAAAAAAACTCACCGGATTCCAGAATGTCAGAGCTTGAATTCTGGGCAGAAAAAAGAGGGGTGCATAATGTCATCCAGACCACCCCCAGTTTTAGCGCCGGTCCTGAGATTATTCTTGTTTCAAAACTAGATTGTCGTTCTCATTCAAACCGAGAAACACGCCGAGGCACTTAAATCTCTAAGGTCAGACTAGTTTGTTTGGGCCCCAAGACACAAAAAAAAATCATAGAGGTACAGAGCGTATGCCATGAGGTCATCTAGTCCAACCCCCTGCTTAATCAGGGCGGGAATCCATTCCACCGCTTCTCGAACTCCAAGCCTCTGGAGTTTCACATACCCAGTGAAAGAGGAAGCCACCATTTCTTGGTGACGGGATCAATTGCTAAACGTTGTTTGTTATTTTTGCCTTGACTTTCAAGGCATCTTCACACCGTTACACAATCTCCTCGGGCTTGGGTGCGAGAAAATAGGCGACGGATTCAGAGAAGGGTATCTAATGATTCTAAATCCAGGATTCAAAGACGCTTTGGTACTACCCTGAGCGAGGATTTAAAGGCAGCCTGGAAACAGCCCCAGGTTTCGTCAATAACTCTTCCTGCATTGGCCAGTGGGAGGGGTCAGTCTAGGTGACCTCTGAGAATAATCCCACCCACCCCCATCCACCCAAGGCTTGGTCTGCCACGCAGCCAAGATAGATCCTTTCTAACGTTCAAAGCTACCGTCATCCTACCCGGAAGTCCGATCCAGATTAAAAAAAATAATAATCATTTCCCAGTGCTTCATGAAAGATTCACGGAGAATTTTTCTCGGTGTCTCTTTTCCCAGGGCCGGATTCAAAATACCGGATCTGGCGGTCGGTCCAGCAGCCAAACTTGGCCCTCGGGTCCTTGGTCCGGGTCAAGGGAGAAGGGCGGTCTTCTCAAGTTCAAAGGAGCACCAGCCACCCCCCCCCCCAAAAGGGGGGCAGGATGCTTAGGAACACGGACCAGCGCCCTGCAGGATGCTCGCCGGGCCCAGGATGCCGTGAAGGGCGGTGGTGGTTACTTTGCGCGAGGCTTTGCGGAGTAGCGGGCTGTCGGGGTGCTGCTCCTGCAGGTGACGTAGGTGCGCTTCCTGGCTGTCGGCCGTCGATCCACAATCCTCGCAGACGTAAAGTTTAGCCCGGCGCTCCTTGTAGGCGTAACTCTGCTGCACCCCGTGGATTTTTTTGAGGTGGGACTCCAGAGAACAGCGCTGGGTGAAAGCCTTGTCGCACAGCTCACACTTGTAGGGACGCACACCTGGAGGCGAGAAGAGGATGAGGATGAGCAAGGGAGGAGGAGGAGGAGGTTGAGCAAGGGAGGAGGAGGAGGAGCAAGGGAAGTAGAGCAGGAGGAGGAAGAGGAGGGGGAGGGGAGGAGGAGGGAAGGGGGAGGAGGAGGAGGGAAGGAGGAAGAGAGGAGGAGGAGGAGGAGGGACCCAGAGTGAGCAGGGGCTGGACTAGAAGACCTCCAAGGTCCCTTCCAGCTCTACTCTGATTCTGAGTCCAGACAACCCTCTACACCTGTCTTAGTGCCCTGGGCTACAGGTAGTGGTCAGCTTACAACCACAGCGTGACTAGAATTTCTGTTGTTAAGCGAGGCCGTTGAACCAGATTTTATGAGTTTTCTTTTGGCCACAGTCACTAAGCGAATCGCCCCTGGTCATTAAGTGGACCGTCTGGTTGGGAAGGGAGCCCAGATTCCTCCCGGAGGAGAGAATATTAGGCATGTTCGCACCTTCAGACTTACAACAGTTCCTTTAGTTAGTGAGCGTACGAAGTGACATCGGCCCTGGAAAAGAGTGACCGGTGCCGTTTTTTCACACAACCGTTGCAACCTCCCCAGGGTTACGTGATCTACATTCAGATGCTTGGCAACTGATTCATACTTATGACGGCTGTGGCATCCCCAAGGGTAATGTGATCAAAATTCAGGTAATTGGCAACTGACTCACATTTATGATGGTTTTGGAATGTCCCGGGGTCATGCGATCCACTTTTACGACCTTCTGACCAGCAAAGTCAATGGGGAAGCCAGATTCACTTAACAACCGTGATACTAACTTAAAAACTACAATGATTCACTTTAAGAACAGCGGCAAGAAAGTTCGTAAAATAGGGTGGAATAGAAAATAGAAAAGAATAGAAAAGAATGGAATAAGAACGGAATAGAATACAATGGAATAGAATAGAACAAAAATATAGACTAGAATGGAATGGAACAGAAATAAGAGAATAAAATAAGAATAGAATAGAATAGAATAGAATAGAATAATAATAATAACAATAACAATAATAATAGAATAGAATAGAATTATGGAATGGAATAGAAATAATAGAATAGAATAATGTTATAGAAGAATAGAATAGAATAGAATAGAATAGAATAGAATAGAATAGAATAGAATAGAATAGAATAGAATAATAGAATAGAATAGCATAGCATAGCTTAGCGTAGCATAGAATAGAATGGAATAGAACAGAAATATAGAATAGAATGGAATGGAATAGAAATTAGAATAGAATAGAAATATGAATAGAATAATGGAAATATGAATAGAATAGAAATATGAATAGAGTAGAATAGAGTAGAGTAAAGTAGAGTAGAATAGAATAGAATAGAATAGAATGGAATAGAATAGAATAGAATAGAATAGAATAGAATAGAATAGAATAGAATAGAATAGAATAGACTTATTGGCCAGGTGTGATTGGACCCACAAGGAATTTGACACATAAGGAAACCCACTGAACAACTTTCTTTCTTAACAACAGAAATATTGGGCTCAGTTGTGGTCGTAACGTGAGGACCACCTGCAGAACAGAGGATTGATCCTGCGGGCGCAACCACTGTTTCTCCTTTTTTGATCTACCGGGGACACATCCTTGCTGTTAACACCTATATTTTGGGCATCGTACGCCAAGGACAGCTGGGGAGGGGGGAACAATCTCCCCCTCCCCCATGCATCCATGGATCTGGGTCCAAGAAAGACCCCGAGTTATAGACCTGCTTTTTTTTTACGGGACTATCATCCCCAGCCGGATCTGAAACGCCATTCCCGGCACCGATTCTCAGATCGATCGATCTCAGCCCCACGGGAACAAAAGCGCAGTGCAACCGGCCGTCCAGCGTGAAACTCACCTGTGTGCGTCCGAACGTGTCTCTTGAGGTCAAAGGTGTCATTAAATCCCTTGTTGCAGTAGGGGCAGAGGTGACGTTTGATCTCGCTGTGGCATTTCAGGTGGCGGTTGAGCATGCGCTGGTAGGAGAAGGCTTTCTGGCAAAACGGACAGGAAAATTGCTCCACGGGACCGTCGGCCGGGGTCACCTGTGGAGGGCAGGCGGGCGGGCAAGAGAAACAGTTTCCGTATGAGCTCTGCCTGGACTGGCCACATCCTAACCCGCCATTCAGCCCCGAGAGGTGCTCCTCCCCTCTCAGAGCGAAGTTAAGTTCCTAGTCCTCCTGGCTGCTCAGTGGCCAGATTTGGGCAGCGCCCATCTAGTTGGACCCGATGGCACTTCCAACTGGTGGGATTTTCAAAATGGGAGACCCTAACTAAGCCTTCCCAACCCCATCCTTTGGCAGCTGCAGTGCGTCCGAACTCCCATTTGGAAATAGCCCGTCCCGTTTCGAAAGTCCTTGGCCGATGACCGCTTCATTTAGTGACCAAAGTCGCGACAGAGCCGAAAAAAGCGACTTTTATGACCGCTTTCCCACACAAAGCAGGAAAAGGCCCCCTCCATTAAAAAAAACAACAACAAAAACCCAAAATCTCCTGTCCAATCTGGGACATTTCTTAGGCGATAAAAATGAAGGTGCCCCGGAAACTAGACAGGCACCGATGTTTTGCACCCGGCCACTACCATTTTGTGAGTGCGCCCGCAACAATCGCCCACCCATCCCAGGCCCCCTGCCCGTTATCTGTACCCCACACCCCTGATTTAATCAAGCTCAGCCCAGGGGTGGCTTCGACACAATCACACCTTACCCCTTCGTTATTGTTATTTGCTTCCGGGGAGCCCCACTAAAGCCCACGAGAAACTGGGGCACAAATGGCCAGTCGGGTTATTATACCTTGACCGTGGAGGGGGAGAAGTCAGACTCGGTCTCCTGCCGTCCCCCACTGGAGACGTGGACTGTGCCGTGGGGCTGAGCTGCCGTGTAGACGGAGTTGCGAAGGGTCATGTCCAGCGGCATCGGGAATGAGGGCTGCTCGGCCACCGAGGGCTCGGGGTCTTTCCAGAGAGCATATCCACCTAGGGAGACTGGAGAAAAGAAGATTTATTTTTAAAAAGGGGGTTCCTAGAGGTCCTATAGACTACAAGTACAGGGAGACTGGAGAAAAGAAGATTTTTTAAAAGGGGGGGGTTCCTAGAGGTCCTGTAGACTACAGGTACAGGGAGACTGGAGAAAAGAAGATTTATTTTTAAAAAAGGGGGTTCCTAGAGGTCCAATAGACTACAGGTACAGGGAGAGTGGAGAAAAGAATTTTTTTTTAAAAAGGGGGGATGGGGTTCCTATATGTCCTATAGACTACAGGTACAGGGAGACTGAAGAACAGAAAAGGTTTTTTTTTAAAAGAGGGGGGTTCCTAGAGGTCCTATAGACTACAAGTACAGGGAGACTGGAGAAGAGAAGATTTTTTTAAAAGGGGGGATGGGGTTCCTAGAGGTCCTATAGACTACAGGTAATCCTGAACTTACAACAGTTGATTTAGTGACCGTTCGAAGCTACAACAGCACTGAAAAAAGTGACCTAAGCCCCTTTTTCACACTTAACGGCCGTTGCCAGGGTTACGTGGTCAAAATTCGGGTGATTGGCAATGAATTCATGTTTACGACGGGTGCCGTGTCTGTGTGACCCCCTTTTGGGATCTTCTGACAAGCCAAGTCAAGGGGGGATCTAAACTCACTTAATAACCATGTTACTAACTGAACACCTGAAATGATTCACTTAAAGACTGTGGTAAGAAAGGTGGTAAACTGAGGCAAAATTCACTTAACAACGCAATTTTGGGCTCCACTGTGCTCGTAAGTCGAGGACTTCCTGTAACCCTCTTGCCGGATGCAGGAAAATAGAACCAGGATTTGTGGCTTGTGAGAGATTTCAGAACTTTTGCAGGGTGGCCATACAGCACAGTTCTGGCTGTGTTCACCCCTGATACTAAGCCAGGATTAAGCTGCAATGAAACAGTTGCTGGATTGAACGGAACACCCAGCAAAACCTTTGCTTTAATTCAAAGCCCATCTCTCTAATTTGTCATTGGTTTAAATTTCATCCAGCTTTCTGGAGTCCAAAGTGCCCTAATTAGCAAGGCTTACAGCGAGGAGTCCAAGACAATGCCTGCATTCACACAATAGGCTGAATCACAAAGAACCCAGCCGCTGCATGCTACCGGATCTCATTGTCCACAGTTTTTCCCCAAATCCTTAGCTGCTGTCTTTCTGGACAGTTGGTGGTTCTCCTCTGGACAGGAGAGGCCCTGTTCCAGATAATATCCGAGCAGAGCAAAATTCAGTGGCACCGCTTGGTAATCAGCGCCACCTTTCCTGACTCGGGGGAAAAAAAAAACAGGGATTCTAGGAACACTTATCAAAAGCCTCATTCGGGGTTTATTTCCCCCAGGCCTTTCACAACTGGTTCACCTCCAGATACCTGAGGAAACCAGCCCAGGTTGCAAATAAAAGGAGGCAGACGCCAAACACAGCCTCTGCTGAGCACAAGGGCAGTTTCGCAAGGATGGCCAGGATGCTAGTCCTCATGACGGCAACGGTTGGAACAAACACGGGGTTCACTCATCCCCTCCCCGCCCCCTGAGCAAACCCGTCCCCTCCTTCGGCGTCCCTCTATCGGGACCCAAGGCCAGCTGCAATAGCAGTAAACAGCCTGGAACCGGTTCACCGGGATGTTATTGGAAAGCAGGGCCCAACCCTGGGAGTTAATTAAGCGTTTCCGGGGCTGGCGCCACATTTTAAGAGCCCATTGCCTGCCTCCGAAAAGGTGGAGTGGGCGGCTGCGTGTCGCAATTGCCCCGAAGTGCATGCAAAGAACAGGACAAAGGCTGGCCCATTCTTTACAACTCCGTTGTATGAAGGGGAGGGGGGGGGAATCAACTCAGCCTAAGGACAGGTAGTCCTTGCTTTACAACAGTACGTTTAGTGACCGTTCAAAGGAAAAATGTTTAGGATAGGATAGGATAGAATAGGATTAGCTGGAAGGGAACTTGGAGGTCTTCCAGTCCAGCCCCCTGCTCAAGCAGGAGAACCTATACCGTCTCAGACAGGTGAATGTCGAATAAAAGAGAAGAGAAGAGAGAAGAGAGAATATAAAATAGAATAATGAAGAATGGAATGGAATGGAAGAATGAAGAATAGAATGGAATGGAATGGAATAGAGCTGGAAGGGACCTTGGAGGTCTTCTAGTCCAGCCCCCTGCTCAAGCAGGAGAACCTATACCGTCTCAGACAGGTGAATGTCGAATAAAAAAGAGAAGAGAAGAGAAGAGAATATAGAATATAAAATAGAATAATGAAGAATGGAATGGAATGGAAGAATGAAGAATAGAATGGAATGGAATGGAATAGAGCTGGAAGGGACCTTGGAGGTCTTCTAGTCCAGCCCCCTACTCAAGCAGGAAAACCTATACCATCTCAGACAGGTGAATGTCTAATTCTAACTGGTTTTCCAATCTAGACAAAAAAACAAAATAAAACAAAACCATTCCACAATCAATCCGCATTCTTTGCCCCAAATTAGTTTTCTGTTTCGCTTTCCTTTAGATGGAACAGCCCGAAGTGAACTGGCAAGGCCCAGGCCTGTCAATTTTGTCAGCAGTTTTATTTGCCTTTTTAAGTTCGCTTTTTTAATTAAAATCAAAACGAATAGGCAACGTTTTGTGCCAAAAAATAAAATAAAAATAAAATAAAATAACTGCATTCCCAGCAAAGAACTGAAGAAATACCAGCTTTCTATCAAAGGCGGCTGGGAAGATTAATAGGAGAAACTGGACAGAAGAACTGTTTTGCTCGTCCTGCAGATAATAATCACACCTGGAGTTCTCCGGCGAGTCCCCAACTTAGGACCACATTTGGCGCGCAAAATTTCCAGTGCTAACCGGTCGTTAAGTGAGTTTTGCCCCATTTTACAGCCTTCCTGTGTTGTTAAGTGAATCCAACTTCTCCATTGACTTTGCTTGTCAGCAGGTCGCAAAAGGGGATCACGTGACCCCAGCCGCTGCGACCGTCATAACTGTGAGTCAATTGCCAAATGTCTGAATTTTAATCACATGACCCTGGGGAGGTTGCAACGGTCGTAAGTGTGAAAAATGGTCCTAAGTCCTTTTTCTTTCAGCGCCGTTGTAACTTCGAACGGTCACTAAATGAAAAGTCGTATGTCAAGGACTCCCTGTATTCCATCATATTTCCTAGCTTTTCTGGGGGGAAAAGAGAGATTGATCCACAGATCTTTCACTGGAGTTAGCAAGTGGATGTTTTGCCAACCTTTTGAAATGGAAATCAATAAATACAAATAAATACATTTTGGATTTCAAATCCAAGCGTCCCTAGTCAGCCCGGCCAGGGACGAGAAAGACAGAAACCAGAATCCAAAAATTGGAAATGACAGAAGCTCTTTGTGTCCGGCACTCCAACCTTGGAGGTTTCTAAGAAGAGACTGAACAAACATTAGTCCCGAATGACTTAGGGGTTGGACTAGAAGACCTCTGAGGTCCCTTCCAGAAAGAGAGTGGATAAAATGGCATAGGGTCTCCTGCTTGAGCAGGGGGCTGGACTAGAAGACCACCAAGGTCCCTTCCGACTCTGCTATTCTGTTCTGTGCTTCACCTTGAAGAGTACTACCTATGGAAGCCAACATTATTGTAACTGCAGGTAGCTGTTGACGTTTGTTGAACGACCGTTCAAAATGACGACAGCGCTGGGGGGAAAAAAAACCGACAACTGGTCCTCGCATGGATGACCGTCGCAGCCTCCCTGTGCTCACACCAGCAACACTCGAAGTGCCTGGCACAACTGGCAGGTATTTATGATTCGTTGCATCGTCCTGGGCTCACCTTGTCGCCTTTTGCAACCTTGCAGAAAAAAATGGGCGTAAAATCCATCGTGGCTCACTTAAAAACCACATGGCTGTGCGACCATTGTGGCCGTACGCCGAGGACTAACTGAGCTAGTCCTCAATTTACAACAGTTCACTTCGTGACCGTTCACAGTTACAAGGGCGCTGAAAAAAGGGACTTAGGACCGTTTTTCACACTTAACTTGTTGCGCCATCCCCAGGGCCATGTGATCAACATCCAGAGACTTGGCAACTGACTCGTATTTCTGACGGTTGCAGCATCCCCGGGGTCAGGTGATCCCCTCTTGCGACCTTCCGGCAAGCAGTCAATGGGGAAAGCCGTATTCACTTAACAACCGTGTGACTAAGTTAACGGTTGCCGTGATTCACTGAACAACGGGGGCAAAAAAGGACGTCAAATGTGGCAAAACTCACTTAACAAGTGTTTCATTTAGCAACAGGAATTTTAGCTCAGTTGTGAGACTTACAGAAGTACCTGTATTTGCCTTGCCTGATCAACTCAGTTTTCACTTGAACTTCACACCTTTGTGTGTGGGTGGGTGGGTGTGGGTGTGTTTTTGTCCCTCCCTCCCTCTCTCTCTGTCTCCCTCTCTCCTCTCTCTCCCTTTCTCTCTCCCTCCCTCTCTCCCTTCTCTCTGTCTCTCTCCCTCCCTCTCCCCCTCTCTCCCGCCATCTCTCCCTCTCTCCTGTCTTTCTCTCCTCTCTCCTGTCTTCTCTCTCCTTCCCTCTCTCTCCCATCCCTCCCCCTTCTCTCTCTCCTCTCTCTTCCCTCTTTTCTCTCCCCCTCTTCTCTCCCTCTCTATTCCTCTCCCTCCCTCTCTCTTCTCCCTCTCTCTGCCCAACCTACCTACCTCTCTCCCTCCCTTTTCTCCCTCTCTTTCTCTGCCCAGCCTACCTCCGTTCCTCTCTCCCCCTCTCTTCTCTCTCTCCCTCTCTCTCTCCCTCCCTCTGCCCAGCCTACCTCGCAGGGCTGTTTGTAGGATGCCAGAAGCCAAGAAAGGGAAAGAGTACAAGACTTAAGGGCAAGATTTAAATCTAAAATTGTTATCGTTGTCATTGCCCTTCTCAAAAGAGGTGCCTCGGTGTGCCAGCTAACTGGTACGTTAGGGTGCATCGTTTTGCATTTTGGATCATTCTGGGAATGCACCTCTCGACTCACAAACCTGGCATCTATGGCAGAAACCTGCAGCCAGCTGCCAGCGTGATTAATTAGATGATAATTACAGAGTCCTAAGCTGAAGTCAGTGCTAATGTACAACAGGCTCTACCCCAAACGTTATCAACCTCTCCTAAAAACCACATCTAGATCCTTCCGATGGTCTTCTTCCGTAACCCCACTGCCGGCGGGAAATTCTGTATTTAGGGATGGTTAAAAAAATAAATAAATAAACGCCATTGGCAAAAAGTAAAGAAGCCAGAAAGCCATTAGGTTCTCCTCGGTCAGAAGCAAACAACAAGGATCCGTCAAAGTTGCCAGATTCCAGATTATTATTATTTTTTTGGTAATGTTTACTTTTTTATTTGTATCCCGCTTTTTATTATGTTTATTATGTATAACTCAAGGCGGGAAAGGTATCCAAACCAACGGTCCTCCTCTTATTTTCCCCACGACAGCCTTGCAAGGTAGGGTGAGCTGAGACAGTGAGATTGGCCCAAAGTCACCCAGCTGGCTTTAATGCCTAAGAGAAGACTAGAACTCACCGTCTCCTAGTGATTGGCCCAAAGTCACCTAGCCGGCTTTCATAACTAAGATTGGACTAGAACTCACCATCTCCTGGTGATTGGCCCAAAGTCACCCCGCGTTTCATGGCTAAAATGGGAGTTGAACTCATCAACTCCTATTGAAAATGTCTAGGCACCCCGTCCTTGGATCACTTCCAAAGGTTTAAGACTTCAGCTCCCAGAATTCTCCAGCTCGCCAAGCCATTTGCTAAAAATTCCGGGGGCTGCCAAGCATTCTGGGCACGGAAGGGACCCCGGATTGCACCTGGCTAGCTGGCAGTTCCAAAGATAGGAGGAGACGTGATGGGTAAACAAGCTATGCCTCAGCCTGGTCAGCAAATCCAGCCAGCCACAATTCATACGCTAAACCAGTTAAACCTGGCCTGAGCCACACACCCATCATGAGGCTGCAGTCACACCGAAGAAAGGAAGGAACCGTTTCCCACAATCAGCTATCCTCTGAGCTAACCCAGAGGACTGGCTTTCAACCAGCCAGTCCATCACAACCCCCCCCCACACCCCCACCCCTTTTAAACGGGACTCTTAACTCTGCATGTAGCTTAATCTGGGTTAAATGCTTTTATTTGTTATCCTTCTAGACCAGGGCTAGGCAACCTTGGCTCTTTTATGACTGGTGGACTTCAACTCCCAGAATTCCTGAGCCAGCATGGCTCAGCTTGGAAACCTCTCCCTTTCCCCTCAGTGTGGCTGGCTTAGGAATTCTGGGAGTTGAAGTCCATCAGTCATAAAAGAGCCAAGGTTGCCTACCCCTGTTCTAGACCTTTCTCAGCGAATTTTCCAGTGGCTATCACTGGAGGTTTTTTAAAGAAAGAGACTAGACAGCCATTTGTCCAGAATAATAATGGTTGAGTAGGGAGCTGGACTAGAAGGCCTCTAAGGTCCCTTCCAATCTTCTATGAGAGCTCTTGGGTGTTCTCTGTGTTTGCTTGTTTTCTTGCAGACCTTTCGTGGCCCAACTAGGAAATGTTATCAGCACTAGAAGGGACTGCATATAAACAAAGCATGCCCCATTCTCTTGTAGCACTGATGACGTTCCCTAGTTGAGTCGTGAAACGTCCGTAAGAAAACAACGCAGCTCAGAGGGGGATCAAGGACCCCACAATCCTCCTTCTCCTTTCCACGACTCCCTTCCTTTCTTGATGTTACCCATTTGGTGTGATGAAACATCTGCAAGAAAACACGCAAGTTCAGAGAGCACCAAGGATCCCTCATGTCAACCCCGGCCTACAAAAGTTCGTGGGTGCTCCATCACTGGAGGTTTTTAAGAAGCGTCCGGACATCCACTTGTCTGAAATGGTACATAAGTTCTCCTGTCTGACCAGAGGGTTGGACTAGAAGACCTCCAAGGTCCCTTCCAGCACGATTCTATTCTAATTCATTCAATATTCTTTTTTTATTGCTACTTGTTATTCTAGCTGTCGGCCTTATTATTAAGAATGAAAACGTTACACAGACCAAACAGTTTCTCCCCCCGCCCCTTTAAACCATCTCCAGCATCCAGAAAGAGCAAAGTTCGCCTTGTTTGACCCTGATCCTCACTTTCAACTTCCCATCCTAACTTATGCCAGGAAATGAAAGAAAAAAAAGAGAAAAAGAAAAAGAAAAAAGAGAGAAGAAGAAGAAAGAAAAAGAAAGAGACGGAGGGAGGGAGAAAAGGAAGGAAGGAAAGAGAAAAAGAGAAAGAAAGAAAGAGAAAGAAAGAAAGAAAAAGAAAAAGAGACGGAGGGAGAGAGAAAGAAAAGGAAGGAAGAAGAAAGAAAGAAAGAAAGAAAGAAAGAAAGAAAGAAAGAAAGAAAGAAAGAAAGAAAGAAAGAAAGAGAAAAGGGAGGAAGGAAAGAAGGAGGAAGAAAAAGAAGGAAGGAAAGAGAAAGAAAGGAAAAGAAAGCGGGCCCTCCCCTTTTTCCAGAGCCCCCTCTCTCCCTCTCCTCTCTCTCTCTCTCTCTCTCCCTCTCTCCTTCCTTTCTTTTTATTTCTTTTTTTTTTTTCTCTTCCCATTTGCGCCTCCGGCCTCCCCAACTCAACGCACCACTAAATTGCCGGCGCGTTCAAACATTCCACAAGGCGGGGTAGGCTGCGCTTAACTGCGCTTCCCAGGCCGGGGGGGGGGGGACGGGAGGAGGGGAGAGACAATGGGATCGCTGGGCAGGTGTGATTAGCAGTTTTTCAACCTCGCCCCCACCCCTTTCCCACTTCCCCCCGCCCCCCACCCCAAAACACCCAGGAGCCCAGAATTCCTCTCTCGAGCGATGCCTCTGATAACGGACTTTTCCTAGCCATCGCCCCCCCCCCTCCCGTCTTGAAAATAAGGTGGAGCGTGTAGGAGCCTCGGGCTATGGAGGGAAACGACCCAGGCCCGAGAAAGGAGCCCCTACTCACCCCCCCTCGGCCTCTTCCCCATTTTCTCCCCCCCCTTCCCCGCCCCCGTAGGGCCCAATCCACTGTGGGACATCCGCTTTACTCGTTTAATGGTTTTCAGACGCGTTTTCCCAACACGGATCGAACCCAATTCTTTTTATTTCAAGGCGCAAAAACCCAGGATGAAGACCCCGCTCCGTCCCCAAGCGCGAGGTCGTTGTGTTATTGTTAACGACAACAACAACAACAATGGTTCCAAATCCAGACCCGTTGCCACTTTTCCTGCCTTTCTTTCTCCAGCCCCCGCCCGCCTGGAGGCTCACCTGGCACGTAAATCTCTCCTCGTTCTTCGTCGGGAAGCTCGCTCCAGTTTCTCCGGCCCGAAACGCACGTTTTTTTCACCAGGAAAGCTCTGGGCATTTTGGGTGCTCGAGGTCAGCTAGTCTGGCCGACGTTGAACTTCCCAAATTTGCTCCCTCGCCAGGGCGGGGGAAGGAGGAGGAAGAGGAGGAGGAGAAGAAGAGAAAACGAAACAGGAAAGAAAGAGAGGGGAAAGAAGAAGAAAGAAAGAAAGAAAGAAAGAAAGAAAGAAAGAAAGAAAGAAAGAAAGAAAGAAAGAAAGAAAGAAAGAAAGAAAGAAAGAAAGAAAGAAAGAAAGAAAGAAAGAAAGAAAAAGGGCCGATAATCAATCCAAACCACACGCCAGTTCCGAATCGTCCATAAGGGATCCGGCCGTTCTGTGCTCCTTGCGCCCGATGGAACGTTGAGCCGCGCTGGAACGAACCTTGGCGCCCCGAACGTTCGATCCTTGGAACGTTCGTTCTGGGCGAACGTTCCAAAACTTTCTCCCGGTCAGTTTTCCCTGGCGCGCGGAGCTCAAACTTGGACCAAGGTTCAAAGGAAGGGGAAGGCGGGTCGGGGGGGGAAGAAGGAAGAAAAGAAGGAAGAAAAGAAGGAAGGAAGGGAACGGGAGGAGCGGCCACCAGGTGAGCAACAGGCGAGGCGCCGATTTTTTTCCCCCCCTTCCTCCTCCTCTCTCGCTTCGCTTTCCTCGCGTTACACTCCCGGCGCGCGCTGGCTGCGCTTTGAAGCGGTGCTCTTGCACCGGCTCCCTCCAAAATTAAAGGGAACAGTCCTATATTATCATCATCATCATCATCATCATCATCATCATTTTAAAAGAGCCAGGAAGACAGTCAACCTCGTCCCTCCGGCCCAGCTCCTTAATTTGATCTGCTGTCGGGAGGCGTGGTGCGGATGGCGCATGCGTTTGGAAATAACGGTGTCTTTACTTCGCCTTTACCTGCTTGCTAAACCGGTTTGGGAAGGTCGGCGGTGGGAGGGGGGGAGGAGAAGGAGGAGGAGGAGGAGGAGGAGGAGATGGCAGTTTTGACACCCACGACTTCTGAATCGGCTCCTGTTTTCCCCTCCGGAAAACGGGCACACCCCAGCTCTGGGGAAACCTAGGAAAATATGGATATTAGGAGACCTCTAGATACAGATAATTCTCGACTTACAACCGTTTTGTTTAGTGAGTGTCCAAAGTTACAACGGCATTGGGAAAGAAAGCGACTTATGACCGTTTTTCACACACAATGACTGTTGCAACATCCCCACGGTCACGTGATCAAAATTCAGCCCCCTGGCAACTGACTCATATTTATGACGGTCGCAGCGTTCTGGGGTCACCTGATCCCCTTTTTACGACCTTCGGACCAGCAAAGTCAACGGGGTAGCTGGATTCACTTAACAACGGGGTGACTCACTGAACCACTGCAATAACCTTTGTAGCACCCCCATGATCGCGTGATCAAAACTCAAGAGGCTCGGCAGCGGACTCGTGCTTACGACCGTCGCTGTGTCTCCAAGGTCAGGCGATCCCCTTGGGCCATCTTCCGACCAGCCAAATCAACGGGGAAGCCAGCTTCGCTCTCAACGGCCATGATAACTAAGTTAAGTGTAGGGATTCGTTTAACGGCGGTGTGCAAGAAAAGTCGTAAAGCGGAGCAAAGCTTCCTGAACAAATGTTTCACTTTAACGACTTAAATTTGGGGCTCAGCTGCGACTGTAAAATCGAGGACTGCCTATATTTGTTTATTTTGCTTCCCGTCCCTCCCCCCCCCCCGTCTTTCCAGGTCTAATTAATTAATTAATTGATCTTAGTTCCGGGGTCTAACTAACAAGAGAGAAATGGTGGGATCTGGATCAGGCCTTCCATATCATCCTTAAGGAAGAACATATAAGGAACTAAATCCATTTAAAAAGGCGCATTCTTTGAAACTACGGAAGAAAAAAGAAAGGGGTGGGCAGCTTTGATTTTTGTGCCCTCCCCTCACTGCCCGGAATGGGAGACTTAGTAAACAGGGCAAACAAAGCTTTAGCAAACAAGGGGGAAGGGGCCAGCAGATAGACAATTGGTGCCGATCCCACCCTGGTGGTGGTGGGGGGGCGGCTGGCCCTGCCCCAACAGCCTTCATAAAGTTGCCTTGAAGAGAGAAAATTGGATATAGGGAATAAATCACCCCCACCCCCACACCGTTTATCTATGGACCCTCCCCCTGGATTTAAGGGGGGGGTAGATTACTCTGATTGGATTGCTCACCTCCAGGGCTGAATATACAATTGAGAAAAACAAAAGTAAAGGCATTAAAAATGTGAGAGAATGAAGGGGGAAAAAACTCCTCCATCTGGTTTTTCAGTAGGAGCCTTTTGGTTCCCTAACCTGCAAACTCTGATGGCCATTGTCAAGCTGATGTGTGAGTGAGTGTGTTGTGTTCGTTCTTCCGCCTTGGCGTTTACAATCTTCTTTTGCAAACTTTTGGGATCTAAAATCCAAAAGGATCAGAGACGTTGACGTAAAGTCAAAGAGTGAAGCCTTCAGAATCAGCGAGATAAAACTTTCAATTTTTCTCTTTGTTTCCTAGAGGTTTTGGGCTGTGCCAGTGCCAAATTGTGGTTTGTTGAATCGAGTTGACTTGGACAAGCCATCGCTGGCCAGGTATGGGTTTGCACAACTAGATTTGCTGGCTGGGTCGTGGGAACCGCTCCGATGATTGGTAAACCATGGTTAATCTTGTGTCTGCTAACCGGGGTTTAGTGTCTGCTATGGACCCGGTCAGAACACAAACCAAATGGAAGAAGCAAATGTTTTAAGAGCACTAAATCCAGAAATAGTTTAAGACCATTAAATCCAGAATTGAAGGCCTTGTCATTTCCTTGGATTGGGTCATGGGTTGGGTTCACATAACCAATAAACCCAAATTCATCAAACAAGCCTCCGTTCAGTTACCTTCGGGTTGGAGGCCACCATCCCAGCAATTCTTTGCTACTATTTTTTGCAAATAACGCAAAAAATGTTCCCCCGCTGCTCCCTCAGCCTGGCCATGCGTGCATGCGCGTGTCTCGCTGGCGTATTCAGAAGCCTTTCTCATCCCTTTGAATAGCTGGACTGATTTTTTTAGAAAAGTGAGTTTAGTTTTCTTCTTTTTTTCTTTTCCCTCGCTGCGTTTTTTTTTTAGGCTTCACTCCTGCTGCCGGGGGTTGAGGTGTGTGGCTGGCTGCTTGGAGGTGAGCCTTTGGGTCAAGTCAGCCCCAGGTGTGCGTGCGCATGTGTGTGTGTATCTGTGTGTGTTTAGTGGGGCCTCCCAGGAGAAGGAGCAAACTCTGCAAAGTGCCCGAGGGAAAGGGGTGGAGGGACCACGGAAGGAGAAAGGTGTGTCAGGACGTCTTCTCCTTGTGGCCCCCGGTTCCGGAGGCGGCTGGCGGAGAGTATCCCAGGTGTAAGTCAGCTGGGCGGGTTTAAAAAAAAAAAATTGAGGTAGCCTTTCCAGTCTGATGCGTGGATTTGGGAGCCCTGGTGCCTTTGAAATGCTGTTTCTTGCACACTCAACTCACACACCTAGGCGTGGCCCTCAGATTCCTCTCTTTCCTAAGGATACACAGATCTTTGTCATTTTTTTCAGAAGTACACACAACCGCTTTAAATTCCCCACCCTCCCTCCCACCAGTTTTCGTTCACTTACTCACAGCCTGGGTTAACGTATTTTTTTTCTGGCAGTTTGGGAAACAGGGGAATAGAATAGAATAGCATAGAATAGAATAGAATAGAATAGAATAGAATAGAATAGAATAGAATAGAATAGAACTTTAATAATAGTAATAGAAGAGAATCTTTGTAGCTCAGGGTTCAACTATGGGGTCCTTGGTGCTTTCTGAGTTTGGTGGTTTTCTTGCAGATGTTTTATGACCTAGCTAGGCAACATCATCAGTGCTAGAAGGGACATTTGCAACAATCCCCCCCTCCCTTCTACCACTGAAGATGTTACCTAGTTGGGTCATGAAACGTCTACAAGAAAATCACCCAGCTCAGAGAGCACCAAGAATCCCACCGTCCTTTCCCTCATTCTCTTCTCCTTCTCTTGAAATTCCTCTCCCTTCTAGCACTGATGATGTTACCTAGTTGGGTCATGAAACATCTGCAAGGAAATTACCATGCTCAGAGAGCACTAAGGACCCCACAGTTCTCCTTCTCTATTTCTATTCTATTCTATTCTATTCTATTCTTTTCTATTCTATTTATATTCTCTTATTCTATTCTATATTCTATTCTTTATATTCTCTAATTCTATTCTATTCTATTCTTCTATTCTTTTCTATTCTATTTATATTCTCTTATTCTATTCTATATTCTATTCTTTATATTCTCTAATTCTATTCTATTCTATTCTATTCGGTTAATGTGCTGTAGGCATCGTTGTACAGACTGGAGACTCAGGTGCACCCTAGACTCTGTTAGCTGGCATTTTGAAGAGTTAATTTGCAGCTGGCCTGCCTGAACACCCCATGCACCACAATGCAAAAAAGAGGTTGTGACTCTAGAATGTGTGCAGAGCAGAACAACAAAGATAATCAGGACTCTGGAGGCTAACTCATGATGAGGGAAAGAGATATGTCTAGTCTAACGAAGAGAAGGGTTAGGAGTGACACGATAGCTGTCTTTCAATATTTGAAGGGCTGCCACAGAGAAGGGGAGGGATCAACCTATTTCCCAAAGCACCAAGACGAAAAGCAATGGATGGAAACTAATCAAGGAGAGAAGCCATCTGGAATTAAGGAGACATTTCCTGACAGCACAATTAATCAGTGGAAGGAAGTTGTGGGTGCTCCAACACTGGATGTTTTTAAGAAGAGACTGGAAAACCATTTGTCTGAAATGGTACATAGGCTTTCCTGCCTGAGCAGGGGGTTGGACTAGATAACCTCCAAGGTCCCTTCCAGCCCAATGGTTCTAAGTTCTGTTCACCATCCTGACCTTCCAAATAGCCCACTAGGCCAGTGCCAAGACAATGTGGAAACAGGCCAGGTGTGTCACTAAGGTTTGATTTTGAAGTTGGCTGATTCGAAAAGCGAGCATGTACAACACGCTAGGATGAAATGGGAAAATCCAGCCATTACTGTATCCCGATGCATGGATTTGGTTATCATATATTTCATGAACCCCTGATAATCTATTCTCTTTGGCAGTGGGGGCAATGTTGATTTGGGGTCTCCTTGGACATGACCAGCTGCCCAGATATCCTGATCTGAGCAAAATCAAATAAGAATGGAATGGAATAAATAGAATAGAATTGAGTAGAGTAGAGTAGAGTAGAATAGAATAGAATAGAACAGAGAATGGGTGAGAATAGAATAGAAGAGAAGAGAAGAGAAGAGAAGAGAAGAGAAGAGAAGAGAAATAATGGAATGGAATGGAATGGAAGAGAAGAGAAGAGAAGAGAAATAATGGAAGGGAAGGGAAGAGAAGAGAAGAGAAGAGAAGAGAAGAGAAGAGAAGAGAAGAGAAATAATGGACTGGAATGGAATATAAAAGAATTATTGTCATTGTGTAACTCATAATGAAATTAAGTAAAATGTTGTTTTTTCAGCTTTGGCAACTTTAAGATCGGTGGACTTCAACTCCCAGAATTCCCTAGCTAGCATGCTTGAAGAAGCCTGAATTTCTAGAATCGCCTAGAAGTCCACACCTCTTAAAGTTGCCAAATTCGAACAAGACTAGATGATCTCCGAAGTCCCTTTGAACCCTGACATTCAATACTTGCTCAGTATTAACCTAGATTAGCTGTCAGGGAGCAACCTAGCACTGTTGCGTAGAAACCAACTCAGCCGATGAATTTACAATTTCACAACTGAAGCGATGATGTAACTTCCCAAAAGGGGGTCACCATGTTAACGCTCTTGCACCCCACC